TCGTGAATACTATATCCCCCGCTTCGCGCTTTCGCGCGGCGGGGGACAATGAGAGCTGAAGAAGCAGCTTTTAATGTGTCACAGGATTACATGGGTTCGTACATATCTAAGGCTAATGACAGAATGGATGGTTTGAAACAATTCAAATAATTCCAGTAAAGTAAAATTATTTTTTCCTGCTACAACATTAACAATATGAGCTTATGACCTTGCTTAAATTTACACTGAGGTTCTCACACCCTTCATAGAGATAGTTCCTCCTAGGAATTCAAGTATCAACAATCTCTTGAGCAGTAAGAGATCTGAACAGACAACTAGTCAGTAGTAATTAGGGAATCAATCTTGTGACATGTTTATGGCTAGTGTGTCAGGTCAGTGCTAGCAGTAGCTCACCTGTATTCAGTTTGTTTGAGCCCTCAACAGACCAATGAACCCTTCAGTATAAACTATCAGTTTCCACTTTCCCCAGTTTGGCTTTAGCAAGTCTAGAAATAGACAAATACACATATCCATGGAAGGTGGTAATACATCAATCTATACAGATGTTCACAGGTCATAATCAACCTATGACATTTTATACACAATATCATCATACAATCTACACTTAATGGAATGTTAAGATTTCTTCTTGGCTGATGATAGTAAATTACATTTCAAACTTGTGAGCAGAACCTGAGTGTTATGGGTCAATATTTCTAATTTTAAGAGATTTTTTGCTATTTTATTACTCATATCCCCTCGACCAGAAATGGGATAACACCTATAAAATCTACAGTTAACGGAATCTGAAGATTTTCTTTTGGCTGTGGATAGTAAATCACATTTCTAGCTTGTGAGCAGATTCTGAATGCTATGGGTTAATATTTCTAAGTTTAAGAGATTTTTACAATAGCATTACTCATCTCCCCTCAGCCAGAAATGGGATAAAGTCTATAAACTCGACAAATAATGGAATCTTAAGATTTCTTCTTGGCTGATGATAGTAAATAACATTTCTAGCCTGTGTGCAAAGCCTGAATACTTTGAGTCAAGATTTCTAATTTCTTGTCGGTTGATGATAGTAAATAACATTTCAAACCTATGAACAAAGGTCTAAATGTAATGGGTCAGTATTTCTAATTTTAAGAGATTTCTGACTATATTATGACTCATATCACCTTGACCAGAAGTGGGATAATGCCTTTAAAATCTACAATTAATGGAATCTAAAGATTTCTTCTTGGTTGATGATAGTAAATAATATTTCACACTTGTGGACTGAATCTTAATGTAATAGGACAATATTTCTAATTTTAAGAGATTTTCTACTATATTAATACTCATATCACCTTGACCAGAAATGGGATAATGCCTTTAAGATCTACAATTAATGGAATCTTAAGATTTCTTCTTGGTTGGTGATAGTAAATAATATTTCACACTTGTGAGCAGAATCTTAATGTAATGGGTCAATAATACTAATTTTAAGAGATTTTTGACTATATTAATACTCATATCACCTTGACCAGAAATGGGATAATGCCTTTAAAATCTACAATTAATGAAATCTTATGATTTCTTCTTGGCTGAAGATAGTAAATAGCATTTCAAACCTGTGAGCAAAGCCTCAACACTTTGAGTCAAGATTTCTAATTTTAAGAGATTTTTTTACTATATTATTATTCATATAACCTTGACCAGAAATGGGATAACACCTTTAAAATCTACAATTAATGAAATCTTATGATTTGTTCTTGGCTGATGACAGTAAATAACATTTCAAACCTGTGAGCAAAGCCTCAACACTTTGAGTCAAGATTTCTAATTTTAAAAGATTTTTGACTATATAATGACTCATATCACCTTGACCAGAAGTGGGATAATGCCTTTAAAATCTACAATTAATGGAATCTTAAGATTTCTTCTCGGTTGATGATAGTAAATAATACTTCGCACTTGTGGACAGAATCTTAATGTAATGGGTCAGTGTTTCTAATTTTAAGAGATTTTTGACTATATTTTGACTCATATCACCTTGACCAGAAGTGGGATAATGCCTTTAAAATCTACAATTAATGGAATCTTAAGATTTCTTCTCGGTTGATGATAGTAAATAATATTTCGCACTTGTGGACAGAATCTTAATGTAATGGGTCAGTGTTTCTAATTTTAAGAGATTTTTGACTATATTATGACTCATATCACCTTGACCAGAAGTGGGATAATGCCTTTAAAAACTACAATTAATGGAATCTAAAGATTTCTTCTCGGTTGATGATAGTAAATAATATTTCACACTTGTGGACTGAATCTAAATGTAATAGGACAATATTTCTAATTTTAAGAGATTTTCTACTATATTAATACTCATATCACCTTGACCAGAAATGGGATAACACCTATAAAATCTACACTTAATGGAATCTTAAGATTTCTTCTTTGCTGATGATAGTAAATCACATTTCAAACCTGTGAGCAAAGCCTGAAGGCTATGAGTCAAGATTTCTAATTTTAAGAGATTTTTTTACTAAAATTTATATTATCATTCATATAACCTTGACCCGAAATGGGATAAAACCTACAAACTCGACAAATAATAGAATCTTAAGATTTTCTTTTGGCTGATGATAGTAAATCATATTTCAAACTTGTGAGCAGAATTTGAGTGCTTTGGGTCAATATTTCTAATTTTAAGAGATTTTTGACTATATCCTTACTTATCTTGCCTTGACCAGAAATGGGATAACACCTTTAAACTCTACAATTAAGGTAATCTGAATGCTATGGGTCAATATTGCTAATGTTAAGAGATTGTTGACTATATTATTACTCACATCTCCTCAACCAGAAGTGGCATAAATGTTATACTTTCAAGAATGAAAGGAATCTTGAGAGTTTTGTTTTCTGAACATTGTCATTCACATTTACAACCTTTGAGAAACATGTACTTTGACAATAAGCTGTGCATATGAAACTACATAGTTTTAAAAAAAAGCTTCGTCCCCTTCACAGCTGTAATAGGCTAACTGATCATCATGGAGGGACTGACTGCACAATGCATGACATTGTGCTAGGTCTGTACCTGCCTTGATAGAAACCACAGAAAAAAGGTAAAAAGTAAAGGTATAATGACTTACCTACACATTCTCGTCTTTCAAAGAAATATTATCTTAGAAACTTCAGCCACTTGGCCTTCAACAGCAAGGACCAGACGACCATTTTGATCAAGTTGTAAAGGGAGGATAACTCTTACTGTTGCTTTGTCTTGCAAATTTTAATGTCAATGATGACAGAGCATGAGATAACAAGTTAAGTTCTCTATTAGTAATGGGTTTATTAAATATATGTTATCTGTCTTAAGTTGGTAATTTTGAAACCTTTCTAAATATTTCAATCATATTAAATAATATCATTTAGATTCCATATGGTCTCCCCAGAAATATGATGACATTTTGCTGGCAAAACGGTTATGAAAGCTTCAACGTTTTTATGTCAATAAGCTACCAGGAATGGTTCAATGAGTTTCCCAGTTATTTTAATACTGACCAGGAAGGAGATTTTGTCATACCGGGTATTACATATGTATTTTTTCCTTTAAAACAATGAGAAAAAGAATAGGGTGGTGGGTGAATCAAAGGAACATTAAAGAAATCTTTTTTTAACAAGAGAAATCTTTTTCAACAATATCTACTCTAATATTTCTATATATGTAAAAATTAGTTTCTTTTATTTTTTAATTTAGGCTTCTAAGATGAAGCACAAACTTTCTCACATCCTGCATCTGCTATGCCTGGAAGCAGTTACATGTACCTCCTCCATTAATATAAGAAAATAGTTGCTTTTATCATCATGTACACAATAATCAAATGGAGTGATTTTGAATAATTGTTACCACTAAAATCTAACATGATAATGATGGTAATATTTACAAAAAATGACTTTGGGACTTGAGAATACAAACAAAAATACACACATCAGTTGCCAGAGGGCTGTGAGGTGTTGGGGCTTAGAAATCCCTTGAACAGTACAAATTTAAATGTACCCCTTTCAACTCTGACATGTTGAGTATTCATTGTTTGATGTTTAATGACACTTAGTTATATTCAAAATAATTAATATTATTATATTGATGTACATACCCTCCCACATATATTTTGTGAACATCATGGCCTATTGTACAATGTCATGAGTATTTATTCCTAGACATTTACCTGCTGTTTTACTGTGTATGAGAAGAAATATGTCCAACTCTCATAACTCTTGCAAAATTGCATAACACAAACATACTAGGAACTTGAATTATTACACTTGTATCCCCACCAATGAGTGGCATAACAACTTTAAAATACATAAATTAGAGAATAATTTTATTTTCATTTGGCTTTTGCTATTTTATAGGAAACACTGTTCAGAAGTGGCCAAGATAGCTATTTAACAGAAAATTTACTCTGTTATTAAACATGTCACCACCTCACAAAGGTTATGATATGATAGACAATTAAATAATACATTTGGGAGTGATATCATGGTTAGAAATTAAACATGGCAATGTGCAGTAATTACAGATAATAAGCAACACGACCATTTTTATAGGAATTGCATTTTGTCATGAGCGATATGCATAAAAAGAAGAAATTGTATTCCGCTTTAGTTCCGCATTACCACTTTTATACGCTGCTATATTTAGCTGCAAATGTCGGACATCGAGTCGGTAGCATTGCCATTGGCGCACTTTGCAGAACGGAGTAAAAATACAAAACACAAGAAGTGCAGGTTATTTTGCTCTTAATTAAATGTTTGTCAATTAAACACATAGTTGCATGCCAGAGATATAATTCTCTACGGTGTTTATCCCAGTTCTGGTCGCTACAGATGTAGACGCTGATCTACCTCCTGACCAGTGTGATTGTCACACACAGCCATCAGACACTGTTCACCTCCTGACCAGCGTGATGCTAACATAACCATCAGACGCTGTTCACCTCCTGACCCCCTGATGTTCACACACAACCAACACTCACTCTGTTTTTCGGTCAGAAAGTTCTCACTGGTCCATCTGACGTCTTCATACTCTTGTCCGGCCAGGGCAAACAGTAGGCGACACACTTCAGCCCGCCCCTTGCTGTTCGTGTAGATCAGCTTGTAGGAAGGCATGTTGCTCGGTCTCAAGGCAGTGGCGTACTCCCACTCCCAGTGTAACTCACGACGGTATACGATAAGGCTTATCTGAGCCCGCGTGTGTGATTCATTGTCCTTGTCTCTGATCAATGAGATAGTTGTGCGAGTAAGCAAGTTGGGTTGTATCCCTGCGTTTCAGCTTCAGCGCGCAGAGTTGCGTCCCTTGGGCGCACCAAAAACCTAAGACCATCACTTCGGGTTTTCTTCCACATCTTGCTGACACGCCGTGATATCACTTGAATACTCATCTCACTCGTTCATCCAGCTTAATGGGGCAGGAAAGCCCAAACAGACAGATCATAGAAGCTGGCCACTTAATGTTAAACCACATTGGTGTTGACTGATTGGGCTGTGTTGGGACCAGTACTCATAGTTGTCTTAAGAGCAGCGCTGGTAGTGATAGAAACAGTAGTATCACATTAGTAATAACAGTTATAGAAATATAAATGTGTTCCCCATGTGTCAGAGAATGAATGTTGAAATGCTGCTGTCAAATATCCCTGGGGCATGAAAGCTGTCGACAAACCAGTGATTGATAAGAATGGCATTTGTGCGGACTTAACAACCTGATCTCCATATACGTCGGTTCGTACTAGTGTTATATGGCAGTACAATATATTTTTGAACAAGGTTGCAATTGTATTACATTATTTCTGTTGAGATTCAGTAGAAGTTCATAGCATTGTGTTTTGACAATGGTTAGTTGTGAGGAATGAATTGCTATCTAATTTAAGCAGTCGCGTCGAAGAGACTATATTTAGATGCTTTTGGAGTGAAGTGTAATCTGGAATCTTCTGGAAGAGCTAGACTAATCCAGCCTGGTATAGAACCTTCTAGTGCGTGCCTCTCATCTCACATTGCATCAAGACCAGCGGTTGTGTGAAGATCACAGTTATAACAGAAACCATGGGAAAGTGAGGTGTGGTAACAGTATCAATACCTGTCATGCCCTATAGGCCAATACACGTACCGTTACGTCAGCTTAGTCATCCGACTGACATTCACAACATACATAAGTGCAAAATAATTGTATTTTATTTGGTACAAAATTCTTAGAATTTTAGAAAACCTATAAATTGATAAAATACTTGACACATTCATGTACATAGTCGTGTATATATTGTTCAGTTTAAGTCACAAGTAGTACATGCTTTTGCGTCATATATAAACACAAAGCAGTAATTAGCTTCCGGGAAACTTTTAGGAAATTAAGTACCTTTAACATAAACAATGAGTAGAAAAGATTCTTCTTTAAACTAAAACGCGCTGGACTAATCCATTATATTGAAAGGTTGAAGGTTTTGCTGCCATAGTCACAAGACCCATCAGTTATTCTCATAGCATGGAAAGTGATAGGAGTTGGACCCCAACTAGTGTGCTGTCTTGGGACGTTTGTCCAACCATTGTGCTATTTTCTCGTTTGTGCGGACCTTCTCCCTGTTCGCTTTGACCAACGGGAAACCTTCCACTATGCTGTCGTCAATCTTCCCGTCGAGGGTGTCAAATACAGCTATGTCTGCTAGACTTATCTGTAATAATTGTAAACGCACCATTAGTAATGGAAATAAAACAATTGTAAGCTAAATCGTAATGTTCAAATACATCAACTGTGCTAAACTGTGTTTTGCGGGTGCTTCAGGCTTGTGTAAGGGAATGAGGTAAGGTGAGGTGAAATGGGGTTTAACGTCGCGTCCAAGATGATTGCACTTGTATAGCGACGTGCATGTACGTGTGTGTGTGTTTGTGTGGCTGCTTGTACCAGTCCGGACTGATGCCGATTGATAGTGCTAGCTCACCGAGATACCATGCCGCAGTTTAACACGAATACCCCACTCAGACACAGTATACTGACTCCGAGGCGACCAGTCCTTGTTTTAGCCCCTTAATGCCGAGCGCCAGACAGGGTAACAACAAGTACCATCTTTAAACGTCTTTTGGTATGACGCGACAGGGGATCAAACCCCGGACCTTCCGCTCTCAGGGCGGACGCTCTACCACTAGACCACGGAGGCGGTCTGTAATGGAATGAGTGAGTTTGGTTACATGCCACTTTGAGGAGTGTTTTAGTCATATATGTTGGTAAGATGTAGGGGAAGTACGATTTTTGTTTGTTTGTTTGTTTTTTTAACGCCGCACTCCAGCTATAATACGGCTGTCTAAATAATCGAGCCTGGACCAGACAATCCAGTGATTGTTATCATGAGCGTCGATCCACGCACTTGGGATACGATGACATGCATAATCCAGGTCAGTGAGCCTGATCACCCGATCCCGTTAGTCCTCTCTTACAAGCATAGTCGCCTTTTATGACAAGAATGGTTGCTGAAGACCTATCCTACCCCGGATCTTTACGAGTCCAGGGGAAGTACGAAGTGATACAGGTCATAGACACTAACCACTTGGTGAAATGGTATGGAGCTGCCAAACGGATGAGTTTGGGATACGAACCCATGATAATAGCTTTCTGACACGCCTAAGAGACGCAACTCTGCACACTGAATTGCCGAGCGTTAGGCGACCTGGGCCGCCTGTGCCCAGTTAACACTGTGAGAAAGTCCAACTAACTGGAGATCTTCGCCCCATACCCCACATGACCGTGAAGAGCAGGGGTAGAATAAGTCTTCAGCAACCCATGCTTGCCGTAAAAGGCGACTAGCGGGATCGGGTGGTCAGGCTCGCTGACTTGGTTGATGCATGTCATCGGTCTCAATTGCGTGGATCGGTGCTCATGATATCAATCACTGGATTGTCTGGTCCAGACTCGATTATTTACAGACCGCCGTCATATAGCTGTAATATTGCTGAGTGCGGCGTTAAACAACAAACAAATAAAAAACATACCTCACCTAACAGAAATACTATTGGATGAGGAAATGAACCTAAATCCCTTGCTTACAGTGAGTGAGTGAGTAGGGTTTTTTAACGTCGCTTTTAAAAGTATTCCAGTTATATCATGGCGTGTCAGCTTAATGTGGGAGGAAAGCTCGAAGTGATGCAGGTTTCAGACGTTTACCACTTCGATGAAACCCACGAGCACGGGTATGGTGCTGACAAACCTAGAAACATAATCGGGTCGAACCGGGATTCGAACCCATAATCATAGGTTTCTGGCGTGCCCAAGGGACGCAACTCTGCACAGCGAATCGCAGCGCCTTAGACGAGTGGGCCACCCGTGCCCCCCACTCGCTTACAGGTATGCCGACATCGCTGAAACAGTGCTGCTATTGATGTAGCACAGTACTCTCTCACTATGAAGACTATGTCGTTAGTGTGACGCTTATCAGCAATGTATTTTGGCAGAATAATAATCAAGGTTCTCTTACAGTTGTTATAAGATGGAAAAGAAAAAGCACAACCGCTGTCAATTTCTGACAAAATATTTTCAAATGTCCCTTTAAGCACTATCATATATATTTAGTTTGTCATGTTTTAATGAGAGAATACAAAACGAAAAGGAATTACTGGATCATTCCCGTACATTCCCGGAAAAAGCCTTCAACAACAAAAGTCTGCATGTCAATAAACTAGTAGTTGAAGTACAGGTACTTACCTTTTGTCCTACGTAGAATTCGCCACCATTCTTCTTTAGAATGGCCTCAAAAAAGCCCAGGTATTTTGGATAATGAGTTTTGTTGTTTTCCTCATGTATTGCCACCTGGAAAAACCCAATGTCTATATTGTTTGTTGATGACGTTTTGGTGCTATTTCATCCGATGAAGGTAAGCATCTATAAGGTGTCATCAAGTTCTTGTAAAATGTGGTATTAAAATACTATTCCATAGTAATTACATGGGATCAAGTAATACTTGAGTTTACATATTTCTCAACATACAATTATGGCTAACATTGCATTTGACCTCCAGTAACAGTATGTATTGCACTTCTAAGAGGCATTCTGTTTACTCTGAATGAGTTTTACTAACCTAACCAATACTGTTATGCAAATCTTGTATATTATCTCCAGATTCGTGATTATAATTTCTGATTTTCAAGTTTTAATCATGATACGCCATAGTTCCTAAATATATACTGATCTATATCCTGATATACAATGCATGAGCTCCTGATGTTTCAGTTGTTCCAGGACGCAGGACAACGTACACCATCCCTTCCTCTGAAGTGCTCTCCCGTTCGGATTCCGGGTTGGAGAATCCCCCAGCAACCTACATGTATACTTGTGGTCACTGATTGGATCTGGTGGTCAAGTTTGATTATCATGACTTGATTGCATGTCATCGTACCAAGACGGCGTGGATATTTGCTCATGATGTCAATCACTGGTTTGCCTGGTCCACATTTAATTATTTACAGGCCGCTCTCGTATAGCTGGAATATTGCGGTGTGCGGCTCCAGACAACAGACGAGCAATCATGCGGTGGTCTTGTTTCCATTGTCAAGGCTTACCTGTTTGGCTTTATCCTTCTCAAAGAAGAGTTTCAGCAGGTGGGTGTAGATGTCCTGCACGATGCCCATCACTTGGTCCACCTGCAGTTGCTCCAGGTTAGTCTGTCCATGTAGACCTGACGACAAATTACAATACAATTACATCAGGTACCCGTGAAGATTCTGGTTAGAATAGGTCTTCAGCAACCAATGCTTGCTGTAAAAGGCCACCATGCTTCTTTGTAAGAGGCGACTAACGGGAAAGGGTGGTTAGGCTCGTTCAGTTAGTTGATGCATGTCATCGCATCCCAATTGCGTAGATCGATGCTCATGATGTCAATCACTGGATTGTCCAGACTCGATTACTTACAGACCGCCAACATACAGCTGAATACTGGTGAGTGCTGCGTTAAACAACAAACAACCAAACAAACATCGGGTATGATATTTACTTACATACCATGGGTCAATGCTAACGAGTGTCTTACCCGAAGTTCTGGAAACATGTTACTGTTATCTCGCGCGTGTGCGTGCGTGCGTGCGTGCGTGCGTGCGTGCGTGCGTGCGTGCGTGGGGGGGGGGGGGAGGGGGGGGGGGGGGGGGGGGGGGGGGTCGTACGTGTTGTTTATCGCCGCACTCAGCAATATTGCAACTTCATGAAGGCAGCGTGGAATAAACCAAGTTAGCCCAACCATCCACGCCATCGGGGTAGTCACCGAGTCTGACCTGCATAGGATACAGGGGGCCATGTTCGAATGGCATGAAAACTGGTGAAGTGAAATGGGTTTTACGTCGCGTTTAAGAATATCCGATTATATAGCAACGTGTGTGTTTCCGTGTACACAGTATTCCGATTTCGAGCCGACCTGTCCTTGTTTTAGCCCCTAAAAGCTGAGCGCCAGGCAGGGTAACAAGTGAGGTGAGGTGAAATGGGGTTTAACGTCGCGTCGAAGATTATTGCACTTATATAGCGACGTGCATGCACGTGTATGTGTGTGTGTGTGTGTGTGTGTGGCTGCTTGTACTTGTCCGGACTGATGCCGATTTATAGTGCTAGCTCTCCGAGATACCATGCCGCAGTTTAACATGAATACCCCACTCAGACACAGTATACTGACTCCGAGCCGACCAGTCCATATTTTAGCCCCTAAAATCCGAGCGCCAGGCAGGGTAGCAAGTACCATCCTTTAACGGGTTTTTTTGGTATGACGCGAGCGGGTGGCGGTGGCGGGACATACGGAAACGGGACGTGCTTAGATAAAAGACAATTGTGATCCCCTTGTGGAAACGTGTATATTCATGCGAATATCGAAGATAAAATATAACCATTCCTTCTGGGTTCGTTTCGTCTGGTATTGAATGCAGTCAGTGTTGGCTGAACTGTTACCAGAACACAACATGCTATAAATACCATTACCTAAATCATACGAGTGAAAGGTTGTGAGTGAGTTGGGTTTAACGCCGCTTTTAACAGTATTCCAGTTATATCGCGGCGTGTCAGCTTAATTTGGGAGGAAAGCCCGACGTGATGCAGGTCTCAGACGTTTACCACTTCGGTGAAACTCACGAGCACGGGTATGGTGCTGACAAACCTAGAAACATAATCGGGGCGAACCGGGATTCAAACCCACAATCATAGGTTTCTGGCGTACCCAAGGGACGCAACTCTGCACAGCGAATCGCGGCGCCTTAGACGACTGGGTCCTGTGCCCCCTACGAGTGAAAGAGTGAGTTGGTTTTAACGTAGCTTTGAACAGTATTCCAGTTAAATCAACCTTTTGAAAGTACAACCACACGGAAATACCAACTTGTGCCACGTACCAAACTCTCGGGCCAGGAAGTTGATGATTGCTATGCTTTGCCCATACTGTTGTCCATCACTTTCCAGCACCGGAAGCTGGCCAAATGGCGTGTCTGAAACATAAGCATTTATTAGTGGTAGCGGTTGAACCAGTGAAGTAAAAGACCATCCCCTAAAACAATGATGTAAGTATTATTTATGATGGTCGACTGTTTCACAATTGTTTTGCTGATGAAATCTATATGCATGAGACATAACATAGATAAAGAACGTGTGTGACTTAATGGCGTGATACGTTTATTCTGAATCAGAACTGAAAACTTTTGAGAGGATATCATTCTCTTCAATATCAGTACATGTTGCGCAGTGGAACTGAATATCTGAGAGTGGTTTAACTTAAATGAAAACTAATCTTAAATTTGTATGACTTACCTTTTTTGAATGAAACGAGGAACTAAACGTGATAAGCTATTAAAAAGCTATGAAGATCTATAAGGAACTAAACGTGATTACCTGTTATTATGTGAAGGAAAGATGAATAAACCTCAAATGAAAGAAACTAATGCTAATTCTATCAGTTACTGTATGCTTATGTGTTGGTTTCTCCTAAGGGAGTCTTTACACTGTCTAACGCTGTCTAACGCTGTCTAACACCATCTCTCTAACCATCTCTCTAACCATCTAACTAACCAGCTCTCTAACGAACATTCTAACGAACTCTCACCCACTAACTAATTGATGCGCGCTACCGCCTAATATTTGTTCACAACCCTCACATTTCACGTGCAGTCACAGCCATAAGTTGGTGTGTTCAGGCGACGCGATCGTTATGCATCGGGTGCGTTTTCGAGAACAGATTCTTTATTTAAAACTAACATGACTACACGTCAAGCGCGATCTATAAGCTCCGGGTGCGTTTTGGAGCACATTTCTTTATGAACAAACATGTCTACAGAACAGTACATTATAAAATGATGTCAGATTTTATAAGCCAGTTCTGTGTCTTTACAAGTGTTTTATACACAGCTCGGTAAGCAAGAAAAACCTGTAAATTTCAATGAGTGGGTGAGTGAGTTGGGTTTAACGCCGCTTTTAACAGTATTCCAGTTATATCACGGCGTCAGCTTGATGTGGGAGGAAAGCCCATTCTGATGCAGTTCTTAGACGTTTACCACGTTGGTGAACCCAACGAGCACGGGAATGGGCCTGACAAACCTAGAAACAATCGGGGCGAACCAGGATTCGAAGCCACAATCATAGGGACGCACAGCGAACTGCGGCACCTGAGACAACTGGTCCACCCGTGCCCCCAAATTACAATTATTATAGGCGAAATTGGGTCTAACGTCGCGTGTTTTGACTCCGAACCCAACAGTCCCCTAAATGATGAGCGCCAGGGTAAGAACAAGTGTCATCTGTTAACGTCTTTTAATTTCTTTTGATATGATGCGTCCGGGGATCGCTCTCCGGACAAAACCTCTATCAGTAGCTGCACTGGCAGAAACCTATGTGGCCGTTGCGACTTACTGGTAAGCCAGGCTAAGTTAAAGTAATGACCTGACAATTAACCCAGTATAACTATGTATGAGGTCCGCCCACTGGCGCATACCATTGTGAAGAAAGGGATAGCGGGTGGTCCGCGACAAGTAGTACGATGAATATGAATATGCCTGTCTCGGCTAACAACGAGTTCTAGTGGCGAGTTTCATAGCACCTAATAGTATCATGTGGGTGTTGGGTACCCGATGACAGCAAATTTGTACAGATAACAGCCATTGAGAAGTATCGTGACAATGAAGGGAATTCATTTGTTGTCAACATGGATTCTTTTTACCCAAGCGAGCAATAATGAATAGTGTCATGTCATTCATCAAATGATTGTGAGCAAAACGGGAGCGTAGTCAATTTCATCGTCATGACCTGCACGTGCACATCATACGTACTCTCTCTACCTGTTTGTTGGTTTTGTTGTCAGTTGCCGCACTCAGCAATTTTCCAGCTGTATGGCGGCGGCTCTCTACCAGTAACAAACCAAATATTTTTGCCCAAATTCTGTTCTTCGTCTTCTTGTCTCAAACGCATTTGAGTTGGTTCAACTGGTTACCGGTAAGGGTGGGTGGCTGGGTGGGTGCGGTTGTATTGCAACTAGATATTTTTTTCATGTTGTTTTTATTAAAACTATGAGCCTGGATCATATTTTTAGTTGGTTCAACCGGTTACCAGTGGGGTGAGTGCGTTATTGCCAGTCACAAGCTATAGCTTTTGTTGTAAAATTTGATTTGATAGATCATCAAAAGGCATCCAGGAAACTCGGTCTCTGCTAGCAAGGGACAAAAAAATGTTTAAAAAAAAGAAATCATTAGGTTAAATTTACTTTCTTTTATGACAATCTGAAGATTAGTTGTGGGGAAAACCATACAAAGTCAAGATGTTCATATGCTATCAGCATGATGACAGCATTACTTCTGGAAGAGAAAGATAGTCAAAAGAATAACAGCATAAGAGATTCACTTGGTAGTAGTTGGAGCATATCTTTATGGGTACTCATGCCCCAAACATACCATGATTTCGATTTTAGATTGTTCACTGGACGAAGAGACTCAAGAGAGCAATGAACTGAAATAAGGAGCTGATGAATGGTGTGCTGCAAAAAAGTAAGCTGTGTGAAGCTGTTGGCTGTACAGGACTCGAAGCTCAGAAGTCATATTTTAGGAATAGGAATGGAAAAGATGCATCACATTTCTCTGTGCCACTTCGACAGCAATGGAGCATGGAAAGAAACATGACATTTGTTCAGATGCTGCATACCTGACGAACGTTTTCACAAGTGAACTTCCCTGGGTCAGAGAAGTAGGTGGAATTCCATTCATCACTCATGAACTTGGCTTAATCATATCCCCTGATGGACTTCTGTACAACGTTGATCATTCTCAGCATCAGGTGGCCCTTGTTGGCCCTAGAGAGCAGTGCATCTTCTCCACACCCAAGTCTCAGAAAGGCATCACCCTCTGAATCCTATTGATGGCCTATCTCCCGAATGGCCAATTTCATGCTAATCTGCTTTGATAATCTCAAGGAAATTGCACCCGTCTGTGTCGCCATGGCTGCAATGCATGACGGTGGTTTTGATCTCATTGGACATCCTCCGTATTCAAGAGGAGGTCCTCCTCTTTCTAAACTGGCAGAAGGAACTGTCTGGCAGTCATAACTTAAATGATGATGGAGTCATTTCTGCTGTGGAGGACCTCTTCTACACCAGTAGGATCCGGTCAAGCATGCATCGCTGGTAGAAATGTGTGTACCCCGGGGATAATGTTGAAAAATAGTTTGCAGCCAACTCCATCAAAGCCGTCTATCATAGTTAGGCTCGGAACATTTTAGCCCATGAACACCTTTGAAAACGCAGAGTAGGCGCACGCAACTGGAAGCTAATGTCCACGTATGACAACGAGAATGATGAATCCAACTTAGACAACATTATTGCAATGTCTCATGCCTTCAGGCCTCATAACCACATACCAATGTCTTTGTTTTCTATCAGTTCGCTGAACACTATTTCCAATATTACACTGCGTTTTCACAGTATGTTAAGTAATGAATTATTTTGTTGGACAATGGCACTATCAACCCCTGTTCGACACATAACTAATCGCATTGGAAACACTCTTGGCTCCCTTCACAATATGTAACCCAACGCTGAACGTAAGTGATGTAGTCCAGAAGTTAGTATTCATTCAATACATATACGTCCAAACACAGTGTTTTTGAGTCACTGTGACAATATCCCGGAAATATATGGGAACTCAAGGGGATCAACAAACAGCGAGTATATTTACATCCTACAGCTGTAATACAACAATACACATCTAGAATATTCAATATTGACGTAAATTTACTCGCTGTTTGTTGATCCTCATGACATGACTGTCAACTTCCTTCTTGTTCTGCGCATGCCTAATTTGGAAGACTGCGGTCCGTGTGTTTTAGTGTCGCCGTTTTGATGTTTTCGGCAGCGTGCTCTCAGATTTATGATGCTGTTTTTTGGTTACGTTCTTTTTTAAGTTGAATAATCCTTATGTATTGTAGGCATATGAGAGTTTTCTTTGTGGCTGTCAGTTTTCACTGGAAGACCTGCGTACAGCATTTACCAAAACGGCCGCTGTTTCTCTCCCTCTGCCTGGTTCATTCCACGGCCAAATCACTCCACGTGTCGTCGATTCACCAACTCGGTCAGCACACCATTTCATGGATTGCAATTGTATATACTACTCAAAAGAAGTTAAGGATCACCTGATTCTTCCATATTACAGTAGTTAATCTCTCATGCCATGACAGATTAACATTACCAATATGAAAGAATCGGGTGATCCTTAACTTCTTTTGAGTAGTTTATATTGCTGCAGCCTGCAAACATTAGTGGTGGAAACAAAGTTGCAACTTGTACGACAGAAAACACCTCAACTCACAATAACCAGCTGTTTACATGTGTTAGCTCAGCCCCACAATGCATTTGTGGAAATGGTGTGAGTCACGTGATTAAGTTCAAGCAAATTAATATTAAAAATTTACATTAAATCCTACTTATTGCTGCATGGGAATATGGATAACCACACACTAACGGATAATGAATTATGACCTATGTAAAAAATAAATTACTCATTTTCCCATTTTTTCACAAGTCATTACAGATTTCAATTAAACCCAGCTCCAATAAAACACATGGCTAGTCTTAATATTCGGCATCTTCGAAAAGTAATAAAGTTAGCTCTACCCCTTTATGTAGGTCCATGGTGATTTGTTTCGTATTTTATGCAAATACACAGTTTATCTAGAGCCCTGAACAATATGCAATAGTTTATTAATCATACGTTCGATAATAGCTAGGCGAGTTAATATAAAACAAACAACAACAAAAAACTGACGGTATGGACAAAAAAAAACAACTAACAAAATAACTCAGAGAAAATTAATTTCAAGGTAGTCGGACGTATTGTAACATTTTGATAATGGTCTCGGGACATATTGACACCCTGGACCTATATAACTACAACTGACAACGCACCCTGCATTCAACCGGTTTCAACTTACTATTTTTCTCTGCTGCCCAGGTCTCCTGAGAGTACCGGATATCTTCGTACTCCTGTCCTGCCATGGCGAACAGCAAACGACACATTTCGGCGCGACCCTTCGACTCGAAATACTTAAGCTTGTACGATGGCATCTTTCGTGTAACTTCAGTTTTCTTCCAGCAGTCTCTATCGTCTGCTCCGATGCAATTTAGTCAGGGCTGGGTCGTGTTCACGGGAGCTTGCTGTGAACACGTGTGTCACGTGACTTGTGAACTAACTAGGACGATCTCTCGTCGGTCACCCATACGTCTTCAATAGGTTAAAAGGCCACTGATCTGCAGCAATTCACCGGGACTGGTTGTTGCCTTTGTTGTTGTTTTTTCCCCTTGAGTACCCGGATGATATCGCAAAAATCTAGCCTAGTTCGCGAACTGTTCTGCGCCATTCGTAAGCGCATTTGTCGCTTTTATTGATAGTACATTGATCAAGAACATGAAATACAGCATTGAAAATAATAAGGAAATGTAGGTATCTTTGTGGGTAGCATCGGTAATGGTGACGAAGTTTTGATCACTCGCTTGGTATTTTCGTTTACACTATATTGACTTGCAACAAAAAGTAAATATTTCACCTGAGCATTGCTTATTTTATCGTGTGTATATTTTATAGTCAAAATGTGTAAAACTTTCACTTATGCAATTTTGTAAACGCCTAAATATTCAGTTATTTTACAAATTGACTGAAATATCAGTCCATTTATGTTATTATGACAACGAATTCCAAACATTTTTTTTATGTTTTAATTTCATCACCCAGTGACTGAAAGTGATAGGATTGAAAGAAAACGAAATTTAAAGTACATTTCTATAGTTTTGGCTTCGAATCCTAGCATAATTGGTCTATTGTGATGTTATAAGCCCTTTCAAACCTCTGAATAATTGTTAGTCAATCTGTTAAATAAATGGACATAAATGTTTCCGTCAATTTGTAAATTCCTGAACTATGTAGACATTTTATAAATTGCCTGAGTGAATCACATCATACACCTTACAAAGGAAAAGACTTGTGAAAACAACGTCTATCTCGCACCGAAGAACTTCCCAACCAAGACGTAGAGGAACAAGAATGATTCTGTTCAATGCCACAGCAAATGAATGAAAACAAAATGCAAATATCATAATTAAAACCTACCAAAGTTATATGTATAATTTTAGGCAGCTTCCTTGTTCGAGGAATGTATCCGTGAATATCCACATAAAGGAACAATATCCAACACGTCTGCAGCTGTACAGAAACTAATTCGATGTCACTTTTCTCTGTAACAATCAAATATTTTAAAATATCGTTTCGGGATATTATAACCGGTATTCGTTGCTCAACTGATCACTTAGTTTGTTTCAGGTGTTTCACATAGGTGTCAAGTCTCAAAGGTCAGCTGAGAAAGCCCACGTGACAACTATTTACATAATGTCCAAGGTTCTTAAAAAAAATCCACTGAGTAAGATAACAATGAGCAATAAATCAAGCAATCACAGCAATATATTATTATTTCAAATATTCACCAAAGAAAGTTGCCCGGATGGCAGAAGTAAATGCCATACTTTGAACAAAGTATGTTGTTTTTACATCGGCACTTCACGCCATGATATGAGTGTATTCCATTAATATTGTTTTAGTGAACTTACACATGTAAACACTTACTTTTGACAAATCCACTGTGCAAGATAACAGTGATTAATCAATCAATGTATTTTCTGTTGACCCTTTAATAGCTAGGAATGATCCGTTGATTTACCAAAAAAGTAAATCAACTGATCATTCATCTCTTGCTGAGCTGCCACGTGCATATTACATAACACATATTTCACCTCCCTTCAAACCTGGATTTAGATTGAATAGTTACCCCAGACACAAGAAATGCCGAATCGTAACCTTTATCAGGCAATCTGAGTGGTGCTACCACTAATTGTACCTGTAATAAATTCATTAACTGAGCATCAAGTGAATGACGACAAACACACAAGTGTAGGGTTATACCAGAAAAGATGGATGACAACAAGGGAGTAGTAATCATATTATCGACGCAATCCGAAATACGAAAATGCTTTCACTGGAGGGATACTTTTTATTATTATTAAACTATAACCATCAGGGGTATTTCCAAATAACGACATCCGATGGGCTGTTTGTCTGTTTGTTAAGGCTGAAGAAATTAATTTATAACATGCGCCCTTTCTCGAAATCTTCACAGATCACGGGTAACCAATCAGTGTTCAAAAATGCGTAAAACAAATATTGCCTCCAAGTTTATTTAGCTGTCCGTGCAGGCGGTATTCCTTTTTAGGGACTAAGACAACGACTGGAATAGGCTCTGAGTCAGTATACTGTGTCTGAGAGGGATATTCATGTTAAACTGCGGCATGGCATCTCAGTGGCTATACAATCGACATTAGGATGGACTGATACACGCGCGCACGCGCGCACGCACGTACGTACGCACGCACGCACACACACATCACTATATAAGTGCAATAGTCTTGAACGCGACGTTAGATCCCATTTCAAGTCACCTCACATTCAATCTGCCTCGCAGTGGTTTTGAGAGTGTTGTAAGACCGTTTATGGAAAGTCTGCGTGCATGTAATGCACTTCAGTGAACTCGGCCGCAACCAGCCGTGCACCAGCGTGTTTAAAACTCGACTATCGCGCAGGAATCAGGAATGAGAATACCACACATTTCAGTTTGTATATTTGTCATATCAAAGTTTGTTTGTGTGTTTTTTGTTGTTTAACGCCGCACTCAGCAATATTCCAGCTATATGACGGCGGTCTGTAAATAATCGAGTCTGGACCAGGCAATCCAGTGATTGACATCATGAGCATCGATCCAATCAATTTGTATACGATGACGTGCATCAGCCAGTCTGACCAACCAATCCAGTTAAGCGCCTCTTACCACAAGCAATAATCGCCTTTTATGACAAGCATGGGTTGCTGAAGACCTATTCTACCCCGGATCTTTGGGTATTTTGACTTCCTTAAACAATGTTCAATGTCCACGCAGAATCATAAATGTGTGGGAAGACAGGATTTTTTGTATAATGTGACATTTGGTAATAGTTTAACATCCAAAGTATTTAGTAACAAAAACATAGTCTAGTTTTATGGAATTACATTATACAAACAAACGCGCAGACACATGAAAAAAATCTGAGAAATCAATGATTTGACAAACTTTATTCGTAAAGTTCCGTAAGTTCCGTCTGAAACGTACATATAGTGTGGCAACTACACGGGTAAATGTTCGTGACAGAAAAACTTTTAAACTTAAGCTTACTGAAACACGACGAGTTTTATTTGATCAATGAACGTGAAATATTTGCCAAAAATATGTGATTGTGACAGAGACACGAAACACGCTTGCAGATCGGCTGTTGGACTTCGTCAAAGCTTTGTGTATAACAAATGAATATACGATACAAATATTTCTTTATTGTCTATGATCACTCTCCTACCCAGAGTTCCATGCGGCCAGCATAGCACCTCTGCCACAGGCCAGCGCCATGTGACGATTCGACACATCTTACACAGTCCATCGGAGATATTGCATGTTATTCATTTTTGTTACGTCTACACATCTAGATAACCGTATGTCATCGAATGGTTAACTTTTATTTAGAAAATGTCCTAAAACGTCAAAAACAATTTCCATTTGCGTAGTTATCCTTTACATTGGTTGAACGGCTCCAAGTGCTGTCATCGAAGCACTACGGAGAGCCAGTGATACCGCCACTTTGATGTACAAAGATATATTGTCAATCACCTTACTGTCGCAGTTTTAGTAAGATATCTATATAACTATGCAAAGCAATATGTAAAGCGCGCCAAAAGGCTTGCATTAGGCCAATCTGTTGTTTTCAGAATAACCGCGTTTCTTTACAAACAAGAGACACGTGAGGTCACGTCACATATGCAAATTAGCCTGTGTCATCGGTGTCATGCCACGCCTACACTGCGCCGGAATAAGATCTGTGATGTCGTGGGACTAGTTTTCCGTTTGGGGCCTCTTTTCAATCCATGTCTTAATTTTAGGGTTGGAAGCAACTTTGTCTACGCTTTTCTTGACCTGAGGGAACTTGTCCAAATCGACCATGGACTTGACCTTGTCGTAGATATCAAACACAGACACGTCAGCAAGGGTAAACTGAAACAAGAACACATTATAGTGAGTGAGTATAGTTTTACGCCGCTTTTAGCAATATTCCAGCAATATCACGGCAGGGGACACCAGAAATGGGCTCCACACGAATACATTATATGTCTGGACCGCTTGACATATTTTATCAGCGACTGCTTTTGAACAATGCCAGGGACAGGATGACCAGTGGTCGATACTATGAGCAACAATCACCGCTCTTTGGGTACGATGACATACAATCAACCAGGTCACACATAAAAAAACCAAGGGGGCACGGGTGGAATACTGTTAAAAGCGGCGTTAAACCCAACTCACTCACTCACTCATTGCAAAGCTTCCGATCCTCATGAATCGGTTCTTGGGGCACTGGGGACTTATTCGGACTCGGAACATTCTTTTTTTGTTTAACCCCTACTCAGAAACATTCAAGACATATGGCGGAGATTTGTAAATAATTGAGTCTGAGCCAGACAATCCACTGATTAACATCATGAACATCGATCGATCCACGCATACGATGATATGCATCAACCAAGTCAGCGAGCCTGACAACCCCTTGTCATTAGTCTCATCTTACGACAAGCATAGTTTCCTTTTATGACAAACATCGGTTACTGAAGACCAGTTCAAACCTGGATCTTCAGGGGATCTTCAGGAGCAATCTCATTAAGTCAGATCTTAGTTATCGCTCCCGCTAAACAAAGATCTGAGGACATCCCATTACGGATCACGTCAGGCCGACCTTGCGCGAACCTTGACCGACCAATGGAATGACCAATCAAAATGCAGCTTTCCCGTGCTTTACGGCACTAATTTCAAATTGGCGACTACGCTTCGAAACATATTTTGACAAATTCTCGATTACAAATTTGAAAACCTGAACAAAAGAACATTCTGGAATGGCTAATAGATGGTCTATGGATACAGTCCAACCCGGAACTATCGTTCGGAGTTAAAGTTATCGAGGCTGCATGATCAGAAATCACATTCCGACTGTCACTTTCATAATCTGGTAAGCGATGCTCTGATTGGTCGGATGAAAGGTCGTTCTGACGTGGCCCGTAATGGAATGTCCTCAGATCTTTGTTTAGCGGTAGCGAGTGTGAGGTCTGATTTTGATGAGATTGCTTCAGGGGTAGATTCGATGAGTGATACTGCCACTGTGTGTATGAGTATATGACCAGGAAGCAGGACAGTTTGGTATAAACTATAATAAAGTTACCGAATTGCCAACGAAGAAGCCTGAGCTGCCGTTTCTCTCCAGAAGCTTCTCCAACATCCCAAAATACAAAGGCAACTTTTCTTCTTTGTTTTCCTTCATAAACTGGGCCTGTAAACATCAAATACAACTTCTGTAGAAGTACAAGGAGGAAGCATTTGATAAAAAGGTAAGTCGACCACTCTCGAATCGACACCGATTTCAGATGCATCTTAAGTATGTCACAGCTTATTGTTTGTTTAATGTTGAACGACCCATTCAGTAAAACTCCACCCCCGTAAATAATCGAGTCTGAACAGATAGGGTAACAACAAGTACCATCTTTTAACGTTGTTTTTTTGTATAACACGGACGGGATCGAACCTCCCTCTCTTCAGGCAGATGTTCTATCCATTAGACACGTCCACACAGTAGAGGGTGTTAATGAGTTACGGTACTGTAGTTTACCTTCCTTTCTTCATCCTTCTCATAAAAGGCTTTGATCATGCCATTTATTATGTCCTGGACTATTCCTAGAACCTGGTCCACTTGAAGGGCTTGGATATCCCCCTGACCATAGAAATCTGCAACACAACACTCACTGTCAGGACAGTAGCACCATCTTCACACAATAAACTCCCACGCAAAAGAAAGTATACCGAGTTTATTTTGTATGTAATAATAGTGAAAGAACTGTTTTTAAGTCTATTAACCAACACTAATTCCTGCCACTGTTTGTAAAATGTAATTGTGGGTGGGTACTTTTGTGTAAAAAGAAACATGACTCTTAAGATGTTTGAAATATAAATTTATGCTGAAAAAAGCAAATTGATTGATTTTCAAAGATAAGATATCTACGATACCCATTAGCAGTTGTGTATTATGCGAATTTTATTTGAATTTTGAAATTTTTACAAAATAATATATTTAAAAAACATGCAGAAGTATTCTTTGAGTGCCTACAAGGCGCCAGTACAGTTGAATTTCACATTTTTATATAAAATATCGCAAGCTTAACATATTTTCAATTGAAAATCAAACACATGAGATAAAGTCAACTGAGAGGTATAGTTTCTTTTGCTCCTCAGTTTAGATGTCCCGGGTTAATTTCTCTTCCAAGCAAGGCTTTTAACATTTGTTCCCAATAATCGGTATTTCCAAGCTGCGTCATATTTTCTACCATGGCCGGCCCTCTATTAAGACACGACTTTGTATGAGGTATATTAAACAATAAATTGTCCCTTGTTACGGATACAAAAGGTATATGGTTGTGGGTAAACTGAAGTTCGTAGACTAGTAACTATTGCAGAAAACGTACTGAATCGCCTCGCGAGGAACCTGGAAATAGCGCTGCTCTGACCGAACGACTGTCCGTCAACGTCAAGCACAGGCATCTGTCCGAGTGGAGTGTCTGTAATATAAGGAGAAAAACGTCAGTCATTGAGTGTTTGTTTGTTTTTTATTTGTTGTTTAACGCCGCACTCAGCAATATTCCAGCTATATGACGGCGGTCTGTAAATAATCGAGTTTGGACCAGACAATCCAGTGATTGACATGATGAGCATCGATCCATAAACTGGGATACAATGACATGTATCAGATAAGTCAGCGAGCCTCACCAACCGATCCCGTTAGTCGCCTCTTAAGACAAGCATAGTCGCTTTTTACGGCAAGCTTCGGTTGCTGAAGACCTATTCTGCCCAACGTGATGCAGGTCGTGTATGTTTACCACTACCAGCACGGGTATGGTGCTGACAAACCAAGGATTATAAACAGGTTGAATATGTAATTCGAACCGGTGATCAGCGGATCCTGCTCTGACCCGTCCATGGGCCTCAATGTGTTTTTGTGGGATTTTCTTGCCTCAAATATCATCACAAATTGTTAATACGAGCGAAAATTGAGTATTTTTTACCCTACCGATATTTATAGTAAATCAAATACAAATTCATAAATACTGCTCAAAAGACGTTCAAGAGCACCCGATTCTTTCATATGACTTAATGACTTTATTTAAGTTGTCGACCGATCTCGAGGGGTATATAGTGTGATGTACCATGTGTGTGTGTGTGCCTGTGTACCCCCGAGCGGTATTGAGACATTCATTAATACGCCTCCGGAACATAATTATGTTATTATGCAAACGAAACGAGCTACTTGCCCTTACCCATTGCATTCGGATAAACATCGGTTCATTTGAACTCAGCAGTACTTGAGATATGGTGTGTTCCGATTGATTTCTTAGAGAGGTACACGAGCGGGCTACATGGAAATCATTTGCCCTCTCCTTAACCAATCAGAAGCTGGTATTTTAATGTAAGGTGAGGCAATCTGTCATGTCAGATTAACTTTAGAAATATGAAAAAATCGGGTGTTCTTTATCTTCTTTCGAGAAGTGTAAATAAAATTCAAGTTGAGCTATCCTATCTAATCTGTATTCACAAAAATTATCTATAAACCGCGATAGCTAAGTTGTTATTTTAAAATAATATTTGTTGCCGAGTGCAGCGCTAAACAAAAAGCAAATTATGTTGTGGGGGAAGCGTAATAAAATACTCGTAAACATTGCGTCCTAGACAGGTCACTGAGTACATATTTGACACGCCCCTCGGCAGTTCAAGGTCCGTAACGGCGGCAGATAATGTGTCTAGTTAACTCTCTTTCTCCAAAATATTAAGATAACATCCTTGACTACTAGACTGTAGTGAAGTGGATTCATTGTGTGCCCAGTTGTGCCTACTGGTATTCTTGATGGGAAAAGATAAAAAGTGTTACTCACGCATCACTTTTGTTTTCAATTAACAATAAAAAAGGTCCTACCGCGCTTCTCACTTTTTAGGAAAATGTGCTCGAGAAACATTTAATTTTGTATGCAGCCTGACATCTTAACCCTCAGTGAACTGATCGGGTGGACTGGAGGAGGGAACACACCGAATTGCGGCTGTCTAGGTCGTTGTCAGGTGTTATCGGAGTACATTCCAACGTGATCTGTGCCGACCACGCCCAAACATCGGACATGCATTGCCTTAACCCATGGGCGGATACAGAGGGGTGGGGGGTGTGCGGGGGTGCGCACACACACCCTTTTTATTTCGAAAAAAATAATTATTTCTGTATAAATTACCACCAAAGACAATAAATAGATCTTACTTGTGCACCCCCCACCCTTTTCAAAAAAGCTGTATCCGCCTCTGTAACACTTTGACAACCTGTTTGTTCCAATACATAAGGATACGATATTCGAACAGGTAGTTATATGGAATTAACGTTATATGATCTAGTTCCTTACTCGGTTTCTCCGCAGGCCACGTCTCCTGTGTGAATCGCACATCTTCATATTCCTGTCCTGCCAAGGCAAACAGAAGGCGAGACACCTCGCCGAACCCACGGGCGTTGAAATATCTCAGCTTGTAGGTAGGCATGTTTGAGCTGTGGATTGCGTCCTTTCTTCGCTAGAACGTCGCTGGCGACTGCGATAACAAGGGTTAAAATCGCGGGAGCCGTGAGATTATCAAACTTGCTGAATCATTCGAAGTTTCTCCAGGGACGCGGTTGTCGGTTGTCACGTGACTTCTAACCCACGCGTTGATTGGTCCAGAATGCACGTTCACACTATCTTAATCGGTCAATAGCAACGCGTAAACATACAGAGGATCGATTGAGGTATTTCTGAATACATTGTGTCTGTACTTATATACTGAATGTAACGCAGTGGGTTGATGCATGCATGCATAACTAATGTAGCCTTACACAGGATGGCGACCTTTGTGCCTCCCGTGTGCGACCATAGAATTTGCCAGGTCATCGTCGGAGGCTCAAAGGAGGCAGAATGGTTGCCTAGGTCGTTCGAAGGTGGTACACAGGAGGTTCAGACATCGCCATGGACGCCATGGTCGCCGTGAATTTTTGAACATGTTCAAAACAGTCGCACAAAGGTTGCCGAGGAGGTTGGTTGCTCAAAGGAGGCAGAAGGGATGCTCAAGCTTTGCCGTTGTTGCAGCAACATTCAAGACATGTGACGGCGGTCTGTAAATAATCGAGTCTGGACCAGACAATCAAGTGATCAGTATCATGAGCATCGATCAACGCAATTGGGATCGATGACATGCGTCAACGAGTCTGACCACCCGATCCCGTTAGTCGCCTCTTACGACAAGCATAGTGGCCTTTTACGGCAAGCATCGGTTGCTGAAGACCTATTCTACCTCGGATCCTCACGGGTCGCGCGATCTGTAAAACAGTAAATGATATTATGAGCAACGTCCAAAGCCGTATGGCCCCGGGTCATCATGATACGCAACCATGATGGCACACAAGTCATCAAGCAAAGCGACTATCTAAGTCATAAATTGATTTTAGACTGGTGACAGGTGTTTTAAACTTCAAAATGTCATAAAATAAGTTACACAAGTAGTGAAAAACAGTTTTTTAAATGTATTTTTGCATTATTTTCTTTCGCCCGCCCGCTCTCTTGTTGGTTGTGGTTGGAGATGAGAAACACATTAAAAAATGTGAATGGCCTAACTCAGGTCCCAACGTGCACATCAGATTTGTGTTCGTTTAGTTGATAAAATCTATGGCACAGAAACTTTTATAAGAAACAATGAAAAAAAAATTAATATGTTGTGCAAGAGGTTACACTCAAAAAACACAAAAACATTTCTTCGTTTTAAGACCGGCCATTTTATTTATAATCGAGTCTGGACCAAATATCATGAGCATCGATGTACGCAATTGGGATACGATGACATGCATCAGCTAAGTCACAGAGGGCCTGATAGACTAAAATCTAGTCTCTGAAAAGAAACATATCGTACATAAAAAAAACAGTTGTTCAGTTATCTTAATAAAAATATAATAAAAAGGAGCCCAGTGACTCTCTTCATTTTCAGCCTGATACTGCAGTGATCTAGACTTGCCAAACATTATCGACTTGCATGGGCTGTATTTGATATATATTTGTATCAGGGTCTGTAAGACAGACTAAGGGCCTGACAACCCGTTCCTGGAAGTGGCTTCTTACAACAAGCATGGGTTGCTGTTCATGGCTCGTCACAGGCTCTTCACAGGCTCAGCTCTTGCAGCAATGTAGTTTAATTGTAGACAATTTCTTTGTTGTTTTTTTACAGTTTGAAGCATATATAAACATTTCTTTCAAGCATTTTCGGTGACAATCTTTTGTTTCAATAAAACCCCAGCCAACCCCCAACCCCCAAGCCCACTCCCAGAAAATCAAATGGCCGGGGCCTTAATTCATTCACATCAAAATGTGTACTTTCATCATATGAAAAAACATTCTTAACACAAAACAGTTGTAATTCATGCATTTATTTCAAAATTTCTAAAAGCGGCTTAAAACCATACTCACTCACTCACTCACTCACTCACTCACTCACTCACTCCAATCTATGGCGTCTCCCTCCTTCACTACCACATATTCTTCATTCTACTAAAAACATTAAAGCAAAATTATATCTGCCATGCAAGAGATGACACTCACGAACTACAAGAATATTGTTTACGCATGTCGTGCTTAATTCATTGACAAGAAAAAATGTTCTTGAATCATTGCCGCCAAAAAATAAAACAAAGAAGTTGCAGTTCATACTTTTATTCCAACCTGTGCTATTCCAACTATGAGCTGGAACCACTGGGCATCTTTGTCCTTTCCTCATACAAAACATGTGTTGACGACATGATGTGTGGCAGTTTAAGTATATAATATAGGTATACCTGTTCTATTTCCAGGCTTCTTGGCTCTCCGTCACATTGGTGTTTGCGGTCGTTTGGCCAACCACTGGGCAATTTTCTCGTTGGCCTTGACCTTCTCTGCGTTGGCTTTGACCAATGGGAAGCGTTCTACCAGGCTTTGTTCAATGCCAGCGGCATCAAGTAAATCAAATGCAGCCACATCGGCATATCCAATCTGGAAACATCAATTTAAAGTATTTTCTCCGTATTTTGCAAACGGCTGCATGTTTATCTTTATGAATTAATTATTGTGAATTGCTAAACATTCATTACAATTTAATTGCACACAAGAAATATATGCTCTTGGGGTCATTCAGGTTAACAGTACTTTAACATTAACATGATGCGCAATCTACAATTTTCTCATGATACACGCACACAGAAATATTGAGGAGCACCTATCATTTTCTTAAATATACTACCCATCAAAAGTTTAGACTCACTGAAACCACTCACTATATCTCGTAAGAAAATCGTATTTGTGAAAGCTACCAATACAAAATAACAAAATCATTCATTTAGGTCTTCATATCCTTGTTCACAAGGACGTGTGCATTGATGATTAGTGAACCAGAATGCCGTATTGGCTAGTACCATACAAAAGTGAAATTGCAAAATTTAATAACGGGTATGACCACCCCTGGCTCTAACACAGACATTGCATCGACGTTGCATACCACGAAAGAACAGTTCAATCTGCCGCTGGGGAATGTTTGCCACTCCTCAAACAATGCATTGCGAAGTTGGCGAAGGTTAGCAGGGGGAGGAACTCTGGCATAAACACGCCGGCCCAGCAGATCCCAAACATGCTCAGTGGGGTTCATATCGGGCGATAATGCTCGCTAATCCATTCGATTCACCACATTTTGTTGTAAAGAAGCTGACATGATGCGAGCTCTGTGAGGCCTGGCATAATCATCTTGGAAAACCGCGTGACCTGGCATGGCCCTTACGAATGGAAGCACAATAGGAATGATGATCTCGTCCCTGTATCTCTGGCCAGTCAGATTCCCATCCTGTACCAGTAAATCAGTTCTTCCAGTCAGGGTGATACCTCCCCAGACGATAACGGATCCACCTCCAAATTGATCATGCTCAACAACAGCAACGTCAGCGTACCGCTCTCCCTGACGTCTGTAGACTTGGATCCGACCATCGTTGAAATGCAGATTGAACCTTGATTCGTCGGAGAAGAGTACCCTTGCCCATCTGCGGGGACCCCAGCGTAAATGTCCATTTCCCCAATTCAGTCTGTTCTGACGGTGGCGTGGTGTAAGAGGGGGTCTTACAGCTAGACGACGTGCCCGCAGTCCGTAGTGACGTAATCGGCGGCGTATTGTTGATACAGATACACGTCGTCCTGTAGCTTGTTGGAAAGCATTATTGGCTGCTGTGGCTGTAATGTTTCTGGCCCTGAGAAACAGCAAAAAGACGCATCGGTCATCTTGCTGTGATGTTACCCTTGACCTACCCGACCTGGGTCGATCCTGGACGGAGTTGGTCTGTTGAAAGCGTACCCAGAGGTTGGAAACTGCCTATTGGGATACGCCAAGACGTCTGGCAACATACCGTTGTGATCTGCCATCTTGCAGCAGTGCCAAGGCTTGGTGTCGTTGCTCAATACGGAGACTTCTCCCTCTACCCATGCTTGCATCAAAGAAGAATTTCTCCACTAACTCAGAGGAGCCAACTGCAATCCTTATAAAGATGAATTGCACGAGTATCCCGCGTCAAATTGCTGCTAAGACACGTGCATTATCGTGCATGTGAACACCTGCGTTTTGGTGCGAATTTTGTTTTAAAATGTGCGACATTTCACAGAGTTTTATCAATTAATGAACGAAAAACTCTAATCTTTTCACCGTTACAGATTTGGTTTTACGCCACAACAGTTCATGTGTTAACAGTACCTGTAAAAACTTTAGAATATTTGGCATTATCTGGTTTGAAACAGTTGAGTATAGTGAGTGGCTACATTTACACTGGTGAGTCTAAACTTTTGATGGGTAGTATATATATCCTACTCAAAAGAAGTTAAACAGGCCATGACTTGGTAACTATAGTAAAATGAAAGAATCGGGTGTTCTTACTTCTTTTGTGTAGTATATATGAGTGGTGTTCATCAGTAAGACATGCTAAATAGATGACGCATGTTTTAAACTTTTATCACTTTGGTATAACCAACGGGTGCTGACCATCTAAATATCATTTAAACTGAACCTTCATTCAAACCCACGTTTAGAGGAGCGTGAAGAATTTATATAGAAGTATCATTCAATGGGATTTTGTTGCGTACAAATTATGTATACAACACGCTCTTCAGGACATCAATATGTATTTATTTTAAAACATGATGCAAACTTATTTGGGGCGTTCTCACTTTGCCAGCAGCTAGTGTTCTAGTTTAAAACTCAGTAGCCCGTGATAATCCCTACAACTATGGGGATTAACACTATAGACTGTTTCACTTTCACTGACTGACTATAGCCAGACTACAGCCTGTCTAGGTAGATATAACACAAAAAATGTATGTAGTAGTATAGGTTTTTATTAATTATTAATTAAAATTTACATTTATGTACAGATGTACAAATTTTCAAGACAATCTAATACAATATAGCTTGCAAAATTTGTGTCTGGCTACAGCAAAATCACTTAGAGTCCGACAAGGTGAGATACAGCATCGCCATACTCGATGGGAGATTTAGTTAAGTTTGGCTCACAGTGGGTCACAGCTAGGTCATATAATGGCAAGTCACTGGACCGTACAAGTTAATCTCCCCAGCCTGCTGGCAAAGTGAGAGTAAACCACTTATTTTTTCCCCTTTTGTTGGTTTTTGTAAATCCCATTTTAAGCTGTTTGTGTAGCATGTTATGTTTATGTGAACTAGAAATGGCTATTAGATGGCGAAGTATTTGATACGGATATTATAGTTGTATTATGGACCTTACGTTTGCAGTGTTTCGGCGACTGTTTTAACTAGTAACGTTTCGATAACGTTTGTTGGGTCAAATCCAGTTTTCACGTTTATGCTTTCGTTTGTCCGGCAGGTCATGTCTGATGTAATACCTTATCGCCCACATAGTACCCAGTGTTGTTGTTTTTCAACACAGACTCAAGGAAGCCCAGAAACAGCGGCATGTTAGTTTCATTGTTTTCCGTCACAATCTCCGCCTACAAAACAAACATAAACACATAGATAGAGTGATACTGCAAAACGAATCAGATTAAAATACATTAATGTACACATTTGTTGGTATACTGAGACGACCAATCACTCGGAAAACGTAGAAAGGATTGCCTTCACATAAAATTACCTATGCGATGAAATGGGTTTAGCGTGGCGTTAATGATAAATGCTCTTATATAGCGGTGTTTGTGTGCGTGCCTGCGTTCGTGGACTAATGCCGATTTTATAATGCTGAGATAACATTCCACAATTTAACATGGATACCCCTAAGATAAATAAAACTGACTCCGAGCGACAAGTCCATATTCCTTAATGTCGAGCGCCTGGCAGGATAACAACTGCCATCTCTTAACATCTCCGACATTTCCGTGGTTGGATATTCAGGGAGTCATCATTATTCAATTTCGGTAAATATTTTTAAACGTGTAAATTTTATCAAAATCCTTAAAGGAATTAAGTTAGATTATGTTGATATCTCATATAAGATATAAACGACTCATGGTCGTTTTTTATAGTAATTAAAACACTGCAGGGACAATAAACCACACGGGGCGACGTCCCTCATGGTTTATTCTCCTTGCAGTGTTTTAATTACTATAAAAAAACGACCATGAGTCGTTTATATCTTAAATAAGTTCGACATTGCAGGTCCTTTTGTGTTACAATCATATGCACAGACATATACTATATATCGAAATGCCCCGATGAACACTTTACTGTTCAAAACTCTCCCACTCACTCAACATGTATACTTTGTGTTTCGCATAGAGAGTTATTACGTCACCTTCCTCGCTTCATCCTTCTCCGTGAAAAATCGAACCAAGGATTCACGAAGGTCCCCAACAATCCCAAGGACTTGTTCAACTTCTAGTACTTCGACATCAGTGCTGCCATGGAAGCCTAGTTAGTAAAATAGATAACTCATTGATCAGCAAGATCACGTATTGTGTCCAGGTGGTCCAAGTGGCCAAGTCGTCTAGTTAGCTGAGAAGCTTTCCTTGGCTGCACCAGAACCCTAAGATCTTGGGATCTAATGCCATTTCCCCCCTTATGTTTCACAGTTCGTATCCAAAAACCATCACAGTTCATACCCACTAAAAGTGAGTGAGTTAAAATGTAACGTGGCATCAACTAGATAATACAGGGATGCCATGTCCCTGTAACACAACTGCCTAGTTACTCCTGAAAGGTAGAGCCCAGACAACTCACCGAACCGTCTGGCCAGGAAATTGGCGATAGCCATGCTCTGCCCGTACTGTTTCCCATCTACCTCCAACACCGGAATTCTGCTGAAGAGGTACTCTGGAATTGATAAACATAACTACATTGTAAGGAAAATGTAATTTTAATTCCTTGAAACACTTGTCATTGTAGCATTCTATTCATTGTAGTGCTTTATTACCTGTGTGCAATTTGTTTTTCTTACTGAACATTTGGCTTCTTCAAATTATCTGTATGCTACTTGTTATCTATTGCCTGTTGTTGTCAATGTTAATCCGCTGCTTATCACAACATATCTGCAGCAGTTTCTCCTAATATTCCTGTTACAAAGGTTACGACAGTGTCTACATTGTGCTTGAGTGTCATTTCATGAGTCAAAGATGAACATATAGAAGTAAACCAGATACATCAAAGACCATCAGTATCAGCCTCTCAAACAGAGGAACCAATTTCACGGACATCAAAGCCAGAATCCCCAGAACTTTCTGAGACTGTCCAAGGTTCTGCTCATCGAAACAAAAAAGAAAAGAAGTAGATGTGACACTTGGCACTTGGAAATTTGGAGGTTCCATCATATTTGCCGATGGAGGTTCACAATCCGTTTGAACATCTGGAGATGGGTATTACTCGTTCCAACCAAGCCATTACTGGAGCGGCTTCAAAAGAGGACCGAACTGCACTTTGAGGAAAGTAAAGCAGCAACAGTTGCACCAATTCAATGTGTCCATCACAATAGATTTTGAGATCAGTATTCTGATGTTTCTGAGATCACTGAGAAACAGAAATTTCAAGCTGTACACAGGGTCTCTAGAACAACTGCTTCCCTTGTTCTTTGCACTCGACCACATCGGCTATGCTCGTTGGTTGACGGTACTTTGGAGAGACATGACATCACTTCCGGAAACTCATCCAGCAATCTACGAAATGTACGGTTTGTTGTTAGAAAGGCCCGTTCAGCATTCTCGTCCATGTTCATTGACCAGGCTCATGAACAACATACCCAGATAGTGAAGAGTGATGGATGAGCAACTGGCTTGGTAGAGCCCAACACATCACATAGCAACCAGTCCAGGAAGACTTATTCAAGCAAGTTTTTCTCGATATCACAGGACAACAACGGTTAACTATTCACATTCTTGACGAACTGATAGCATCACAGAACACAGAAAAACAAATCGTTGCCACAAGTGGGAATCTGGTTCTGAGAAACAAGGTGGCTGAGGCTATGGGGTCTATTTTTCTCACTGAGAGGCAGATACTAGATTGTTCTTGTATTCGTCGCTCCAGAACTATGAACTATGAACAGTGATGCTGTTGTCCCTGCTGTTGCATTATTGCAATTTCTGGATATGTCACGTTTTTGAATCGCGATCAGAACAGGGAAAACGTTTAGATATATTCCAATACATAGTATTGCTTCAGGAATTGGAGAAGATGTAGCCAAAGCTCTTGGAGCCTTTCACGCATTTACCTGTTGTGACCAAGTGTCTTTCTTTGCAACCAAGGGCACAGTTACAGCATGGAACACATGGATATCTGACACAGAAGTTACTTTAAGAAAATCTCCCCTAATTAACAGCGCATTGTGTGTCAACCCGGCACCAACAGCAAAAAGGGCCGATCATCTGAGACTATTCCAGCAACAACTTCAGCACTGTATGAACACACCAAGCAGGTTGCCTACCAGGTTGGATTTTTTTACAGTTTAACACCCGTGAAGATCCGGGGTAGAATAGGTCTTCAGCAACCCATGCTTGCCGTAAAAGGCGACTAACGGGATCGGGTGGTCAGGCTCGCTGACTTGGTTGATGCACGTCATCGTATCCCATTTGTGTGATTCGTTGCTCATGATGCCAATCACTGGAATGTCTGGTCCAGACTCGATTATTTACAGACCGCCATCATATAGCTTGAACACTGCTGAGCGCGGCGTAAAACAACAACAAACAAACACATTTTACAGTTTATATATATATATGACTGAAATTCTGCCGATGTGACAGTAAATGTGTTGGGGGTGGGATGGGTTAACGAGTGAACTGACTCGTGCCGAATTTTTGTATGGTTCCTTTTTGTGCTTCGCCTCCCACGTGTGTTTGGAATGATGAACTGCAGTGCACCACAGAGATATGCAAGTTTTGTTCATACAGGGTTACGACCAGGGAGGCCACACATTGTAATCTGCGGGTCTTCGTTATTCGGATCCGACGACAAGCAAGGACAAGGACCTATTTTGCTCACTCATACACCTTGTCACCTACCCACTCACTCACCCATACACCCAACCACCCAACCACCCAACCACCCAACCACCACTCGCTCTCCCCTCAGCCACTCATCCACCAACTAACTACTCACTGTCTTTCTCCGCTGGCCAGTCTTCCTTCGTGATTCTGACGTCTTCATATTCCTGTCCCGCCAGAGCGAAGAGCAAACGAGACAGTTCCCCTCGTCCACGGAAGTCATAGTAAACCAGCTTGTATTGAGGCATGTTTCCGACCAGCTCCTACCACGATCTTGACACAAATGCGAAGAAACTTATCTCACCTGCACATAAACTATTGATCACGATGACTCAGTGCAACATTGCTGAAACGTCAAGGTCGACAAAGTGCTGCTCGAGTAGGAAGAGATTAATCTCACCTGAATAAGACCTTCTCAGCCAAATGACTAAACGCAACGTTGCTGAATTACATCGGGGCAAGATCAAGGTGACCCATTATCTAATGTCAGATGCACGTAATCGGGACCTGATAGTAGCTGTTCCAGGCCTATGAATGAGAGTAAAATCTCGGACGGTTCCCACTTGCTTTTTATGCAAATTGTGTGGGTGGCGGGTGCTGCCGGTCTGGCAGGAAATGCTTAGTACTCTTTTCAAGAACATATGGCGTCATCACTGATTGGGGGCCATCCATTTATACAATTGCCACTACTATATTGTCTTTCACGCCCAATAGCATCTGTTTCGGTGGATAATAAAGTCTGGTTATCCTCTAGCGTTGGCGTTTTATATTTACAATTGGTCTAAATAAGCTTTGGATTCAATTTAAGATAGCATGGGCATGGTCAACGTTCTTGTAAATGTGGGGCGGTGGGACAGTCTAGTGGTTAAAGCGTTCGCTCGTCACGCCTAAGGTCCGGTTTCAAATCCCCACATGGTTACAATGTGTGAAGACCATTTCTTTTGCCCCCTGTTGTGATATTGCTAAAAGCTGGGTAAAACCTTACACACTCACTCACTCACTCTGTTTTACGTCTTGGCATTGTAGATATATTTATGTAATATATGAAACTGAAATATTGAATCTGTGGATGAAGGTGACGCTGTCAACAATACCAATCAATTCTTTGTTGTTTTATTTCTGTACTACAGGTCTATAGTACAAGGCATATGCAATGGCGGGTCCATGTAACAGACTGCGTTATGTATGGCTGTGGTGCATGGACATGTTATACTATCATTGTATCAGAGCGTAAGTAAGGATAAGTATTTATGAATGAACAACTTCTCTATTACAATTAATATTGCTCTTAATTGTAATAGAGAAGTTGTTCATCCATAAATTCTTATCCTTACTTAGTACTCCAACTCCTAAATGTATTTCAAAGAAGTTATCAGAACATAACAAAGAAACCTATTATATAATGTTGTATGTACAATGTGTTGTATTCAAATGGTACATTCTTAATTCTGTATATACTTAATTCTAAACTGAGAATAGAAAGGACATACAAGCAGAAAATGATATTCACCCTCAACTCTATTAAGGTGACAGCTTTACACAGTGTACATATTCTTGATGTCCTTGGAATGTTAGTTTATCGTCCAACTTCAAAGAAGTCCATGTATGGGACATCTTAATTTCAATAGAGCATGTCTTTGTAACATTATTAATCAAACTGATATCGTTCTGCATAAATCTTAATAAAGTGGGTTCCACCAAAGTGGTAAACGTCTAAGACAGGCATTAATTCAGGCTTTCCTCTCGATTCAAGCTGACACACTGTGATATAACAGGAATAATGACCAAAGCGGCGATAAATTCACTCTGCATAAATCTCTGTTCTAACACTTTATAATACAGAAATGAATTGGATGAAAATACAAATTAAACCAATCATACAACGTTTGTGTTTGAATTACTTCAATTAAATTTGCTTGACAAAGCCTTGTGCTTCATTTACATCTCAGGTTGCCACTCGTTCAAATAATGTTACATCTATTGCATCGCTTATCTTGCTATGTTATAACATAGTAAAATGTGTACTTTATTGCTATAGCAACAAACGGTATGGGTATTTCTTACCTGGTACGATTTACCTTGGCTTAAATACTGCATATTCTTGTGTAATCTACATGGACTTAAATATGTCACAGTCTGGTATGACCTACCCGACTTAAATACTGTACTAAATACTGTCACTGTCTGGTAACTTAAATACTGCATAGTTTGGTATGACCTACCCGGCCTTAAATACTGCATAGTTTGGTATGACCTACCCGGCCTTAAATACTGCATAGTTTGGTATGAGCTACCCGACCTTAAATACTGCATAGTTTGGTATGACCTACCCGGCCTTAAATACTGCATAGTTTGGTATGACCTACCCGGCCTTAAATACTGCATAGTTTGGTATGACCTACCCGGCCTTAAATACTGCATAGTTTGGTATGAGCTACCCGGCCTTAAATACTGCATAGTTTGGTATGACCTACCCGGCCTTAAATACTGCATAGTCTGGTATGACCTACCCGGCCTTAAATACTGCATAGTTTGGTATGACCTACCCGGCCTTAAATACTGCATAGTTTGGTATGAGCTACCCGACCTTAAATACTGCATAGTTTGGTATGACCTACCCGGCCTTAAATACTGCATAGTTTGGTATGGCCTACCCGGACTTACATACTGCACAGTGTAGTATGTCCTACCTGACCTTAAATAATGCATAGTATGGTATGATCTACCAGGACTTAAATACTTCACATCCCTGTATAATCTACCTGGACTTGAATGCTTCACAGTTTGGAATGCCCTACATGTATACTTCACAGGTGTATCATACTAGAATGTGCACAGTCTGGTATGATCTATCTGAACTTAAATACCACATAATCATGTATAATCTACCTGGACTCAAATATTTCACAGTCTGGTATGCTTTTCCGGGACTTAAATACTGCATCGTCTGGTATGACCTACCTACCTGGACTTAAATACTTCACATCCCTGTATAATCTACCTGGACTTAAATATTGCATATTATGGTATGATCTACTCGGACTTAAGTATTGCATAGTCTGGTAAGGCCTAACCGGATTCAAATGTTGCATAGTTTGGTGTGGCCTACTCGGACTTAAATACTGCATAGTTTGGTGTGGCCTACTCGGACTTAAATACTGCATAGTTTAGTGTGGCCTACTCGGACTTAAATACTTCATAGTCTGGTAAGGCCTAACCGGATTCAAATGCTGCATAGTTTGGTGTGGCCTACTCGGACTTAAATACTGCATAGTTTGGTGAGGCCTACTCGGACTTAAATACTGCATAGTTTGGTGTGGCCTACTCGGGCTTAAATACTTCATAGTCTGGTAAGGCCTAACCGGATTCAAATGCTGCATAGTTTGGTGTGGCCTACTCGGACCTAAATACTGCATAGTTTGGTGAGGCCTACTCGGACTTAAATACTGCATAGTTTGGTGTGGCCTACTCGGGCTTAAATACTTCATAGTCTGGTAAGGCCAAACCGGATTCAAATACTGCATAGTTTGGTGAGGCCTACTCGGACTTAAATACTGCATTGTATGTTATGACCTACCCGGACTTAAATACTTCATAGTCTGGTTTGATCTACCTAGACCTTAATACTTTAGTCTCATAATAACTTACCGAGACTTAAATACTCCACAGTCTGGTAATGATCTCAGTGGACATAAATACTTCACTATCTGGTAATGATCTAAGTGGACATAAATACTTCAATTATGGTAATGATCTTAGTGGACATAAATACTTCACAGTCTAGTAATGATCTAAGTGGACATAAATAATTCACTGTCTGGTAATGTTCAAGTGGACATTAATACTTCAGTCTGGTAATGATCTAAGTTGACATAAATACTTCACTATCTGGTAATGATCTAAGTGGACATTAATACTTCAGTCTGGTAATGATCTAAGTGGACATAAATACTTCACTGTCTAGTAATGATCTAAGTGGACATTAATACTTCAGTCTGGTAATAATCTAAGTGGACATAAATACTTCACAGTCTAGTAATGATCTACTTAGGGATAAATATTTCATCAAGTCATTCAATGCACAACGCTGTACTCGCCTGCTATGTGTGTGAATGCAGATGATTACACTGTGGCTTTTTGCAAGGTTTCTTTCCAGCTGACTCCATTTACACAAACAAGAACAAAACTGTTTGGTTACAGCACACAATTCAACCTATTCAATACGAAAAGAATCGATTATACAACAATATATATCACCGTGACTTTCTTTCAACACGGGACTGTTCGCTGTGTATATCCGCACGATAACTCATGCGGCGTAAGGCAGTTATCACTCCTTTGACGCTGCCCCATGTGATCCGGCGCAAAAATAGTTCTGAGTACCTGTTGTTGGTCTTATCAGATGGTCTGACTGTGTGACCTGTCCGATTGTGTGCCATCGTGTAATTGCGTGTGTCGTTGTCATGCTATCGATCACTGGTTTGTCTGGTCCATATTCGATTCAGTACCATCGTGATATTGATAACCCAGCTTTCCGTATTTGTTGTTGAGTGAGCGAGTTGGGTTTAAGGCCGCTCTGATATTATTCCAGTTATATCACGGCGTGTCTGCTTAATGTAAATGGAAAGACCGAAGTGATGCAGGTCTCAGACGTTTACCACTTTGGTAAAGCCAATGATCACATGACTGGTATGGTTGACAAACCTAGCTTTATAATCGGGGCGAGCCGGGATTCGAACCGATAATTATTGGTTTCTGGCGTGTCTAAGTGACGCAACTCTGCACAGCGAATTGTAGAGCCTTAGACGGCTGGGCCACCCGTGTCCCCCTTTACACTTCACTGGGATTTGAGCGGATCAGGTAACTGAATACGTCATTGTCGATGACGTGATGACGTGGATCGTGGCCCATGCTTTCAGTCACTGGCCATGGTTCACACTCGATTATATACATCAATATATATCACCGTGACTTCTTTCAACACGTCACTCCTCGCTGGTAATAACCGCACGATTACTGATGCGGCGTTAGGCAATTGCCACTCATTCAAAAAAGCTTCATGTGATCCGGCGCTAAAATAGCTCTGAGTATCTGGTGCTTGTTATAAAAGCCGACTTATCAGATGGTCTGACTGTGTCACCTGTCCGATTGTGTGTCATCATGTAATTGCGTGTGTCGTTGTCATGCTATCGATCACTGGCTTGTCGGGTCCATATTCAATGCATTGCCATCGTGACATTGAAATTATAAAATTGTAATATTTCCTTACTCACTCATGTCATATTGATAACCCAGCGTTCGGTGTATAGATAGTAATGGAGACTGTACAAAACGCTTCAAAACTTAAGGGGCCAATCATGGTTTGTTTCTTCTTCTCCGATGAGGCTTAATTTTTCTGAAAAAACCCCAGCCTGGATAAAATGAAGGCAACGCCAATTGGCTGGACTTAAACATACAAAGAGCATAATATGTTTGTGTTAGATCACTGGCTTCTTATGTCCAAAATTCAGTTCATTACCATCTTATTGTTGTCGTAAGAGGCAACTAACGGGATCGGGTAGTCGGGGTCGCTGACTTGGTTGATGCATCTCATCGTATCCCAAATGCTTATATGGATTCTTATGATGTCAATCACTGGATTGTCTGGTCCAGACTCGATTATTTACAGACCACCGACTCAAACGGCAACACAGATATCTTCTTTGTATTATTAAAAATACAATATTCTATAATAAATAGACGAATTAAATCGTGACGAATTCTTCTATCTTTTAAATAGTATTACACTTATGTTGTTTATATAAACACTAGTACTAAGTACCAAGTACTTGTCACTTGTAAATGTCCATGAGTCTCACATCAAAAGTCTGTAACTGGGCGTTTCTTAACCCATGCTTTGATTTTAGGGTTGTCACCCACGTTCTCGTTGCACTTTTTAACCAGAGGATAGTCTGCCAACTTGACCACTGGCTGGACTTTATCACAGAGATCAAACAGACTGACGTCAGCAAGACTGATCTGAAAACAAATGTTCATAGATGTAAATAACAAAGTAAATTTAAAGCTGTTGTGATACAGGGTGATATACAGATGATTCCACATGTCAATGCATCGCCTTTATTGTTGCCATCAAGGCATGATTTGCCTTTTCTCCTCAGTATATGAACGTTTGTAAGAATTTAGCTTTGCCATTTAGACCCAATAGAAGTAGTGGTAGTCGTGATAGAAGTAATAGTAGTCGTCATAGAAGTAGTTGGAAGGATAGTAGCAGTAGTAGTGTGTGTGGGTGGGTGGGTGGTAGTAGTAGTAGTAGTAGTAGTAGTGATCGCAGTTGTAAATGTCGTGCATGTAGTTGTTGCAGTTTGATTGTTGGATTGTTTAACGCCACACCCAGCAATATTCCAGCTATATGACGGAGGTCTTTAAATAATCGAGTCTGGACCAGACAATCCAGTGATTGACATCATGAGCATGGATCCACGCAATTGGGATCGATGACATGCATCAACCAAGTCAGCGAGCCTGACCACGCGATCCCGTTAGTCGCCTCTTACGACAAGCATAGTTATGAATACACAATGAAATATATACTAAGAAAGTGTTATACCAAATATAACATTTGTTAGACAAGCATAGTTGCCTTTTACGGCAAGCATGGGTTGCTGAAGACCTATTCTACCCCAGATCTTCACTGGTCTGTTGTCGTAGTAACATCATTGACAAGGGTAGTGGTAGTGGTAGTGGTAGTGGTGGTAGGTAGTGGTGGTTGTGGAGGTGATGAATGTAGTAGTTGCAGTGATAGTAGTCATTGTACCAGTAGTGAGGTGTAACAGCAGTTATTGGAGAGTATATGTATACGTGGTGGCTGCTGATGTTGTAGTAGTGTTGATATCAATCACATATTGTCGGAGTGGTATTTGCAATGTTGCTACTTCATTGACAATTTATATTTACCTTCTTGCCCACAAAATAACCAGTACTGCCATTGTTCTTCAGTAGCTTCTCAAACATCCCGAAATACAGCGGTATTTTCACCTCCTTCATCTCCTTCATCAACTCCGCCTGAAATCATAAAGTCGTTCCATATTCTATTGATGAAACTGTGACACCTAATCACATATCATCTTTCTAAAACGATTCGGTGGCATTGCTTTGACACCACTGTAAATGCTCGCGGCTCGTTTGTGGTTATACGTTTGATAACGTCCTACACGGTCGTGGCTCTTTGTGTGGTGGGCGCCTGCATATACCGCCACCGGTGACGGAAATTACCTTTATGGGTCGCATTTATGGTATGAATTGTATGAATGGGTACTACGTGCTCTCTGTGAAGAGCGGCCATTTGTTTTCTTTTCCTCGTGGTCGGTGTGAATTGTAGAATGTCCATGTGTCGCATTTATAATGTGAACTGTAAAAATGGACGCGAAGTGCTCGCTGTGAAGAGCGGCCATTTTGTTTATTGTTAACTGGCGTGACTAATGCCCAAGTGAGACATTGTGGCATTATAATAAACCTATGTGTGCTGAGATTCCTCTTGTGTATTAAATTTAGTGATTTATTATTGGAAATTTAAGGTGGGTTTAAAACAGAACTACTGCCACGAAGTAGCCTGGTAAGCTAGACCGCAAGCTCTGGTATCTTCCAGTGATAGTAGAAAGTAAGGCTTATACGTACACACGAAATACATAAATACATATGAAAATAGTTTATAAAACATTCCTAAATTTGAATAATTACAAAAAACACGTTTGTTTTATTTGGGACAATCATCAGAGGGAGTGACGCTCTGTCCTAGACTTGTTTGCCTGCCCTAGACCGCTTGCTCGCCTAGACAGTTGAAGTTAAGTTTGTGAAAATAGCAAATGATATTATTCATTCGAACAGCTATCACCCTATACTAAAACATGGAGTTGTGGTGTTATTGTTTGCTGATAGGCAGGGCTGCACGCATTAACGCAATACTCGTTTTAGGCCAGGGATCGACACTCGCATTCACTTTGTGACTCTAATTTCATGTCGTCACAATTTTGGTGAAATCGATGGAAAACGAGTATCGTTCTGACAGGTCAATGACCATACCCGCGGAGAATTCGGAACTTAAAACAGCGGATCCTGGCACAACCATGAGCCGTAACTGCAGAGGACTGAGTTCACTCGTGAGCTGATAGTATGTAGAGGGTTATGCTGACAGACTTGTACACTATAATCAGACGCAGGGTTTACTTTACCTGCTTGGCGGCGTCCTTCTCGAATTTACTTTTCAAGAAGGCAGTGATGACGTCTTGGACGACACCCAGAGCTTGATCCACTTGTAGGGCTTCCAGATCGCCGTTACCATAGAAACCTGACACAGATCACATTAGAATAAACACAACGTGTCGATTCATGCATAAAGTGTATCGTGAAACATGTCTTCTCTACCGAACATTAAATACAGTGAAACCTCATTAATCCGGATAGGGCCGTGCACAGTGAATTGTCTGGATTAACGATATCCAGATTCTCCGGGATGTAGTAATATAATGTCCCTCTAACTATTCAAAAACGTTCCAAATAATCGTACGGAAGACGAGAGTCCCGGATAAAAGGTGTCCGGATTAACGAGGTCTGACTGTTCTACATTGGTCGTTAACGATCTTGGCCAAACCAAAGGTGGCTATCAATGATAAACCCCAAGGAACATGAAAACCAGTAAAAGGCCTTTTTATAGGTGAGGTGAAGTGAAACGGAGTTGAACATTGCTTTAATGTATTCTGGCACTTACATAGCGATGTGTGTGTTTGTGTGTGCGTGCGTGCGTGCGTGTGTGTGTTTGTGTGTGCGTGAGTGCGTGCATGTGTGTGAGAGTGCGTGTGTGTGTGAGAGAGAGAGTGCGTGCATGTGTGTGTGTGTGTGTGCGTGAGTGTGCGTGTGCGTGCGTGCGTGTGTGTGTCTGTGTGTGTGTGTGTGCGTGTGTGTGTGTGTGTGTGCGTGAGTGCGTGTTCGTTCGGTAATCGAACCTGGACCTTCGGGTTCCCACATGGCTAGCCCACCGCCCCTGAGGCATCTGATATAACAGATACGTTTTTAGGACGCCAGATCCATTTTAGGGTAGCATACAATAATTATTTTTTGGAGAATTATGTTTTTATCAAATGGTCAGCCCCTGAAGGCAAGCACGATGAACTAACATAAGTTGTCGACTCACCAAATGTCTTTGCAAGGTATCTGGATATGGCGCTGCTCTGACAAAAGGGTTTCCCATCAATGTCAAGGACGGGCATCTGACCCAGAGGTGTGTCTGCAAAATAATGTTTACTATATATTCTGCATATTAATGTGCACCTAATGGATCGGTGTGCACACGATCTTCAATATCAGCTCCCTGGGGAGCCTACAACCCAAGCTCCCTGTCTGACACCCATTACCATCTCATCCTAAAACGGGTCCCCAATCACTTCGAAGTAAACGGTTCGGCATATTCCGACCATAGTCGTGGGCCTAAGGATACACTGCGTGTACGTGTGTTACATTTGTGTTAGTGTCGGGCAGGACCGAAGCCCTGGAATCTCCCAAGAATAAGCTGCCTAACGCGTACATGTGTGTTATACATATAAACAGCTGCCATGGCATTTGTCTAAATAGAATCTTTGGTATATCTGTCAAAATAGTGGACATTAATGAAATGTATATATGCAGAAAAAATTGATGTGGTGCAACACGCAAAATGAAAAATTCTTTATGAATTAAATGAATATGTTGAAAGAATAACGAGACGAATATTGGTCTTGAACAAAAATCCAGACTTACACAATAACACACAACAATACACATCCCTCACCAGCCAGCCAATTTCAAAAGTTGGACCATTCATGTAAGTCCACACTCAAAACTAAAATAAAACTATCTAACTTAGAACAATACCCAATAAAACCTAAGAAAACTAAGAAAATTATAAACATTTTTTTTTATTAAATCAACGCAAAGTTATTCATTTACCTTTACTTCATCAATTATTTTTTATGGTTAACTTGACTTAACATAAAAAAGTTGATCAAAAAGTGTAATTTAAATGCTTTAAGTTGAGGTGTTTCTTTACAGGGGTGGGGGTGTTGAGTGCACGGCACAGCCACGGAAGGTAAATGAAAGTGTGGTTTGTGTAACGTGTCCTGAATTGCAAGTGCGAGTTAACGAAGGATTTCATAGTAAATACTAACACCTCAAAACTAGGCCCTATTGAAATGAGGATGAACCGTCGGCATGAGATAAGTCAAAGGATGCTTTGAGTTAACTCTTTAGGTGGTTTCATAAAGCCGCGATGAACTAATTGTTAGATTGTCAACGCGATTCCTCAATATTGTAAGGCGGGAAGATGTTTTTGTCATACTTCCATTTCAAAAAGAACTCCCAAAGGGATCTGTGTACATTAACGGTCGACAGATGTGGTTCCCATGGCAATGAAGAGCTTATGAATGTTTACTGTTCCCGTGGTTCAAGTGTCCCCAACCCGATTAAAAATATCGACCAATCAAAGGGCTGCTTTTCGACACACCCATTATTTGCGGGTCTGATGTCGGCCATTTGTGAATGAGTGAGTGAGTGAGTGAGTGAGTGAGTGAGCGAGCGAGTGAGTGAGTGAGTGAGTGAGTGAGCGAGCGAGTGAGTGAGTGAGCGAGTTGGGTTTAACGACGCTGTTAGCAGTATTCCAGTTTTATCACGGCGTGTCAGCTTTATGTGGGAGGAAAGCCCGAAGAGATGCAGGTCTCAGACGTTTACCACTTCGGTGAAACCCACGAGCACGGGTATGGTGCTGACAAACCTAGAAACATAATCGGGGCGAACCGGGATTCGAACCCACAACCATAGGTTTCTGGCGTGCCCAAGGGACGCAACTCTGCACAGCCAATCGCGGCGCCTCAGAAACAGGGATACAAGGCGTGCAAGGCGTGCAAGGTGTGCGGTGCTGGGTCTGGCCTTGTGCAGCCTGGACTAGATGGAGTCATGACATGGTAATCTGAACAAAGTCTCATCACCTGCCCCAGTAGCTCAGGGGGAAAACAGTGGGTTACAAAACTTAAAACGATATGTGAGGTTACATTCCATTCACGTCATGGAAGTTTCATGTTTAAAACAAATTTCTGACTTTTAACCAATCTTCAAACACAATTGTGATTACATCAAAAGGCAAGTTTATAACACGTTAAATTTCACAGAATGCCCGCTTACCCGGACATACTTAAGCTGGAATAACTCCTTTCCGGCTTACCCCAAAAAAATGCGAACCTATATTTATAACAGAGTGACACCGTTAGAGGTTTATAAAAAAATATTTTATCACGATTACGTGAACTAATGAAATCTTAACTTCCTGATAAACTGCTTTATCAACGTGGGATGATCAGGCGAGTTCGAGGTCGAAAACACGAACACTGGCAAAGAAAGAACATGTCGTTTGTTTAAACGAACATACGGTGCTAGAAACGCCATGGAAACCTGCTACATCGCAAATGTACATTTAGCATATCATTGTATATATGTGTTATTGATAATATAATATGTCCTAAATCAATCAGGGTGTCTTATCTGTAACATAAAAGTATGCTATATGTACTGTATATACACGTGTCTGTCCGCGTGTCCTTTACCAGTTGATCAAGCTATTTTAAATGTACTCACTTGGCTTTTCCGCAGCCCATGCTTCTGACGGGATTCTGACGTCCTCATAATCCTGTCCCGCCAGTGCAAACAGCAGCCGGGGTACCTCGCCCAGGCCCCTAAGGTTGAAGTAGCGGAATCTGTACGTCGGCATGGCTGTGTGTGTGTGCTTGGGTTGACTGCGCTCGTCTTCCTCAACTGCTGCCTTTTATACTGACGCGAGCACAAAGAAAATGCTGCGTCACATGCGTGTCGTTCCAGGATCTATGAAGCGGATCAATTTCGCCGTTCTACCGGAACGTCTGACTTATGACATCTACGCTTTATACTAACAGTTTGTGTGCGAATTATTTATTAGTATCAGTATATTGACCTGTTTCAATATGGCGGTTCGTGAGTGATGGTGGTTTTTTAAGCACCGCTTAGATTTGGTTGGTTGGTTGTTTAACGCCGCACTCAGCAATATTCCAGCTGTACGACGGCGGTCTGTAAATAATCGAGTCTGGACCACACAATCCAGTGATTAATATGATGAGCATCAATCCGCGCAATTGGGATCGATGACATGCATCAAACAAGTCAGCGAGCCTGACCACCCGATCCCGTTAGTCTCCTCTTACGACAAGCTGCACCGCTTTGAGTGAGTGAGTGATTTTGGTTTTATGCCGCTTTTAGCAATGTTCCAGCACGATCACGGCGGGGGACACAAGAAATGGGCTTCACACATTGTACCCATGTCAGGTATCGACATCGAGACATACGTAACACAGAAGATGACCGCAGGCCTGGCCGTCCTCAAGATGCCTCGTCTGAATTTCAAGTGGAGGCTGTCCACTGCATGGTTATGACCGACCGACGTTTTACAATTCAACTTATCGCTGACACTTTTTGGAAAACTATTCAGTTGTGGGTCATCACAATCCATCGTAGCTGACACACTCCGCATTAGAAATTTGTTGTTTATGATTGGATCCACAGTGTTGACCCCAGATCAGTAGTTGACCCTACTGAAGAGATCCAGGGATCTGCCTTTTGTCAATTTAATACTCATACAATACTTTTGGTGACTTTGTTGCCAGTGTAAAGAATGAATAATACAGGAGTCAAAAGACAACCTTGAATAACACCGGTTCACATGTTAGCACCCAGGCACCGTTAGTCATAGCGTATGGAAGTCAACCAAAAATGCTTCATCACAATCTATGGCAATACATACGTTCCATACCTAAGTTACCCATAAGAAAAAAAAGTGAAATCATTTTATAAAACATTTTTAAAATAATGTTCGTACTGTTGCTCCAACCTGCGCAGTGTCACATATAACCTGTAACCACAAATCTTTTTTGTCCTTTGTCAAGCATGTGTTCCAGTTAAGTATATAACATTCAAGTGTAAAAAAATCTCTTTTATTTCAGGCTACTTGACTGTCCTTTAATTACATTGGTGTTTCAGGTCTTGCAGCAGTACAGACTCTTCAAAACCTAAGGCGCCAATCCTTTTTCCTTCTCTGGTGGGGCTTGATGTTGCCTCTAAAATAACCCCGACCTGACTTTTTGTTACAAAAACACTCCAATTTGAAGAACATTTAAAGAAATAACTGTTGTGAATCACCAAAACCAAATACATTCAGTCGGTAACTGAAATGTCGAAACGAATCATGCTAACTAATACTTTCTCTCAAACAAAACTCCAAATAAACTCGTACAACAGCACCTCCGTGTTCGTTTTATTGTCATAAAATACCTTTACAGTTTTGAATAATAAATCAAGATGAAGTAAATAATAATTACCTCATTATTGTGTGTATGTCCTAATAACTAATCTACCAAGTTCTTGATACCAGTACTAAAGAGACAATGTTCACGTTTCTCACATCAAAACTCTGTAACTGGTCGTTTCTCAACCCATGCTTTGATTTTAGGGTTGGTACCCACGTTGTCATTGCATTTCTTGACCAGAGGATAGTCTGCCAACTTGACCATTGACTTGACTTTATCACAGAGATCAAACAGACTGACGTCAGCAAGACTGATCTGAAAACAAATGTTCATAGATTTAATTAAACAAAGTAAATTTAAAGCAGTTGTGATACATGGTGATATACAGGTAATTCCACCTGCCAATGCGCCGCCTGTATGGTTGCCATCAAGGCATGGTCAGTGCTTTCATTTGCTCTTGCATCTGTGAGATATGAACGTTTGTAAGGATTTAGCATTGACATTAAGAAGCATCATCATCAATAGTAATATGAGTAGTAGTAGTAGTAGTAGTAATAGTGATAATAGCCATTAATAGATGTAATAGTAGTCGGAGTTGTAGTCACGGTAGCTGTAGCAGTAGTTGTAGTGATGTCAGCATACACTCTTCAGAAAAGGAAACGCACAGACAGTATGTAGTTCACTGAACCTGACTACACAAAATAACAACAACAAAACGGTATATAAATTGAATATATACTATTGGAAAATGTTGGTGGCCTGATATTCGACAAACGGTGCGACAAAACCCAGCCATTGTCGATTGTCGAATACCTCTGGGATGAAGTCGATCGACGTGTACGTCAACGTCAGAACACGCCGCAGACTCTCCCACAACTGGCCAACGCGTTACAAGCAGAATGGCGCAGAATTCCGCCGGACAGAATTCGTACCCTTATCCAGTCAGTGCCGAGGAGATGCAGAGCCGTGATTGCTGCCCAGGTGGTCACGCGAGATACGAGTTCAGCGCAACCTTGTGGCCTTATGTGACATGACAATGAATAGTTTTCAGTGCCTTTGTACTAAAGTGGTCTAAAAATCTTTAACGTTTTCTTATTGCGCGATTGTTTCAAACTGTCTTCTTGGGAATTGCACTGTGCCGAAATATATTTTAAAAAACCAACGGAGGAGATGCTTTGTAGATGAAACTCGTCTCGTCCTCTAAATGGTTGTACTCTAAATAGATTTTGTTACAATTGCGAGATTTGTAAGTTCTGTTTACTAACTGGTGAATTACCGTGAATTTCAAAGAGAGTTATGTCATTTACATTCTGCCATTTCCAATAGTCGTCGTCGTGATATTAGCAGCAGCAGCAATAGTAGTAGTTGTTGGTGTAGAAATAGTGATAGTAGTAGAAGTGATAGTAGGCGCAGTAGTAATAGTAGTAAAAGTAGTAGTAGTTGTAGTCTTAGTATTACAGTAGTCGTAGAAGAAGTAAAGATAGTTGTGGCAGTAAATTTTTTACCTTCTTGCCAACAAAAAGCCCAGTACTGCCATTGTTCTTCAGTAACTTCTCCAACATCCCGAAATACAGCGGTATTTTGACATCCGCTAGCTCCTTCCTCAACTCAGCCTGAAAACATATATATAATACTGAATACCCATGACGCTCTGTGCACAGAGGGTGTCACCATTTACATCATGTATACACTACAGATTCCAAGGGGGAAACGTGCGTTATAAAATAAAATAGAATAATCTTTTAATCAAGTTCTGCAACTCATACTTTCATCACCAGTGACTTTGAATGCCGACCACGACGTCAACGTTTTACTCATTCACTCCCAACCCCATGGGGAGTCAGAAGATCATTGAAGCTCCGCTATATTAGCCCGATTCACAAGCAGCTTCAGATAGAAAGTCTAAATTTTCTATGACATTCAACCAAAATTGTTTCAAAGGTGACTAGCGTGCACATGAGTGCTCGAGAAGTGCTCGAGGATTACCACAGCTTTGAACAGTATTTCAGCAAGTCTGAATTTTCAAGGAAACATAAAGTTTGACCAAAATTGTTTCAAAAGTAACGAATGTCTTCCATGCACATATATCAGTGAAGTGGCTCGAGTGTAAGTTGGTATTAACTCAGCTTTGAACCGCATGTCAGCTATATGACGGCGTTTGAACTTGATATTGAAGAAAATCCCGTTCTGAACATGTGATGACAGACCGATGATCATGCGGAGGACGAATTTAGGATTTCAGCGGATCCTGACACGACAAAGAGGCGTCAGTCCGGTGGATTGCAGCGACCAGTATACAGTAGCAAGTTGGATGTCACTTAACGTCGGATGTCACTCCAACAAGCCGCAGAGTTTACTTTACCTTCTTGGCTTCGTCTTTCTCTTGAAAACTTTTCATCAAGGCCGTGATGACGTCTTGGATGACACCAAGAACCTGATCCACCGCTAGAGCTTCCAGATCGCCGTTGCCATAGAAACCTGATACGGATGACATTACATGATACACTCCGTGTCAGTAAATGTATAACGTGCATCGCGATACATGTGTCCTCTACCCTGAATCAAATACAGTGAGATCTAGTTAGTCCAGGTAGCTCCATTCACAATTAAATTGTCTGGTTTAACGATATCCGGATCAACGACTTCCCCATACATAATTCTTTTCCCCTAACTTTTTGTACACCCCAACAGCAGTCGTACAGAAGACGACATTTTCTGATTTTCAGAGTTGAGATTCACGGAGTCTGACTGTACTACAGTGGTCAGGACGATAATTATCTTTACTTAACCGAATGTGACTATCACTATTTGGACAATTACAACAGGAAAACCAACCCGAAGCTTACTATCATTTGTAGTAAATGTACGCACGCCAACCAACTGAAGAAAGTCTTTCACCCTCTTCAACCAAATCAAACAAATCCTAACTGTAGTCAGCTCTTACAGAAAGCATGGGCTTCTGGGGGACCTATTTTGTCGATGAATTCCATTGAACCTGACCCAAATTCTCAACTCACCAAATGTCCTTGCAAGGTATCTGGATATGGCGCTACTCTGGCCAAAGGATTTCCCATCAATGTCAAGGACGGGCATCTGACCCAGAGGTGTATCTGCAAAATATACTCTGCTATATATATTTCTATACATGAATTTGTATATCTGTCAAATTAGTAGTCATGAGCGATATTATATGATTTGTTTTTAAAATAATGAAAAAGGCTTTCGAACGTGCTAAGTAAAAAAGAAATATCCTGACGTCATATATGTATACATTATATGCATTACATTTACCTAGTTGCAGAAAGAGTAAACAGTAAAAATGGCAATAGTACTTTTAAATTACGTATGTCATTCACTGTGACCTTGACTTAATACGTAGGTCACACTTTCGATCTTGCCCCGCCCATAGAAAGATAAGTATCATATTTCATTAGCGTAAAGTAAATCCTCAGGCACTAAATAAACTTGTCATGCTGTTTGGCAAATGACATATCATGTGTAAAACAGGGATATGTGCTTCCCTGAGATGACAAATCACAATGGCTGTGGCGGGTCAACATTCCGACAAAACTAAAGAATTTCTGTTTACGAGGGGCGGTTTTGTGAAACCAATGCAAAAGTGGTATGTGATTTAATTAAAAGTAGGCTTCATTTAACTGAACTCCAGGTGCTTGTTCTTCACCATGTATCCGGACTCTCTCAAGAACATCATTCGTACACTCGCAGTTGGAATTTAGAATAGCGACATTGCTGTGCTGTGGTGTATATTGATTACCCCTACTGTGAAATAAACACGCTAGATTAAAACATTAAGATAACAATTTGTTGAACAATTATATATTATCATTTGTTTTGAGATAGCATTTATTCGTTAGCAGGTGAGTGGTGTGTACCATTGTGGACAAATATTACTTTCCTTATTCATTCAACATGTTCATTTAAGGAAGACATCCCTGTTGACATCCATAATTCAGATACTGTAAGGAGGAAGGCATTTGATTATTGATATTTTGGGGTAAATGTCGAGGGAAGCATGCATGTTTGGTCACTTATGTTATGATTCGTTGTCCGTCCACATTATGGGGCCTTTACACAGGATGGCGACCTTTGTGCCTCCCTAGTGCGACCATAAAATTTGCCAGGTCGTCGTTGGAGGCTCAAAGGAGGCAGAATGGTTGCCTAGGTCGTTCGAAGGTGGTACACAGGAGGTTCTGAAATCGCCGTCGATTTTTGAACATGTTCAAAACAGTCGCACAAAGGTCGCCGAGGTGGTTGGTTGCTCAAAGGTGGCTCAAAGGAGGCAGAAGGGAGGCACATGCATTGCCGCTGTTGCAGAATGAAGGCACAGTGGTCGCTCAATGGTCGCCAGGTAACAGATGCGTTCTGCTGAAATATTTTCCCGCCAATCATGGGCGACGCTTCTGCCTCCCTTGTGCCTCCTTTGGGCGATCCACAGCGTGCATTGAACGATGACTTTGGCGACCACCATGCCTCCATTCGGCGACCACGGCAACCCTTGAGACACCATGGCAATGCTTCTGCCTCTTTTCTGCCTCCTTTGAGCTACCTGCAGTGCCTCCTCAGCCTGCCTATGAATAGAGGGCTTGTACCTGCGGTGTTTCATTGTGGTTGCAGACGCTGAACAACTCGAGCACTTACTGCTGAACAACTGCTGGGGCAGTTACATAGATACATGATTTTCTGGGTTTAGGCGACCATTGTGCGTCCTGGCCAGTTTTTGATCGCTCAAAGGTGGCACAAGGAGCAGCCTTGTGTACAGGGGGTTTTACACATTTCAACCTACAGTAAACTACGGTTATAACGAACACGTTTATAACGAACTGACGGATATAACGAACTAACTTTTTAGTCCCGACTGTTTCCTGTAGTTATGCTGTATATATGCTTATAACGAATTACGGTTATAACGAACTAAAATTAGTTGTCTCTTTGAGTTTGTTATAACCGTAGTTTACTGTATTCAACATGACTCAGTTTGCGAAATTAAAACTATGCAGGAAACATCTGAACAGTTTGAACTAGATACGATTTTTACAGAACAATGCTCCGATGTTAATGAGGGTTACAATACAGTGGAAGCTATTGACAAATATTTAATTTTTGCTCTTTAATATGCATTCATGCATCATCCTGTGTGTACATTGTTTCTATTTTTGTGAGGATTTGCATCTGAAATGGCTTTTATATTTATAACTGAGATATTGTTAAGAAAGGACTAAATCCAAACACACTCATTCGGTGTGATTATCTCGGATTGAAGAAGTGTTTGTAACACTGGCACTGTTACTGATGCTAAAGAGATACCGTCTCGAAATGTATTTATTTCTAACACACCAGGCAACAACTGGCAATTGCAATTGCCATGGCAACAAACACCATTTTCTCCTGATGTGGTTCTACCAGACTTTCATCTGTTCCCAAACGAACAGAAAGACCCTTTTTCGACTTGAACGATGTATTCATAGTAGACGTTTTGATCAGCCAAGGGAAAACTGGGATAAAATCCCTTCAACATCGGTAGCAAAGTTCATCAAAGGGGAAGATTTAAAAGAATATATCTTTTTTATGACTTTACGTCAGTTTGGTCATGTGAGGCATAGGACATATGAACCACCTCTCGTATTTCGCACGCACGCACGCACGCACGCACGCACGCACGCACGCACGCACACACGCACGCACGCACACACGCACGCACACACGTGTATGTACGTCGCTACATAAATATAAAACGTCAACCCCAGAGAATAATTAGTCTTCATTATCTCCCGATACAGATTACATTGATGCAAAATAGTGCATATGTGCATTAAACCTTTGAATTAGGCCCTCAAAATATCAGGGGTAAGTTTTTCATTCTTTTAATGTATTGTGCGGTATTGGGTCTAATTTCCAAAGACAAAACATCTGCATGACAAACATAGAAGAGGGATCAGTTCAATATCGCTTGAATATTATCTCATCCTCAAGCTACACAACAATCGAAGTAGTGAGTCACGACCAGACTGCCTGTAAAAAGAATTAACTTCTTATAATATTCCAGGATGAACATAGCGCCCATCAATGGTATATCTGCTGTTCTGCCCTCCAAGACTCAAAGAACGGAAAAACAAAATGTCGGTGAGCGATGTTTTCGTCCGAATGGGCTTCAACTCTCTTTTACAATATATCAAGATAAAACTCAAGATAAAATATAATATGCAATGCAGATATTGACCGAAGTAACTTGACAAAATAATATGTAGTTTGAAAAATGATCATCGTTTCAGAATATATGGAAACAAAATATATGGTTTGTACAGGACAATACAATGTTCTGAGGCCAAATGTTAATCTAATGATTACTTCATTATGACCAAATGAACAATTTATAATCTCACCCTCATGTTCCTATACCCGTTTACCAAACCATTTTAAAATACTAACTTGGCTTCTCTGCCGGCCATGTCTCCTGGGTGAACCTGGCGTCCTCATAACCCTGTCCCGCCAGTGCAAACAGCAGCCGGGACACCTCGCCAAAAGCCTTTGCGTTGAAGTAGCGAAACCTGTATGTAGGCATGACTGGTGTGTGTGCACGGGTAGAAAACGTCCTCCTTCCTCGACTGCTGGCTTTTATACTGAGGCTGTGTTGTGATGTGTACCATCGTGTTCACAGAAAGTGCTGTGTCACTATTTTGCAATCGTAGTTTGAATGTACGTCACCGAGATATGTTGTGGGGCAAGGTGAAGTTTGTACTAGTAAAGGGCAGTTTGTGTGTGCTGGTATGTTTGTGTTCTTCATTTGAGTGAGTGTGTGAACAAATGGGGAGGTATGTGTGTGTGTGTGCGTGTGTGCGTGCGTACGTGCGTGCGTGCGTGTGTGGCTGATGGTACTAGTCAGGACAAATGCCTGTTTTATAGTGCTAGGCCAATGATGTACCATGTCGCAGTTTAACATGGATACCCAACTCAGATATATTATACAGACTCCGAGCCGACCAGTCCTTGTTTTATTTCCTTAATGCCAACGGCAACAACAAGTAGCATATTATAACGTCTTTTGATATATCGCTTTTGTTACATCTGTTTGTTTATTGTTTAACGCCGCACTCAGCAATATCCCAGCTGTATGATGTCGGTCTGTAAATAGCCGAGTCTGGACCAGACAATCCACTGATTGACATCATGCCCATCGATCATCGCAATTGGGATACGAGGACATGCATCAACCAAGACTGACCACCCGATCCCGTTAGTCGCCTCGGACAACAAGCATATTAGCTTCTTAAACAAACATTGGTTGCTGAAGACTGACTCTTACCCGGATCTTCACAGGTTCAGCTCTTGCAACAGACAATTTCTTCTTTTTTTCCACAATTTGAAACATAAATAATTCTTTCAAGCATTTTCGGGGGAAATTGCTTTCCCAATAAAACCAAATGGTCGGTCCCTAAATTTATACACATTAAAATATGATCTTGCACTAAATAAAAACAACTTAAAACAAAACTGTTGTAATTCATACTTTTATTCCAACCTGCGGTATAAGTTGGAACCACTTAGCAACTTTGTCCTTTGCATATAATACAACAAATAATTTATTTATTGTTCTTTGTCCAGGATACGTAATTGACTGCCCTGTACATGGGTGTTTGCGGTCGTTTGGCCAACCACTTGGCATTTATCTGGGTTTCACGCCACACAAACAGTGGTTGATATTGTGAGCAACGTCCCTCGCCGTCGGGGTACGATGACACGCAAGAACCACGTCAACAACCCTTATCTTAATTAGTCCAATTTAGTCGCCTCTTATAAGAAATAGATGCAAGGGATTTGTTATGGATCTGGTCCTCACGTGTGTATGGGTCTGAGATTACTGTGGGTACATGTACATGTATTTCTTGTTGAGTGAGTGAGTTAGATTTAAGGCCGCTCAGAACTGCATGACAGCTAAATGTGAGAGGAAAGCCTGAAGTGATGCAGGTCTCAGACGTTTACCACTTTGGTCAAACCCACAAGCACTGATATATACGGCGCTGACAAACCCAAAAGCATAATCGGGGCGAACCAGGATTCGAGCCAAAAGCCATATGCTTCTGGCGTACCCAAGGGACGCAGCTCTGCATGCCGAATCACGGTGCCTTTAGACGAGTGGGCCACCCGTGCCCTCATTTATTTATTGTAGAGGAGAGATGACATTTCATGGAGGGAAACAAATACATGTGTTGAGCAGAGGCATGCAAGCTTTGTTCACGCAGTCTGATGTTAGCTGTGGCTTGTCTTGCTTGGAACATGAAAAACCCCGTCGTAAAAAGTCTCTATTATTTTATCTTAAGGAAAGACCGAAGTGATGCAGGTCTCGGAGGTTGACCACTTTGGTACAGCCCATGAGCACAGGACTGGTATAGTTGACAAACCTAGCTTCATAATCATGGGGAGTCGGGATTCGAACCCATAATCATTGGTTTCTGGCGTGTCTAAGTGACGCAACTCTGCACAGCGAATTGTAGAGCCTTAGACGCCTGGGCCACCCGATACAAATCCTAAATAATATATTGTTTCAATGCCCTCTATAAATGTAATTCTTATATCCTGACTTTGTCGTGTGCGTATTGATTGAATAATACAGGAGACATAAGACAACCTTGGGGAACACCAGCTCGCATCTTGGCGCCCGAGGCAAATGCAACTTTACTGTCCTTCACATTGGTGGATGCCGTCTTGCAGCAGTCGAGACGCATAAAAGGTTCAGCTGAAAATCTATTTTTCTTATCGGAATGAGGCTTAATGTTTCCACTAAAATTACCCAGCCCGGATTGTTTTTGTAATGAAAACACTGTGACACAAAGTTGATGTCCTGGTCGGTAACCAAATGTGGAAAGATTGCTTACTAATACTTTCTTTCGAACTGAATCTCCAACGAAACCCATACAGTATCGCCTCAATCTTTTTATGTAAAAAAAATTTTTTACAATATTCTATACTAAATCGGGGATTACATCGTGATGAAAACAATCATAATTACCCATCTGATGTTCATATATTGTAAACATTATTCTGCCAAGTACTTGCCACTTGTACTCAGAAGAAATATCCATGTGTCTCACATCAGAATGCTGTAACTGGTCGTTTCTCAACCCATGCTTTGATTTTAGGGTTGGCCGCCACGTTGTCACAGCATTTCTTGACCAGAGGGTAGTCTTCCATCTTCAACATTGCCTCTGTGGTTTTGTCACAGATATCAAAGAGACTGACGTCAGCAATACTAATCTGAAAACAAGTGTTCATACATCCACTTAAAAACACTGAAATCAAAGATGTTACGGAGTAACTTTGCTCGTTCTTGGCTTGTGTGAAACTGAGACAGTGCCTCTATGTAATTAGTGTAATCGTCAACACTTACGTTGATAACAATCATCATATTTGTGTTAGTGGTAAAACAATCTTTTTACGTTTTAATTGCGTGCTTTTTTAATCGTTATATGACGGGCAAATTGACTGTGCTAAAATATATATTTAAGAAAATCAGCAACATTATCCCTAAAGTTGATCTGAAGAACATTTATTGCTGTGAAAAGTGGTGTCAGGTTAACGGACCCTTATCCCCATTAACTGATTCAACAATGTAACTAATATGACAGTCACAGAGAAGATTATGATGCTATGCAGATGAAAACTCTGATTCGCGCACGTGCGGGACATGACCCAGCATCCACAAAATGGCTGCACTCATGGCATAGTATAATTTTTTATTTGTATGTTCAAATTGTGAGATTTGTAGGAATTGATCTATTAGCAGTAGTAGTAATAGAAGAAGTAGCAGTAGTAGAAGTGATAGTGGTAGTGTCAGTAGTAGTAGAAGTAGTAATAGCAGTGTTAGTAGTAGTAGTGGTGGTGGTCGTAATACTAGTAGTAGCAGTTACAGAAGTAGTAGTAGTAGTAGCAGTAGTGATAGTAGGCGCACAAGTAGTAGTAGTAGTAGTAGTAGTAGTAGTAGTAGTAGTAGTAGTAGTGACAGTTTCCATTTCCAAGAGTGGTCGTCGTGATATTAGCAGCAGCAACAAAAGTAGTGATAGTAGGCGCAGTTGTAGTAGTAGTAGTAGAAGTAGTAGTAGACGTAGTAGACGTAGTAGTAGTGATCATAGTCTTAGTATTAAAGTAGTCGTAGAAGATGTAAAGATAGTTGTAGCAGTAAAGGTGTTTTACCTTCTTGCCAACAAAAAGCCCAGTGCTGCCATTGTTCTTCAGTAACTTCTCAAACATCCCGAAATACAGCGGTATTTTCACATCCTTCGCCTCCTTCAGAAACTCAGCCTGAAAGCATAAAGTTGTTACACATAATACCGATGAAGCTCTGCACACAGTAGTGTCACCATATACATTTAGAATACTAAATGAGCTACCCTGTAATACCAATTCTATGAAACGAGTGAATAGTTCTGGTATCTGACGAGCTAAAGCTCACACGGGAGCGAGTTTAGTATTTTATTTATTACTCGCCACCTACGTAAAAATCAGCTGAATGACTCAGTAAGTCGCCTCCCGCGTTCAAATCAGGTCATGCGTATGAATACAAACTCATGTAATTAGGCATCGTCAAGTGCAACTATCACCTAAGAAATTAAGCAATTCCAATGGAGAAAAAACCGAACACGCATATTTTCCATAAACCTTTAATGGATTTCGTGCGAAACTGCGGTGACGTTTCGAAATCAATAACCATTTGTCTCAGAATTGATGATTGTACCGGCAAAGAATGAGCTGTGTGTCAGAGACTTGCTTGCTGTCACATTGAAGGTTTGGGATGGAACAGAGATGGTCGACTGTTGACAAGTCGGAACACAGTGATTGGGAAATGCAAGAATCACTGTGCCCGTTAATCAATTTACTGATGTTTTTGTGCTGCTCTTCAGAAGTTTGTGAACAGTAAATTATCTGAGTAGGTGGAACATTCTTCTTAGAAAGAGTTTGGACCAGATACTTTCTGGCAGAATGATTCGTCAACCGTTTGGTGTTTTCAAGTTTTGCATTTGCTGCGTTTCATTATGGACCCAAGCTTGTTGATGCCAACGGGTTGTCGCTTAAACCAAGGATGTGTTAGAGCGGGAGCAATTTGGGAATTTGTTGCCAAGTAAAATGGCGCTTCATTGCCACTGAAAGCATGTACATAGCGCATGTAAGCAAGGACGGGGCAGTGATCGTCACCTGTTGTCCAGGCTTTTGGCGTGACAGTCCAAACATCTCGGATGTTTACACCAGTGCGTGTTTTGGTTTGACGCTCTGAGAACTGCACGCACCTGATGTAACGTCTCCACAGTGCATATATCTGTGAGGAGTCCTGCTGCGAAGCCCCACAAAGTGTTGGGTTGTGCCACCAAAGTGTGTTCAAAATGAACCATGGAGCTTCGAGACCCAATTCGCCGAATTTCCATAAAGTTGACATATCGTTCTCATTTACCGGCTAAGCACGCTTAGGCACGTTTCCGCGACCTTCTTGTTTTACAATTTTTTGTTTGGTTTTCAGAACCTTCCTAACATGTGCAAACTCTGTATCGTGCATAACTGATTTCACGTTAAAAAACATTGGAGTTGCCTGTCTACACCTGTGGCCCCGTCACCCTTTTTGACCTTCCCTGAAGTGTTCACATTCTTATTTGTTGCAGTGAAATCTGCAATTTCGGAATCGTCACACTAGGTTGGCGGAACAGGTATTTCATGCCCCTTTAGAGGCACAGGCACAATATAAGCAAAGTCACCTTAATGTAGTTCGTAGAGATCAAACAAACTGTAGTCACTGTCAACAAAGGTGGGTGGGGGTGACATGACCGACACAGACTCAGGAATGCATTGCATTCGATAGCGAGGTACCTGCTTTCATTGAACGATCATCCTATTTTAACGCTGAACATGCTGTTAAACAACCGATAGCACCCGTCCCTTCAGCTGTCCATCAGTTTTGACACAATCATTTACTTTTATAGCTTCAGTTGCCATTGGGGTGGGATCATGCTGAACGACAGAATCATCGTGTGCTTTTTGTCATCGTGTGCTATATGTCCTTGGCGTAAAAAACTCTACATCGAGTGTTATGGTATATGGTGAATGTGGACGTGTACCACTTTACATATTTCAACATATTAGAATTCTCAAGTATTGGTTCAAGATTCTTAAAATGCCTATTGATAGATTACCTAGAAAATGTTACAATATGATGTTATTGTTTGAAAAACATGGAAGCCGCAATTGGGTAAATGATGTAAAGTCGTTATTAAATGATTGCGGCTATGGGTATGTTTGGCGTAATCAATGTGTACCAAACAATCCAGATTCATTTTTAGTATCTTTACGCCAAAGACTTAAGGATATATAATTGCAAAAATGGGCATCGCATGTTTTAAGTTCAGAAAAATGCAATTATTACAAGCTTTTCAAAACAACAATTTCCCCAGAAAACTATTTGTTTGACATCAACTTTAAAAGGTTTAGAATAAGTTTAGCACAATTTAGATGCAGCTCTCATAGACTTAGGATCGAAGTAGGCAGGCATAGAAACATAGACAGAGAATTGAGAATATGTGAGCAATGTGATTTAAATGTGATTGAAGATGAGTTTCATTTTCTGTTAGTTTGTCCAAAATACGACCACCTTAGAAGAAAATATATTGATCTGCCTGGTTATGTACATCCCACTATACAAAGATTTACAACGATCATGTCAACAACTGATAAAGATACTCTAAAAAATCTATCAATGTTCATTTATCATGCTATGTTAATTAGAATATGACCTGTTAAACGGATCTGTAACCACTTCCGAAAACAGAATTGTACTATGGGCCTGAGGCCTTTCAGTATGGAATAAAACTTATCCTATCCTATCCTATCCTATATGTACTTTTTTTTGTCGTTTATTACTTCTAATTAATAAATATATTTTGTCCGTATATTCATCTGAACAAAAAGTATTTGTAATCACGCCCACATTTTGACGTTACCTTTTTGTTTAGTCATGTGTTGTATCATGTGACCGACCAAAAAATGTTCGTGTGAACGTGATGTTATTAAACAATGTGTACTACAGCTTTATTCAACAGGTGATCTCTTCAAGGATGAGTAATATATCATATATACATTGTACGTCACAGAACCTCCGCCGTGTTACGCCGTGGAATATTGCTAAACGCTGCGTAAATCACACCCACTTGCTTTTACAGAACCAAGAGTGGAACACGCATTATAGTGTAATCTTTTGATCCCCTTCTTACACTCTCAAATCCATCACCAGTTAGTGGGCACGAATGGCCCAGTCGTCTAAGGCGTCGCGATTCGCTGTGCAGAATTGCGTCCCTTGGGCACGCCAGAAACCTATGGTTGTGGGTTCGAATCCCGGTTTGCCCCGATTATGTTTCTAGGTTTGTCAGCACCATACCCGTGCTCGTGGGTTTCACCGAAGTGGGAGTGGGCTTTCCTCCCACATTAAGCTGACACGCCGTGGTTTTCATCCTATAATTTATGACTATGAGACATCACATTTGAATCCTTCACTCACTACCCCCTGGGTATTCCAGGTCAGAATATACCCCTAGCATAAGAGTTAAGAGGCAGATTATATGAGGTGTAAATGAGTGATCTGGCTAGTTGTGTCAACCGCTAGTAACATAAGGGCACTGATTGTTGCTCATGCTATCAACCTATGTTTTAGTTTGTCGCCAGGATAAAGATGGAATATTGTTGATTGAGGCTTGATATTGTAATTTATCATATAATGGGTAGGTTTCTCGGCAGGATAAAGCCAACGGATAAAAACGATATCCGTTGGGGTCATATGCGGATAGAGATGCAAATATCAAAGGTCAAGTAGGGACTACTTTCACTGTTTATAAACAAACATGGCGTCGCACTCGTCATTCGGCGATCGAGTCAGAATTAACCATCGGGAATCTGGATAAACTACAGGGATAATTGCTATCATTATCAAAAGAACAGTCTAATATACTGAAAATCTGTGTCTAACTGTGACGCAGCTAAGGCATTTTATAAGTTTTGGCAACTTTGGAGAAGCGGGATCAGTAGCCATATCTGTGCTTGTAGACCTCTGCGGCTTGAAACCTTCTCCACAAATTAAAATAGTTGGATTTGACGGAAATATGTTTGAATTGTTACCTTGTTTCGTTTTGTCGCTGTGTGTACATCTGAGTACATTTCTTATCGTTATGACAGGACAGACCGACTGTCAACAACGTCTGACCGTGGCCGTGACGTCTCATAGACTAGGATTAGAGTAGCTTCCCTTTGACAAAGGGCAGTTACTCTAGCGGACAGACCGATGGATTGCCGCAAAAGGCAATTAAAAACAATTGTTGTTTTGCGTATATGTTGCTTCGCCGCTGTATAAGAAACAGATTTCAGTTGGAACTATATTGGCTACTGTCACTGTCCGACTGACACATCACTTACCCTGTGACGTAATAAATATTAATGCGCGCATTCCAGGAAAACTCGCAATGTTTCGGTAATGTTTGTGAGAGAGGGAAAGCGATTTTGAAGCACAGAATTAAAGAATGACATTATATGATAAAGAGGTTATCACGCTTGTGTGTTTGGGGATGGTAAATATCCTGTATTAGGAATAAACACTATGTATTTAGCTCGCCAAGGCTCGCTAAATACAATGTTTATTCCTAATGCAGGATATTTACCATCCCCAAACACACTCGCGTGATAACCTCTATATCTTTCACTCATTCCAGAGCTACAGATAAGCAATATTCAAAACCCAATTACTTTCAATTAACTTGCGTACAGAGACGCATGTATTAATTGAAAAACTCAAATGTATAAAAACAGCAGGCGTAAATACCCAATGAAACTTTTTCAGCATGTGTACAGTGGACTTAGTTTTCCGAAACACAATTACGAGCTAATTTACTTTCCGAGTTAAGCCAATGTTAAGAACCGCTATATACATGTACATCTGAAACATTTCATTTTTTTGTAATCTCAAAATGTTTACTAATTTTTGGAAAACCCAACAGAGTGATGAATAGATGTGAAAAAATATAGGCTACCGAAAGAAAAATGTAATAACCCAATTAAAATAGAAACCTTCTTTCGAGTAAAAACTCAGTTACTCAAATAGTTATCAGGAGCTCTGATCATTCAGTCCTAGATCCATCTTGTGATCATATTCTGTGTTTAAGATGAGCACTTTAGATCTCTTCCACCCTGATCATTGAGGGGTGTGCTGTGGCCGGATTCACGTGCAGCTTGAGATTGAACATTACCGTTCGATTCAGATTGTTTTCCATAATTGATCAAATTGTGACAATCATATCTCAAAGGCCCATATAAAAGGTTTAAAAGGTTTCAAGTTTCTATTAGGTATCTTCCATGCAGCCGCATCAGTTATGCGGTGTGAGTTTGGATTTACCCTTATTTGGACAGTACTTCAGTCATATCACGGCGTGTTATCTTGATGTCGGAGCAAAGTCTGTGGTGAGAAAATGATGACAGACTTAGGATCATACATAGGGCGAATCAGGGATTTCAGCAGATCCTGACACAAATAAGGGACGTAATTTCAGTTGATTCGGCGATCGGTATACAGTACACTCAGTTTACTTTACCTTCTTGGCTTCGTCTTGCTCCTTGTGATAGTCGCGCATGAAGGTGTTGACGTCTTGGACCACACCTAGAACCTGATCCACTGCTAGAGCTTCCAGATCGCCGTTACCATAGAAGCCTGATACGGATGACATTACATGATACACTCCGTGTCAGTACAGGTATAACGTGTATCAGGATACATGTGTTCTCTACCGAAAATCAATTACAGTGAGACCTCGATATTCCGGACAGTACCATTCCCAATGAAATCGTCTGGTTCAACGACATCGGGATTAACGGATTGCCCATACGTAGTAATTTACCCCTAACTCTACATACATTCCCACAATAATCTGCAGTAAATATACGCACGTCAACCAACTGAAGGAAGTCAGCAGTATTTTACCCTCTTCAACCAAATCACACGAATCATAACTGCAGTCATTTCTTACGGAAAGGATGGCCTATTGGAGGGCCTTTTTTATCGATAACTTTCAAGGTGGCCTGACCCACATTTTCAACTCACCAAATGTCCTTGCAAGGTATCTGGATATGGCGCTACTCTGGCTAAAGGGTTTCCCATCAATTTCAAGGACGGGAACCTGACCCAGAGGTGTATCTGCAATATAAAATTCCTGTAATCTGTACACCAGAAATGGGCTGAACACGTTGTACCCATGTTGGGAAACGAACCCGGGTCTTCGGCCTGACGAGCGAACGCTTTAACACTACGCTATCCTACCACCCTACAAAGGTTTTCGAATGTGCGAAGTAACAACGAATATCATGACGTCTTATATGTACATTGCGGCCTGTTTGATATCGTGGAACAATGCCTGACAATATCTGGTAATATTGGTCCTCCTGAATGACTATACTAGTAATGAGGAGCAACAGGGAATCAATTCGTTGCAAGACGGAAATTACCTTTCTAGAAGTCCCAAGGAATCGGTACGTACCACTCGCATTTCAATTGTCATATCATTACATATGGTGAAATGGGTGTCCATTACAACCTCAGATTAAAAACCAGATTAAAGTACCTTGCCTCAGATAGTATAACGAGGAACCTAATAACATCACCGCAAGTTTAATGACATCATTGCGAGTCTAATGACATCACTGCAGGTCTAACGAAATCACTGTGAATCTAATGACATCACCGCGAGTCTAATGACATCATTACAAATATAATGGCATCACCACAAGTCTTATGCCAGTGCTGTGAGTCTCATTATATCACCGCAAGTATGATGACATCATTGCGAGTCTAATGACATCACTGCAGGTCTAACGAAATCACTGTGAATCTAATGACATCACCGCGAGTCTAATGACATCATCACAAGTATAATGGCATCACCACAAGTCTTATGCCAGTACTGTGAGTCTCATTATATCACCGCAAGTATGATGACATCATTGCGAGTCTAATGACATCATTGCAGGTCTAACGAAATCACTGTGAATCTAATGACATCACCGCGAGTCTAATGACATCATCACAAGTATAATGGCATCACCACAAGTCTTATGCCAGTACTGTGAGTCTCATTATATCACCGCAAATATGATGACATCACTGCAGGTGTGACGAAATCACTGTGAGTCTTATTACAATACTGTGTGTCTAATGACATCACTGTGAGTATAATGACAATACCGTGTGTCTAATGACATCACTTTGAGTGTAATGACAATACTGTGTGTCTAATGACATAACTGCGAGTCTAATGACATCACTGTGAGTCTAATGACATACCTGCAAGTCTAAAGATATCACCACAAGTCTTAATGCGATCGGTGTCAGTCTGATGGCAATACAGCGAGTCTAATGATATACCTGCAAGTCTAATGACAGTACTGTGTCTAAAGACATCAACAAGTCTAATGACATCACTGCAAGTCTAATGACATCACTGCGAGTCTAATGACATCACTGAGTCTAATGACAGTACTGTGAGTCTAATGACATCACCACAAGTCTAATGTTAGTACTGTGACTCTAATGACATCACCACAGTCTAATGACATCACCACAAGTCTTATGCGATCACTGTTAGCCTAATGACATCACTGCGAGTCTAATAACATCACTGCGAGTCTAATGACATCACTGTGAGTCTGATTGCAATACAGCGAGTCTAATGATATATCTGCAAGTCAAATGACAGTACTGAGTCTAATGGCATCAACAAGTCTAATGACATCACTGCAAGTCTAATAACACCACTGCGAGTCTAATGACATCACTGCATGTCTAATGAAATCACTGTGAATCTAATGACATCACCGCGAGTCTTATGATAGTACTGTGAGTCTAATTATATCACCGCAAGTGATGAAATCACCGCAGGTCTGACGAAATCACTGTGAGTCTAATGACAATACTGTGTGTCCAATGACATCACTGCGAGTCTAATGACATCACTATGGGTAAAATGACAATACTATGGGTCTAATGACATCACTGTAGTCTTATAATATCACTGAGAGTATAATAACATCACTGAGACTAATGACATCACTGCGAGTCTAATGACAATATAGCGAGTCTAATGACATACCTGCAAGCCTAATGACAGTACTGTGAATGTAATGACATCACCACAAGTCTAATGACATCACTGTGTGTCTAATGATATCACTGCGAGTCTAATGACATCACTGCGAGTGATGAAAATGTCCAATACTTTGAAATATGCGTCTTGCATTTTTGTCAGAAGTATGAATAAAAGAAAATAATGGCACTAAGGGCGTTTTTACAAGCTTACAAAGGCAGTGGTCCGTGGAACTCGAAGCTGAACCTGGATTTGTAAGCAGACTGGCAATCAAAAGGGGCTTGCCTGTCCCGTATTCAGCCGGAATGTAGTTGAATTTAAAACCCGCAAATTAAATATATGTTCATGTTCAAATGTGAATAAATGTCTTGATTCGTTGCCAATCCACACTACACTTTTCGACCTTTTCAACGTTACTCAGTTTGCGAAAATCTGCAGGGAAAATCTGAACAATTTGAACTAGAAACTGTTTTCACAGAACAATGCTCCAGCGAGGCCTATAATACAGTAGAAGCTGAAATCAAAACTGTATTTTTTGCTCTTTATTTTGCATTCATGCATCATCCTGCGTGTACAATATTTCTATTTGTGTAACAATTTTAATGAGTTATGACATTAATATTCATAACTGAAATACTGTTCAAAGAAGCATATGTCCAAACTGACTCAATCAGTATATTTATCCAGGATAATGAGTTATGTTAACTTTGTAACACTGACACTGTAACTGATTCTACACCGATCTAGAAATGTATGTGTTTCTAACACATCAAGAAATAATGGCATAAACCATTTCTACGAATTGTGTTTGTGAAATACTCGTCCCGATCATGTGAACGAATAAAGAAAATATACACACATACTGTTTAAGTCAGATCGCCTCCGTGGTCAAGTGATAGAGCGTCCGTCCGGAGAGTGGGTGGTCAATGGTTCGATCCCTGACCGCATTAAGACGTAAACAGACGGTATATTTTGTTACCCTATCTGTGAAGACGACCCCGTCCTGGACGGCCGGTCACGTCAACATCTGAAGTGATCCACAAAATCTACGATATGGTGATGACCGGGGAATGACTGAATTAAGTCTCATATCCGATCAAAACCGCACCAGGCACAACACGTCTCGTAATAATCTAGCTCTGTTTGAAGCTGATCAAGAAAGGTTCTTGCAACGACTTATGACTATGAATGAAACCTGGGTTCACCACTTCCCAGAGACTGTCCCATCAGCTTTAACCCGTGAAGATCCCGGTTAGAATAGGTCTTCAGCAACTCATGCTTGTAGTAAGAGGCGACTATGCTTGTCGTAAGAGGCGACTAACGAGATTGGGTGGTCAGGCTCGCCGAATTTGTTGATGCATGTCATCGTGTCACAATTGCGTAGATCGATGTTCGTGATGATCACTGGATTCTCTGGTCCAGAGTCGATTATTTACAGACCTCCGTCATAAAGCTGGAATATTACTGAGTGGGGCATTAAACAACAGACAAACAAATAACAGCCAACATCGTATAAATGAAATAATACAAACCTATTTCAAATATCAGCCCTTTGGGTTATTTCCCACGACAGTAAATGTATCAACAATAATAATATAAGTGTTCATACCACCACTGACTTAAATTTAAATAAAATCGAACAAATACAAATAGCTATCAAAATAAAAAAATGATATGCAATGTCGATGTTGAAAGTAACTTGAAAAACATGACAGTTTTAAAAATGATCATCGTTTTAGAATATGAGGAAACAAGGGCTAGGGTTTGTAGGGCAAATGTAATTATGAGACGCGAGATGTTTGATAGTGATGGAAATCTAAAAAGCAGTTCATCATGACCAAATGAACCAAATATTATAAGGCCCTCATGTTTCTATACCCGTTTACTTGATATTATATTATTCTTACTTGGCTTCTCCGAGGGCCATGTTTCATAAGTGATCCTGACGTCCTCATACTCTTGTCCTGCCAGTGCAAACAGCAGCCGGGACAGCTCGCCCACGGCCTTGTAGTCGAAGTAGCGAAACCTGTATGTCGGCATGATTGTGATGTGTGCACGGGTAGAATACGTCCCGCTCTCTCTACGGCTGGCCTTGTTCTGTGACCGTCGATAAGCTGTTGCATAATATTTGTACGACCACGGTCACATTAAGTGCTGTGTTACCGTTGTGCAGTCGTGGTGTGGATTTTGACCTGTTTTACCGAGTGAGGTCTAGGCACGTCTTTCTTTGCAGGGTTAAATTTGTGTGTGATGATAGGTGATTATTCTTCATTTGAGTATTTGAATATTTGAGCAAATGGTGTGTTTTTTTTTTTGTGTGTGTGTGTGTGTGTGTGTGTGTGTGTGTGTGTGTGTGTGTGTGTGTGTGTGTGTGTGTGTGTGTCCGTGTGTGTCCGTGTGTGCGTGTGTGTGAGATATGTGTCTGCTTGTACTAGTCCGAACAAATTCCTATTTTCATAGTGAAAGCCCACTGAGATACCATGTGACAGATTAACATATGTTCCCCAGTCAGATATACTCTGAGCCAACCAATCCTTGTTCTATGCCCTTAATCCCTACCGTCATGCCGGGGGCGAACCACCAACCGTCCACTCTCCAGACAGACGCTCCTTCCAGGAGAACACGGACGTGGTCCATGACGTTTCAGCTTAATGTGGTAGGAAGGTCCGATGTGATGCAGTTTTACGACGTTTACTACTTTGGGAGCTGTTTAATTTAATTAACAATAAAGCATTTTCAATGTTATCACCGAATGCAAACCTTATGCAGTAACATGTGTTACTATATAGCCAGTGCGTAGAACAGACACGGGAGACATAACACAACTTTTGATAACATCCCTGTTGGCTTCCGCTGCATAGGTTTCAGCAGCAGCAACATACGAAGTCGACCAGTAATGCTCCTCCGAGATCAAGCTGATACACCGTGATATAACTGAAAGACTGTATAAAGCGCCGTTCAACTATACTCACTCCCTCACGGCCACAAATGCTTCATTTCAATCTATGGCAAGGAAACTTAAAAACAATTACATTGAAATTGATTCTGTGGAGCAAGTGGCGACACTCAAGAAACAAAAAAACCAATGCTTAATTCATTGTATCTTTTCCTTTAACATTTCAAATAAATTAAAACACAGCAATTGTAGTTTATGCTTTTATTTCAATCTGCGCCATTTCAACTATAAGCAGTCACAGAGCATTTTTGGCATTGCTCAAAGAACATGTGTTGTCGACATGATGTGTGCCAGTTAAAAAATAATAATATTATAGGTTTCCAGATTTACAGTATATATATAAAATAAACACAGTTGTTCTATTTCCAGGCTTCTTGGCTCTCCCTCACATTGGTGTCTGCGGTCGTTTGGCCAGCCACTGGGCAATTTTCTCGTTAGTCTTGACCTTCTCAAAGTTGGCTTTGACCAATGGGAAGCGTCCTTCGAATCTTTGTTCAACGCCAGCAGCAAACAGGATATCAAATGCAGCCACATCGGCATATCCAAGCTGGAAATATCATTTTAAAGTATTCTCTCTGTATTTTGCAAACGACCACATCGGCATATCAAAGCTGGAAATATCATTTTAAAGTATTCTCTCTGTATTTTGCGAACGATTTAATGTTTGTCCTTATAAATTAATCATTGTGATTTGCTTAACATTCATTAAAATTTAATTGCACACAATAACAATTTGATCTTCCCGTGATTTAGGGCAATAATACTTTAAAATTAACATGATGGGCAATCTAACATTTTCTCATGCTACACGCACAAAGAAATATTGATGGAACATCTATCATTTTCACAAATGTATATACTACTAAAAAGAAGTAAATATTCTATGACAAAGTAACTATAGTAATATGAAAGAATCGGGTGTTCTTTAACTTCTTTTGTGTAGTATATATGAGTGATGTCATGCCAGCTCGTTATGGGAGGAAAGCCCAAATCGACGACGCATGCTTTATACTGTTATCACTTTGGTAAAACCAACGGTTCTGACAATCTGATTATTTAAACTGAACCTTCATTCAGAACCACGTTAAGGGGAAGTTGGGACATCAATATGTAAGTTATCGTTCTGTTGGATTTGGGGGCACGGGTGGCCCAGTCGTCTGAGGCGCCGCGATTCGCTGTGCAGAGTTGCGTCCCTTGGGCACGCCAGAAACCTATGATTGTGGGTTCGAATCCCGATTCGCCCCGATTATATTTCTAGGTTTGTCAACACCATACCCGTGCTCGTGGGTTTCACAGAAGTGGTAAACGTCTGAGATTCCTCTCACATTAAGCTGACACGCCGCGATATAACTAGAATACTGTTAAAAGCGGCGTTAAACCCAACTCACTCACTCACTCTATTGGATTTATGGAAATCCCACTTATTTGAGCGGTGTCACTCAGCATGTAATGTTTGCTAAGCAAAAGAAAGTATACATCCATGTTGGATGGTGCCTAAACAAGAAACAAACAAGAAATGATTATTCGATGGTGATGGCTGTAATACGAGCATCTTAGTTGTGTTTTGAACCTGACGTTTGAAGTGTTTCGGCGACTGTTTTGAGCCTAGTATCGTTTTGATAACGTTTGTAACCTTTTGGTCAAATCCAGTTTTCACGTTTATGCTTTCTTTTGCCCAACTGTTTAAGTCAGATATATACCTTATCGCCCACATAGTATCCAGTGTTGTTATTTTTCAACACAGTCTCCAGGAAGCCCAGAAACCTTGGAATGTTAGTTTCAGTGTTTTCCTTCACAATCTCCGCCTACAAAACAGATATTATGAAATAGATTGAAGCTGCAAAAACAAAGCAGATTAAAATAAAATAATGGACACATTTGTAGGGTATATTGAGACGACCAAGCACTCGGAAAACGTAGAAAGGATTGCCTTCACATAAAATAGGGTTTAACATGGCTCAATGATTATTGCACTCATACAGCGGTGTGTTTGCGTGAGTGCGTGCGTGCGTGCGTGTGAGAAAGCCAGGACAAATGCCGGATTCATCGAACCACCGACCTTCCGCTCTCCTGACAGGCTCTGGAGGCCACCACTTGCGGAGGTGAGATGAGATAGGGTTTAATGTCGCATTGAAGATTATTGAACTTCCATCGATACCGTGGATACACGTGTGCTTGTGCTGTTCCGGACCAATGACGATTTTATAGTGCCAGCCCACTGAGATACCCAACCCAAGCTTATCGTAAGAGGCGACTAACGGGATCGGGTGGTCATGCTCGCTGACTTGGTTGATGCATGTCATCGTATCTAAATTGTACAATATCACAATATCAATAACTGAATTTTCTGGACCAGACTCGGTTATTTTACAGACAGCCGTCATTTTTCTGAGATTTTGCCGAGTGCGACGTTTAACAACAAACAAACAAACAAACAAACAAACAAACAAACTGAGATACCATTCCGCAGTTTAACATGCACTCTCCACTAAAACACAATATACTGACTCCGATCCGACTCCAGTCCTTAATACCGAGCACCAAGTACCATCATCATTTACGTCGTTCGGTATGACATGACCTTCCGCTCTCCGGACAGACGCTATATCCACTTGACCATCGAGGCGGTCCATATACAGAGGCATATATAATTATGTCTGCATGCACATTTTACTTTTCAAACCGATCAAAACCCACTCACTCAACATGTATACTTTGTGTTGTTGCATAGGGAGTTAAGACATATAACATATACGTCACCTTTCTTCCTTCGTCCTTCTCCATGAAAGCTCGACCCATGGCTGCAAGTATGTCCCCGACAATCCCAAGGACTTGGTCAACTTCTAGTACTTCAACCTCAGTGCTGCCATGGAAACCTTGTTAATAAAAAAGATAACACATTGATCGGTAAGATCACGTATTGTAGTGTCCAGGTCGTCTAGTTAACACTGAAGAGCTGCGCGCCTGGGGTGAACCAGAAACCTATGGTCGTGGGCTCAAATGCCATTTGTTCCCTGATGTTTCACAGTTCATATCCAATAACCATCACAGTTCATACCCACTAACAGTGAGTGGGTTAAACGTTGACGTCGCATCGGCATTGTTTCAGCCATGAATTGTCACAGTTAATCTCCATGAACCATCGTTGTTCATACCAACGAACCATTACAGATCAACTAACCAAAAAAAGGGAGCCGTGCCCTGTAAGATAACTGACTAACTGAATAACTAGTTACTCCTGAAAGATAGATTTTACACCACTCACCAAACCGCTTGGCCAGGAAATTGGCGATAGCCATGCTCTGTCCATACTGTTTCCCATCTACCTCCAACACCGGAACTCTGCCGAAGATGTACTCTGGAATTTAATTAAAAAATCTACATTCCAAGGAAAATGTCATTTGATTATTTGCATTCCATTCCTATCTCTGCTCGTAAATAAAACACGTCGACACCTCGTATCAAAGGATGTCATTTTATACTCTACAACGACCAATTTAAATTTAATTTAAACTAGGTTCGCATGGGTCAAAGTGGAAACTCGTCTACGTATTATAAATTATGGTAATAAGGGAGTGTTATATTACAGTACCTATAAAACATTAAAACTGGTGTTCGAATGAGTGTAATTAAACAGGCTATGACTGCCAACTGTCCTAGTCCGCCTTTAAGTTAGCAAATATATTATCAGTATTTACTAGAACATGTTCTTTAAATCACGGCAACCCTCACCCACCCACACACCTTTACTGAACATTAAATAGAGTACACACTACACCTAGTACCAGTCCTTCCTATAGTTCTAGTTCTCCCTAGTGGGTTAACTACTGAACTGACTCTTGCCGAAATTTATTGGTGCATCTCCTTTTACGACGAAAATTGGTTATTTGGGGCCTATTCTGAGCTGGAATTGCACCGCAGTGCACAACAGAGATGTGCAAGCTTTGTTCATGCAGGGATTCGATCAGGGAGGCCACACGTTGTAATCTGCCGGTCCTCGTTAGTCGTCTCCTACCACAAGCAAGAACAAGGACCTGTTTTGCCCCGGTTCCCCCCGAGGGAATTTATGGCGTGAACCCTATTCACTCACACCCACCCACCCACCACTGACTCCTTCACCCATCCCTCAACCACTATACCACCCACCAACTACTCACTGTCTTTCTCTGCTGGCCAGTCTTCCCTCTTGAATCTGACGTCTTCATATTCCTGTCCCGCCAGAGCGAAGAGCAAACGAGACAGTTCCCCTCGTCCTCGGAAATCAAAATAAATCAGCTTGTATTGAGACATGTTTCCGACCAGCCCTAACGACATCCAAGACTAATCTCATCTGACTCAGTGCAACGTTGCTTAAATACAACGGGCGAAAAGTCAAGGTCGACAAAGTGTGCTGGAGTGGGAAGAGACTATCTCTCCTGTTCACAAACTACTCTGTCAAGATCATGCATTATCATATGGCAGATGCCCGCACGTATTCGGGACAGTTTTACATGTCTACGCATGATAGTAGCTCTATATCAGACCTGTCAATGAGCGCAAAATATGGGACGGCTCACACTTGCTTTTTTAGGCACATTGTGTAGATGGGGGTGTTGCCGATGGGGCAGGGCATGCTAACCCTTTTCTCAAACACTTGGTGTCATCATTGATTTTCAGATATCCATTCTTGTTAATTTCACTGCTATTTTGCCTTTTACGCCCAGTGGAATTTGTTTCGATGGATAATCGAGACTGGTTGTTCTCAAATGTTGGGGTTATATACGAGGGCTGGCTGAAAAGTTCTAAGCCTAAGTGGGATATCTCAATCGGATTGAAACAAACTTTTGCCACCAACATGTATAATCATTTAATGAATCATAGACATAAGAACTGCAACTGTAGTGTTATTATTGTCCTTATACCAGACCATCTTGTGAACCTACCCATTGAAATCACCAGAAATGGACAAAACTGGCTATAGGGCAGTCATCAAAAACCTGCAACTGAAAGGGCTAACTCCAACACAGATACATGCTGACATGGTCTCCGCTTTAGGGGATGATGCCCCTTCCTTTTCCACTGTAAAGGAGTGGGCTGCGGAATTCAAGCGTGGCAGAGAGAGCCTTGACGATGACCCGCGTCCATGAAGGCCTTCATCAGCAACCATTCCGAAAAACATTACCCGGGTGCATGACATGGTGATGACTGATCGACGATTGACCACTCGACATATTGCCAGCTGCAGTGTTGTGGGCATCTCTCATGAGAGGGTTGAGCACATTATCACTAACGAGTTGGGAATAACAAAAGTTTCTGCAAGATGGGTGCCAAAACTCTTGACAGCGGATCAGAAACGTATCAGATTCCTGACGTCCCGTGACAATTTATGCCGTTTTGAAGCAGATCCCGATGATTTTTTGGCCCGATTTGTAACCATGGATGAGACCTGGATTCGTCACTTTCAACCAGAAACCCAAATTCAGTCTAAACAATGGAAGCATCCGGAATCACCAGCCCCCCAAAAACCCAAGTCGGTTCCTTCTGCTGGAAAGGTGATGGCTTCAGTCTTTTGGGATTCCAAGGGTATTCTGCTGATTGACTATCTTAAAAAAGGTCAGACTATCAATGGAAGATATTATGCTGACCTACGGAGACAGTTGCGTGAAGCTATCAAAGCTAAGCGACGGGGAATGCTCACCAAAGGAGTCCTGTTCCACCAAGATAATGCTCCTGTTCACAAATCGGTGGTTGCCATGTCAGCGATCCATGATTGTGGCTTCGAACTCATTGACCATCCCCCTTATTCACCCGATTTGGCCCCGTCAGACTTCCACCTATTTCCAAAAATGAAAAAGGAACTAGCTGGTCGCCATTTTCCTTGTAATGATGACGTCATTTCCGCTGTGAATGACTTTTTTAGGGTGGCTGAAGAAAATTTCTTCTTGTCCGACATCCAGGCCTTGCAGCATCGCTGGCAAAAGTGTGTAAACCTGGAAGGGGACTATGTGGAGAAATAAATGAAAACCATGGACTTGGTACGGGTCTTTCACAGTTAGGCTTAGAACTTTTCAGCCAGCCCTCGTATTTAAAAATGCTGCACTGCAGACTGGTCAAAATGAGTTTTTGGCATCAATTAAAAGAAGGGGAATGATGAACGTACTTGTATATGCCTATTTCCAGTTAACGTCTTGTCCTTGTAAATATATCAAGTCATACGTGAAACTGAAATATTGTTTCAGTGGATGGAAGGTAAGTATCGTTTCCACGAAGTGTTCCAATCCATTCTTGTTGTTTTGTTTCCGAACTACTGGTCTATAATATTGTACATGGCATATACAATGTCGGGTACATGTAACACACTGTCTTATGTTACATCGAGTTTTTGTCTGTACAGTTATGCATTAAAGAGGTACATGGGCATATTTCTTGATATCAATGTATCAGAACTTACAAACACTGAAATATGTCGATGGAGTTTGACACGAGTGGATAGAACTCTTGACCCCAGCAGTGATAACTCACCCTTTGAATGGGATTGTTATACACTTGTTACAACTGCTGCTCAATAAACCGTGTTTGCGTTTATATTCAAGTTGGTATTTCCGCTATCCAAAGTTTTGTTTCTTTGTTCGTTTGTTGTTTTACGCCGCACTCAGCAATATTCCAGCTACATGACGGCCTATCCAAAGTGTGCTGTGAGGCCATCTTATCGTTGATAGTCATTTTGGAGACATTAATGCGAAGTTTCATACTTCACACTTTGGTATGATCTACCTAGACATGATTACTTCACTGTCTCGTATGGTCTACCTAGACATGAATACTTCACTGTCTCGTATGATCTACCTAGACATGAATACTTCACTGTCTGGTATGGTCTACCTAGACATGAATACTTCACTGTCTCGTATGATCTACCTAGACATGAATACTTCACTGTCTCGTATGATCTACCTAGACATGAATACTTCACTGTCTCGTATGGTCTACTTTGACTTAAATACTTCACTGTCTGGTATGATCTACCTAGACATGAATACTTCACTGTCTTGTATGGTCTACTTTGACTTAAATACTTCACTGTCTGGTATGATCTACCTAGACATGAATACTTCACTGTCTCGTATGGTCTACTTCGACTTAAATACTTCACTCTCTGGTATGATCTACCTAGACATGAATACTTCACTGTCTCGTATGGTCTACATTGACTTAAATACTTCACTGTCTGGTATGATCTACCTAGACATGAATACTTCACTGTCTCGTATGATCTACCTAGACATGAATACTTCACTGTCTCGTATGGTCTACTTTGACTTAAATACTTCACTGTCTGGTATGATCTACCTAGACATGAATACTTCACTGTCTTGTATGGTCTACTTTGACTTAAATACTTCACTGTCTGGTATGATCTACCTAGACATGAATACTTTACTGTCTCGTATGGTCTACTTCGACTTAAATACTTCACTCTCTGGTATGATCTACCTAGACATGAATACTTCACTGTCTCGTATGGTCTACATTGACTTAAATACTTCACTGTCTGGTATGATCTACCTAGACATGAATACTTCACTGTCTCTTATGGTCTACTTCGATGTATCATAGTCTGGTATAGTCAGCGTGAAGGTATTTATTGCATCTACCAGGACTTAGAGGCATCAGTTTTGTAATGTTCTACATGTATTTTCAATTCCTATGATACGGATTGCAAAGTTTGATCCAATCTGACTCTGGTAATCATTGCCACATCCCGACATCTTTAGGAAGCTGGTGTCATTACATTGGTAAGGAGTAAGGTAAGGCGTTATGGTACCCAGTTTGATGGGAACCTCAGCGTGACGGTTACAATCCATCCATATCTGACCATCTTTATACATGAGAGTGTGTAAACGGGTAGAAAGCGTCCTCCTCCTTCACCTGCTCGCTCTGTCCTATGTTGTGTGTTGATATGGTTCGCCTCGTGTCTTCACTTTGTGTTGCCGTGGTTCGCCTCGTGTCTTCACTGTGTGTTGCCATACTTGTAGATGTGCCTACACTGTGTGTTGCTATCGTTATAGATGTGCCTACATTGCGTCTTGCCGTCGTTGGTCTCGTGCCTACACTGTATGCTACCTTGGCTGACAATGTGCCAACATTGTGTGTTGACTTGGTTGGCCCCGTGCCTACATTGCGTGTTCACCGACATCAAAAAGCTGTAACATTGCGTGTTCACCGACGTCAAAAAGCTGTAACATTGCGTGTTCACCGACGTCAAAAAGCTGTAACATTGCGTGTTCCCTTCGTTTTCTTCGCGTCTTCATTTCAGCTCATCGATACTTATGTGAGATAAGCAAGTTAACTAAGGTGTGTTCCGATCGATTTCTCAGCGGGGTACTGGTGGGTTACATGGAAAATAACTTAACCAATAAGAAGCTAGTATTTTAAGACAAGATAATGTGTTCTGCCACAGACGGACCTTAGGGTTAAAGAGCGAAACATGTCTGTCGGCATGATTGTGTGTGCACGGACAGAATGTGTCCTCCTCCCAAAATTTCTTGTATCATTTCATAAAAATATACAACAACACAGTTGCACTTCATACTTTTATTTCAATTTCCACCATTCCAACTAAAAGGTGGAACAACAGAGCTCCTCTCTCTTTGCTCAATATGTGTTGTCGACATGATGTGTGGCAGAATATAAAATAAATATAGATATCGTTGTTCTTTTCCCAGGCTAATTGGCTCTCCTTTACTTTGGTGTTTGCGGTCGTTTGGCCAACCACTGGGCAATTCTCTCGTTAGCTTTGACCTTCTCAAAGTTGGCTTTGACCAATGGGAAGCGTTCCATCAGGCTTTGTTCAATGCCAGCAGCATACAGTACTTCAAATGCAGCCACATCGGCATATCCAAGCTGGAAGTATCATTTTAAAGCATTCTCTCTGTATTTTGCGAACGATTCATGGTTTGTCCTCATAAATTCATCATTGCGATTTGCTAAACATTCATTACAATTTTATTGCACACAAGACGAATATGCTCTTCATGTTATTTAAGTTTATAATATCTTAAAATAACATAATGGGCAATCTGCTAGGTTCTCATGCTACATACACATAGAAATATTGATGGAGCATCGATCATTTACTTAAAACTTTATACTACTCAAAAGCAGTTAAAGATGCCATAACAGAGTAACTATAGTAACATGAAAGAATCGGGTGTTCTTTAACTTCTTTTGTGTAGTATATAAAAGTGTTTAACCATTCCAGCTCGTAACGGGTGCTGAGCATCTAATGAACCTTCATTGAAACCTACGTTTAGGGGAACATGTATACATGTAAGTCATCATTCTGTGGAATTCTGTTACAGACGGAATCTCTACACAACACGTGTTTCAAGACATCCAGCGTGTCCAGCGAACCATAATCTATTTAAAAATTAATTTCCCTTATTCTTTTGTTTGTTTGTTGTAAAACCCATTTATTTAAGCAGTGTCATAAAGCATGTCATGTTTATGGACTGCCAAGCAAAAGAAAGTATACATCCATGGTGGATCGTGGCTAAAACTGAAACAAACAGGATTATGGTTTTTCGATGGTGATGTATTTTATACGGGTGTCATTGTTGGGTTTTGGACCGTACGTATGCGATATTTCAGCGACTGCTTTGAGCCTAGTAACATTGTACAACATTGTATAACATTTTAAACTTCGTTTGTCAAATTGTTTTCAAGTTTATACTTTCTTTTGCCGGTAAGTTTATGTTAAGGATAAAAACTGACCCAATCAAGACCGAAGAGGAAGTTTATATTGAAATTATAAACTGTCCAAATGCAAGAATTACCCGAAGGAATAAGAAGACATCGGGATAACTTACAGTGAAACAATACAACGCGTCGAGGTATCAAAGGAATTCGACAAAAGCGTGCCGCCTGCACACAACTGAAGTCATGAAATGTCAGATTGAATACCCTTTTATCACCTGCCCCTGTGGCTCCGTGGGAAAACAGTGGGTTACAGAACTTAACACGATATGTGAAGTTGCAGGTTCGATTTTGTGACTTTTAACCAATCAAAAGTCAACATTAGATTCATATCAAAGGGTCATTTTTTAAATTCAAACCTTGTTCTTACAAATCCAATTAAAGCTGGGGCATTTCTTCAGAATCCACGGGCATTCATTCCCTGTTTATCAACATGTCAAACAGCCTACTCACACTGTAGTGTAACGTATGCAAAGGTTATAAGTCAGATGTAATACCTTATCGCCCACATAGTATCCAGTGTTGTTATTTCTCAACACAGTCTCCAGGAAGCCCAGAAACCTTGGAATGTTAGTTACTTTGTTTTCCGTCACAATCTCCGCCTACAACACACATGTAAACACATCAATAGAGTGATACTGCAAAATGGCACTGAATAAAATACATTAATCTACACCTTTGTAGGTTTATTGAGACGACACTATTAAGACGTTTATTGAGTCGAAAACGTTGAAAGGATTGCCTTCAGATAAATTACCTGTGGTTTAAAGTGACGTTCAAGATTATTGCACTATATAGCAGTGTGCGTGTGCGTGTGCATACGCGCGTAGTAGTCTGGATTGTTGCCGGTTTTATAGTGTTAGCCCACTGAGAAACCATGCCGAAGTTTAACATGGGTGCACCACCCAGACACCGAGCCGACAAGTCCTTGTTTTTAACACTTTAATGCCGAACATCTTTTGGTATGACGAAGCCTGGGATCGAACCACTAACTGTCCGCTCTCCGGGCAGACGCCCTGTCCTCCACGGAGGCGGACAAAATTACGAAAATTACCATAACAAATTATCAAATCATCCTTTAACGTCTTTTGATTTGACACGACCTACAGGTCCCTGGAACAGACGCTTTTATCCACTTGATCACGGAAGCGTGAGTGAGTTGGGTTTAACGCCGCTTTTAACAGTATTCCAGTTATATCGCGTTGTGTCAGCTTAATGTGGGAGGAAAGCCCGAAGTGCTGCAGGTCTCAGACGTTTAACTCTTCGGTGAAACCCGCGAGCACGGGTATGGTGCTGACAAACCTAGAAACATAATCGTGGCGAACCGGGATTCGAACCCACAATCATAGGTTTCTGGCGTGCCCAAGGGACGCAACTCTGCACAGCGAATCGCGGCGCCTTAGACGACTGGGCCACCCGTGCCCCTCCCAAGGAAGCGGTCAATATACAGAGGCATATACTAATATGTCTGCATGCATGCATACTTTACTTTTCAAACCGTTCGAAACTCACTCACTCATTTAGTCAACATGTCGTCTTCGTGCTGTTGCATAAAGAATTATAACGTAACCTGTTACTAGGCACTCTCACCTTTCTCGCTTCATCCTTCTCCATGAAAACCCGAACCAAGGTTGCAAGTATGTCCCCGACAATCCCAAGGACTTGGTCAACTTCTAGTACTTCAACATCAGTGCGGCCATGGAAACCTGATTAATAAAACATATATCATATTATCAGTAAGATCACGTATCCGCATTATTTCCGCCATGAATTGTCACAGTTAATCTCCATGAACCATCGTTGTTCATACCAACGAATGATTACATATCAACTAACCAAAGAAGGGAGCCTTGTCCCTGTACCACAACTGACTAGTTACTCCTGAAAGGTAGAGCCCACACCACTCACCAAACCGTCTGGCCAGGAAACTGGCGATAGCCATGCTCTGCCCGTACTGTTTCCCATCTACCTCCAATATAGGAACTTTGTCGAAGATGTACTCTGAAATTGTTAAAAAAACATGCCAAGGAAAATGTAATTTGATTTGTTGAAACATTTGTCATTGTAGCAATATAGTCATACCTCTGCTCATAAATAAAACACGTTGACAGCTCGTATCAAAGGGTGTTAAATACACTGTACAACGGTCAAATTAAATTTAAGCTTAATTCACGTCCGCTTGGGTCAAAGTAGACATATGTGGACGTACAATAATGAAGGTAATAAGTGATTGTTAAATTAGTATGCCTATAAGATGTTATTAAGAAGACAAAGTAGTGTTCCAAAGAGTTGAATCAAACAGGCTAAGGTTGCCAACCGTCCTAAGCCCACTTTTAGTTAGTAAAGATATTCTCAGTATGTACTGGAACTTATTCTTTATATCCCAACAACCCTCACATACCCGACCAACCTTCACGGAACATTAAATTTGCGATTCATTACTACACCCGGTACAAGTCCTCCTTCCTACGTATATTACTATTCCTTACGTTGGGGGTGGAGTGGGTTAGCTCGTGAACTGACTCTTGCCGAATTGAGTTTGGTCCCTATATTGGTGCATCGCCTCATTCGACGAAAATGGATTACTTGGGACCTATTGGATGCCGAAATCTCACATGCGTTTGGATTGATAAACCGCAGTGTACCACAGTGTTCGTGAAGGACATTCTGGGGTACGATCAGGAAGGTCACACATTGTAATCTGCCGGTGCCCGTCAGTCGACTCCTTCGACCAGCACTCACTCACTGACACACCCTGTCAACTACCCACTCACCCACCCACACAAATCTCCCCCCCCCCCCTCTCTCTCTCTCTCTCTCTCCTCTCTCTCTCTCTCTCTCTCTCTCTCCCCCCCCCCCCCCCCCCCCCCTTCACCCATTCACCCATCGGCCAACTAACTACTCACTGTCTTTCTCCGCTGGCCAGTCTTCGAACTTCATTCTGACGTCTTCATATTCCTGTCCCGCCAGAGCGAAGAGCATTCGAGACAGTTCCCCTCGCCCAGGAAGGTCAAAATAAATCAGCTTGTATTGAGGCATGTTTCTTACCGACCAACTCTTGCCACAACCCAGACACAAGTGGGAAGAGACTGGTCTCACATGCACATATAACTATTGCATAATATGACTCAGTGGAACGTTGCTGAAATGCAACGGGCCAAGGGCAAGGTCGACAACTGTGGAGCTCGAGTGAGAAGAGACTAATCTCCTCTGTACATAAGCTACTCAGCAAAAATGACTCAGTGCAACGTTGCTGAATCACAACGGGCCAAGGTCAAGGTCATCCATTACCATACCGGGACGTCCAGACGTGTCGGGACGCCCAGACGTGATTGTAACTCTATGCCAGACCTATGAATAAGAGAAAAATCGGGGATGGTTTACATTTGCTTCTTATGTAAACTGTTCGAGTGGCGGGTGCTGCCGGTGTGCAGGATTTTATCACCCCCCTTTCAGTGTTACTCTGTCCCAGGATAGAATCGGTCTAGAGTGAACTGATCCTGGAACGGACATACTCTGGAGGGAATGTATCGTAGGATCAAATCGATCCCCTCTCAGGATCAAATCGATCCCCTCTCAGGATCAAATCAGTCCCTCCGGGATATAATCACGCCTCTCTGAGGACCAAATCACTCTATGCGGAAAAATAGATATTTATTTAATTGGAAAAACCAAAAAGGGGTACAAAATGCCACAGTAATATCAACAGGGTGCCCCCATTGTATCGTGTGTGTATTGGCAAAGTCTGTTGACCTGATACTGTTGTAATAATAATGCTTTTTAAATATAATATGAAGCATTATTAATAATGCATCAATTGTTATCATATTCAAGTATGAAATATTAAAATATGAAATCAAGTTTCAGTGATAAAGTATCAGTTGTATGAATTTATTTAATAATGAAAAATTAATGTTTACCTTTTCTTTGTGCTTCCTTTTGGTGGTGGTGGGGGGAGGGGGGGGGGGGGGGGGGGGGAAGATGACCTAGAGGGGGGGTCTGACCTGGGGAAGGGGGTGCGTAGGGTCAATATGCAGGGGATAATAGGCCTGGGCCCATACTTGCATGTGGATCAAACACATTTTTTACTAACCTTTATTTTACTTAAAATTGTTTAATACAATTAGCAGTAGTGTTCAACTGGTATTACACTTAAATTAAATAGCACTGAATAGCACTGAATATATATATATAAGTAAAGGTATGGGGTGTTTCATCAAACATTAGAAACATTTGGAGAGTTCGAAGTCCGGCGTAGTGACTATTCACACGAAGTGACCATCACCATATTGTTAATCCAAACGACTGACTGATTTGATATGAACAATGTTTTATTAAACAATAGTTTACATTTTATGCATACAATTGCTATTGCTATATTGATTAAGTACATATTGATATGCTGATTAAAGTATATTGATTGATATATTAAAGTATATAGCCTACCCTTCATTACTACCCCTTATAGATAGATTGCTGTGAGTGTTCATATTATCGCGGATAATATTTAATAAAACTTTGAAGTTAGGACCATTTATTTGAAATACACATTGACGCATAAATGAAGTTTTTTAAACTGTATATTTTGCAATTTTAAAGGTTTGTATAGGTAATTAATAAGTGTAGGGCTGCCTATTGCCAATACAGTATGCTGAAAAGGGGAACGTTTTAATCACAGAGACTTCTCTATTGTTGACAATAACAACCGTCGTCAATTTTTCAACTATAGGCCAAAATATCGTGAGCTTCTTCCTACCATTTCGGATCACAACTTAAAAACATAATGGATACTGTCGACGCATATGCCAATTCGAAGCATATGCAAAAAAATGGACCAAGAGAGAAGAGGAACCTGTTGAGAGTGGGTCAAGTCAGTGCGTGATGTTGTCATTGGTGGAATGCACAAACTGAAAAAGAGGAAACAGAATTGGAATAAACCCATTCTGTCCCAGTCAGCTGTCATCAAAAGTCTGGCTGGCCTACACAAGTTTGTAGTTGTTCCCACTGATAATACCTCAAATAACATAATCATTATATATAAGCATCACTACATTAATCGTTTTATAAAAGAACTTGGTATAAGTGGCATATCAAATAATTCCACGTATAAGGCCAGTTTGTTAACAGGCAGAAATCTGCCAAAACAATGCATCAGTAATATTATCTATTGGCTCGACTCTAAAACACGAAAGCATGTCTATTCCTCTTGCATTTCAAAGCTCCATGGCAGAGATATATTTTTGGGGCCGAAAAATGTACCACCAAATCCCTGTCATAAACCATAATCATTAATACAAGGAAGGATCTGTTTACATTAACAGAATTGGTTTAGGCAACTGGTATTAATACCATGTGGATCCTCGAAGGATTTGCTTGACGTTTTACAATCTCAGAAAAGAACCAAGTTCAGTTCTGTCAAATCTTTTGATTTTTCAAGTTTGTAAACCACTATCCCACATGATAAACTTAAGAAACGACTTGATCCACGGGGCTTTCGCTACAAAATTTGGCGACCATATATAAAGTTGCATATTTATCTGCATAGGTTCAGGGCAATTTGTCAAAAATGAAAGCAGATGTCATCTGAAATGTACTGAGAATAATAACAATATTATTAAAGCGATGCAAACCCTTTCCATATCCAATAGAAATATCTGCTTTAAGGCAGAGTCGATTGTACGATTCCGACTATATCATGAGCATGTGTTTATGAATCACTATCAAATAGTAAAATAAATGATACCAGGTGTTCGCGAAAATATGAGTGTAACCTGCCTTAACCCGTGGCATCCGTCACAAACACATGCAAAGGCAAGTCAATTGTTCACCTGATAAAACACGGAAACATATGGCACAAGTCAAAATAGGGAATTGCATCGGACATCACTGTTGTCACTGATGCGTTAAATATGGAAATGACCTCCACATGTCTACCATAAGACTTTTTGAAAGCTTTACTGAGACCTTGAATGTTGTAACCTTGATCAACCAACTTCTGAGCAAGAGTCGTATGATGCTCTTTGAAATCTTGGTAGAAAGAGCTCCCGATTGTATCTCAAAAGTTGTGAAATATAAACACCAAAGGCTGGAGCTGCTGGAATATTGCTCGACATGAAGGGAAGGTTGAAGTCATCCCTCTTGTCATACAGTCTTGTGGAGAGTGTTTTGTCACTAAATATGAAACAGACGAGGGGGTCTCACAGGTTTCCTTTATTTCTAGTTCAGGTGGGTCAATCAGTGGAAGGGAATTGGCTATTTGATTGTCATTGAACGATATCAGATCATCGATATACCTGAAGCTTAAATTAAACTTCTTGGCCAAATTACCTTGTTTTGACTTTGCCAATCCGAACAGAAATTCCGATTCATATGTGAAATGCTGTGCTTCCTCATTGATAACATCTATATACAATTTTGGGGAAGGACATTTTGGCATGGAGTAGGCATCCTCACGGGCACCTATTACGCTCCTTCTTGCTGATGTGTTTCTTTATGCTTTTCTGCTCGGATTGGCAAAGTAAAAAAACGTAATCTGGCCAAGAAGTTTAACTTATTATAATCTGCAAGTATGTCGATGATCTGATTTCGTTCAACAACCGTCAAAAAGTCAATTCGCTTCCACTAAAGGAGACCGTATCACCTGTTTCATATTAAGAGCTATGCAAAGAGTGACAGAGTGACAAATCACTCTCCACGAGTAGGCCCTACCTAGACTTAGATACAGCAGTCAGTAATACCTGGACTTGAATACCTCACATTCTGGTATTGATCTACACGGATTTAACTACTGCATAGTATTGTATGACACATACGGAAATAAATATTGCATAGTCTGGTTGGATCTACCCGGACCTAAATACTACTTAGTCTGGTATAACTTCCTGGGACTTCCATACTGCATAGTTTGGTATGACCTTCCCGGACGCATCTACCGCATCTACCTGGACGTAGCGACATCACAGTTTGGTAATGTTCTACTTGTATTTTCAATCCCTATGAAAACGAAATCCATAGTGTGTTCCAATTTGACTAAACTCTGATGCGCAGTACAACATCTACTCGACATCTGTGGAAAACTGTTGTCATATATTGGTCAACTGTGTCATGAATAAAGGTGCCGATGTACCTCGTTTGATGGGCACCTTGGAGTGGCGGTTACAGTTTTGTTTGAAACCAGACGTGCCTGTCAACTGATGGATTATTCCATTATAGCGAGTCGGCCGCTATAGGTCGATATTATTTATTTATTGATTTATTTAATATTGATCTATTATTTATAATGTTGCCATGTTTGGCCCTGTGTCTACATGTGTGTTGCCATGGTTGAGCATGTGACTACATTGTGTGTTGCCATGGTTGAGCATGTGTCTACATTGTGTTTTGGCGTGGTTGAGCATGTGTCTACATTGTGTGTTGCCGTGGTTGAGCATGTGTCTACATTGTGTGTTGCCGTGGTTGAGCATGTGTCTACATTGTGTGTTGCCACGATTCCTTATGTGTCTACATTGTGTGTTGCCATGGTTGAGCATGTGTTTACATTGTGTGTTGCCATGTTTGACCCTGTGACTACATTGTGTGTTGCCATAGTTGAGCATGTGACTACATTGTGTGTTGCCATGGTTGAGCATGTGTTTACATTGTGTGTTGCCATGGTTGAGCATGTGTCTACATTGTGTGTTGCCACGATTCCTTATGTGTCTACATTGTGTGTTGCCGTGGTTGAGCATGTGTTTACATTGTGTGTTGCCGTGGTTGAGCATGTGTCTACATTGTGTGTTGCCATGGTTGAGCATGTGTTTACATTGTGTTGCCATGGTTGAGCATGTGTCTACGTTGTGTGTTGCCGTGGTTGAGCATGTGTCTACATTGTGTGTTGCCGTGGTTGAGCATGTGTCTACATTGTGTGTTGCCACGATTCCTTATGTGTCTACATTGTGTGTTGCCGTGGTTGAGCATGTGTCTACATTGTGTGTTGCCGTGGTTGAGCATGTGTCTACATTGTGTGTTGCCATGGTTGAGCATGTGTTTACATTGTGTGTTGCCATGGTTGAGCATGTGTCTACGTTGTGTGTTGCCGTGGTTGAGCATGTGTCTACATTGTGTGTTGCCATGGTTGAGCATGTGTCTACATTGTGTGTTGCCATGGCTGAGCATGTGTCTACATTGTGTGTTGTAATGGTTGAGCATGTGTCTACGATGTTTGTTGCTTTGTATACATATAATGCCAACTCATAATGTCTTTAATATAAGACTTTTAATGCACATAAATGTATAACTATTATGCCGTTTGGTGACATTTTCCATTGTTCGTATGGACATCTGATATAATTCCACCATGGATGTCTCAAAAGGATGGGTCGTTTGCATTGTAAGGCCACCAATGGTATCTGGCGTCAACACAAGTCATAATCCTCCCAGAAGCCCTACATGGGTGTTGGGACCCTTGCTGCCAGGTAGGCCTTGATTCTGTCATTGGACCTGACGTTGTTCATGACCGCCTTGACATTGGGGTACTTGTCAATAATATCATCTGCTACCCTCCCGTCAAGGGTATCGTAGAGAACAAGGTCGCCGAGGCTCAACTGAAAGAATTCGTCAAAATAAATATTTGCACTCTGTTTCAGCAATGGATTAAACAGGAGGCGATGTCCGAAATTGAACGAAAATGCTATTCAGGAATGTAGAAAGAAATGCATTGAGTACTACATGTAACTGTACATAATCGAGTCTGGACCAGACAATCCAGTGATTGACATCATGAGCATCGATCCATGCAATTGGAATCGATGACATGCATCAACCAAGTCAGCAAGCCTGACCACCCGATCCCGCTAGTCGCCTGTTACGGCAAGCATGGGTTGCTGAAGACCTATTCTACCCCGGGTGTTGCACATTTGCGCATAATGTCATAGAGGTAAATATGAAAACTTGAACCTAATGAGCAAATTGTTTCGCTGCGACAAGTCGGTGAAATAAGCAGGGGTCTCTGACCTTTGGAAAATGGACAGACTTCAGGAACATGCAGAAAAAAGCTTCCAAAAGCCATCCATGAAGATATGAGTACACTAAAGAAGGGTGCCTTGTGGCACTGAGAACTGTATGTAAGAATATTGTGGTGGCTCTTTCATTTTCCGATCGTATTTTGAAGTGACGGATAGGAAAAAGTCATGCCATATCAGTTTCGGTACAATTATGTTAATACTTCCGGTTTTCTAACGTCCATTGTACAGAGTACTGTCCCGTTCTGTAATTACTGTACTGTATGAGACACTATAAATGTTCTCTGGGTCAAACTTCTTCGCCTGCCTCTACAGTGATGTGAAATACATAATTGGTAATTAATATTATACTGACATGGATATTAACTTGAAATTATAACATACCGTCTCCCCAATGCAATATCCTTTACCCTTGGCTGACAATATCTTCTCGAGGTTTCCGACAAATCTTGGTTTTGTTTTTTCTTTCAGGTTCTGTGTCATGTTTGCCTATAAAATAACATATGCATTCGTTTATATTGACATTCTGGCGAGTTGAACGCCACCTGCAACTATTCTTCTCTTAAATCATGGCGTGTCAGCCAAATGTAGGAGGAGTCCCATTGCCATGTGATATATGTCATATACATGGACGTTTACCACTAATATTACGACCGTCTCCTTGGTCTAGTGGATAGAGCATCTGCCCGGAGAGCGGAAGGTCGGGGTTCGATCCCTGTCCGCGTCATACTAAAAGACGTTAAGATATGAGTTTTTGTTGTAACCCTGCCTTGTGCTCGGCATTAAGGGGACTATATCAAGGAGCTGGTCGAGTCTGGGCCAGTATACTGTGTGTGAGTGGGGTATTCATGTTAAACAGCGGCACGGCATCTCAGTTTGATAGCACTATAAAATCGGCATCAGTGCGGATTTGTGCAAGGAGCCACACACACATACATACACGTCGCAATAATCGTGCAATAATCTTGAAAGCGACGTTATACCATTTCACCTCAGCTCACTTTTCACCCACGTTAAACTCCATTTCAGCTTAACTTCACCTTCCTTTAGTAAACAATGATAACAGACCAAGCATTATAATCAGAGCGACATGTATCTCCTTGCGGTGGGGGTAGCCTAGTGGTTAAAGCGTTCGATCGTCACGCCGAAGACCCGGGTACGATTCCAACATGGGTACATTGTGTGAAGCTCATTTCTGGTGTCAACCACCGTGATATTGCTGGAATATTGCTAAAAGCGACGTAAAACCATAATCATTCACTCCTTACAGTGTATAAGACTTGGAACAAATTGCAACAGAATTTATTTCACCACAATGCATTTCTACAAGGTCCCATGAACAACATACTAAAAGTACCAAGCAATCCTTGTTTGGGAAATATGTCTAATTTGCATAATCCAATATGGCTACCAATTATCAATATATATATATCTTCCATGTTTGAGATGAGGTTCAATCTTTTGATGAAAAAAGGCATGTGTTGTGAAATAGCCATATTCTGTTTCTAAAAAGATATGAACTATAACTGAACGTTTTCGACTTTGGATCCTTCTACAAGAGATTGCTGGATAGACATGAAATATCAATACACTGTTGGTCTCTGTTGACATATTTGAGTAATTGGAACTTCTACATTGGGGTAAAAAGACCCAAGGATGCATGGCGAATACTCAGTCATTTGTATAAATCCAATATAACCACCACATATCAATGTTTATCTCGTAAATGACATGTTTTGACAAGTCTAAATATCAATATTGATTCTTATTGCCTGTATCTACCATGACAATAAACACTATAATAAAAACTTGTTTTCTTTAATATAAATACCAGTTGGAAAAACAGTGTGTCGGCATGAGGTCCTCTCAGAATTAATCCAAACCAGTTGTGTCACAAGTAGTCGATGAATCATCTCCCCTGAAGTTCATTAGCGGAAATCCAATATTACCAGCAAATTCCAATATTTGATTTTTTGTTTATTTGTTTAAAGCTGCATTCAGCAATATTCCACCGATATGACGCCGGTCTGTAAATAATCGAGTCAAAACCAGATAATCCAGTGATTGACATCATGAGCAACGATCCACGCAAATGGGATACGATGACATGCATCAACCGGGTCAGCTAGCTTGGCCACCCGATCCCGTAAGTCGCCGTTTACGGCAAGCATGGGTTGCTGAAGACCTATTCTACCCCGTATCTTCACGGGTATTTGAATATAAAACTCAAAAATGCTCATTCAGTTACATGATGGGTGATTCATGATCATTAGTACGTGATGGACAATGGAACAACTGTCAAAGTGAATGCTGTAGCTTGAGGTTGCAGGCTCATTATGTACATGTACCTCGATAGTCTCAACAGGTTTGTCATCCTCTGAGAAGTCTGGCAACTGTTTATTGGTACAGCTTGTACCATGGTATTCCCCGCACACAACACTGCAAGTGAGACCATATTTCCGGCAAGTGCATCTTCGTATGTTACAGTCTTTTTTGAAATTACATCAGATGATGTCCTGAAGTGCTGAAGGTGCTGCAGGCTGATCTGAATGATAGATGGATGTTCCTTACCAATACAGACAGATCACCCTGCAGCACCTACAGCACTCCCGGACATCATCTCTTGTAATTACAAATGAGACTGTAAATTAAAACCAGAAGAAGCACTTGCAAAACATATGGCCTCATGTAAGTGTTGTGTGCGGCGAATGCGATGGTACAAGCTGATGATGGCAAACCCGTGGAGACTTTCGAGATATAATGACCCTGCAACATCTAGGTACAGCATTCACCGTGACAACTGTGCTATTATTCTTCAAGTAATAATGTTCATAAATCACACAATCAAGTAACTGAATGAGCAGTGGATCAAACATTTTCAGATTTATTTTCAAATATTGGTTATATTGGACTTCCACAATTGAAATACAAGGAAATAACTAACCAACTACTTGTGAAACAACTGGTTTTTCGGTAAATTCTGAGAGGACCTCATGTTGACATACTTGTTTCCAACATGAATGAAAACAAAACTTGTTACAGTGTTTATTGTCATGGTAATAAGTAGATACAGACACTAACAAGCAATATTGATATATACATTCGCCAAAACATGTCATTTATATGTGCTGGTTATATTGGATTTATGCAAATGATTGAGTATTCTACATGCATCCTTGGGTCTGTTTACCCTAATGTAGAACTTCTAAGTACTCAAATATGTCATCAGAGACCATCAGTGTATTGATATTTCATGTCTATCCAGCAATCTCTTGTCATATCACACTGTTTTAGAGTTAAAGAATCCACAGTCTAAATTCATATTAAAGAAACTTGGCGGCCATCTTGAAATTGGCGGCTATCTTGAATTTTTGTAGATTTATCCAAAGTCGAAAACGTTCAGTAATTGTGAATACCTTTTTAGAAACACAATATGGCTAGTTCGCAACACAACACATGCAAATTAGACATATTTCCCAAACTGGGATTGCTTGGGACTTTTAGTATGTTGTTCTTGGGACCTTGTAGAAATGCATTGTGGTGAAATAAATTCTGTTGCAATTTGTATCTAGTGAAACCTTATTTTGCCCGGACTATTATTAACGTCATATTAATATAAACCATCAAGCTCTGCTGATTGAGCTTTGTCTTACATTTGGATCTGTATAGTACTCTCACCTTCCTTTCTTTATCCTGTTCGAAGAATTCTCTGACCATTTCTGTGAAGAGGTCATTGCACATGCCGGTGATCTGGTCTATTTCGTACTCTTCTTGGTTGGTAGAGCCATAAAAGCCTATATTGGGGTAGGAAGAAAGAACAGTTTAACCTCCATCATCCATCATCCACCCGATTAACGTAAGACCTGCATCATTTCGGGATTTGTGTCCCAATAAGGATGACAAACGACAATACCAAGAATGCATCTAACTAATCACTTAAAACGAGCACACAGTACATGGAATATATTCAAATTCTCCAAGGAACGAATGACATCAAATGTTCTTCAGATCCTGATTCGTTTAGAGCCAAAGACGTTACGACAAGGATTTACCCTTCCCATTTCACTTTTTTTAGTGTTAAAAGTACACTTTTAGGTATTACCAAATTCTTTGGCAAGGAATTTAGCGATAGCCAAACTCTCTGTGTACACCTTGCCATCGATTGTCAGCACAGGCATCTGGCCAAAAGGAGTTTCTGAAACATATTTACAAAAGTATAACATCAGCAGAGATTTCTATTGAACATAAAAAGGATTTGTCACTTTTATTAAAATTGTAGGCAACCATAATCTAAAGATCTTTTGTTGAAATTACGAGATATGCGAGATTACGAGATATGCTCGCCATAAAGAGTATATGAAACACGCGGAAACATGTATTTTAACGTTTTTCATAAACTACGGTTATAACGAACCTAAAGGACCACTACTTTTAGTTCGTTATAACCGTAGTTCCTTCTGAGCATATGTACAGCATATATACAGCAAATGGACGGGACCAAAACCACAGTTCGTTATATCCGTCAGTTCATTATAAACGTAGTTTATTGTTATATCTTTACTCATGTCCCTGCCATATGTACATTTTAAGACTAAAAAAATGTATATTAATGGGGTTTTCATATAGAACCCTAATTATGCCGGGATTTGGGGCGCAGGTTCCCAGCAACCTATGCATGTTGTAAGAGGCGACTAAATGGTTTGACTGGCCAGACTAAATGACTTGGTGGATGCATGTCATCATTTCCCAATTGCGTGGATCGATGCTCATGATGTCATTATACCGGATTGTCTGATCCAGAGTCGGTTATTTACAGAGCGCCGTCATTTCGCTGAAATATTACTGAGTGCCGCGGTGGTTATTTTAAGACAAAACAGTGAAACATTTATTTTAATGATTTTGCATAATGTAACCCTACCCTACTGATGTCCCTGTCACGTGGACATTTTAGGACTAAACACAGAAACATGTATTTTAATGTTTTTGCATAATGTAACCCAACCCTACTGATGTCCCTGTCACGTGGACATTTTAGGACTAAACACAGAAACATGTATTTTAATGTTTTTGCATAATGTAACCCAACCCTACTGATGTCCCTGTCACGTGGACATTTTAGGACCAAACACAGAAACATGTATTTTAATGTTTTTGGCAGGATAGGCTCACCTTTTCGCGAACACCTGGTGTCATCCCTATTTGACATCGATTCATAAACACATGCCCATGATATATTCGGAATATTACAATTTACGCAACTTTTGCAGAGATTTCTTATGAATATGGAAAGGGGTTTGTCGCTTTTTGCATATAGCCCTACCCTTATGATGGATATTGTAAGACTCCACACAGAAACATGTATTTTGATGTTTCTGCATAAAATAAACCCACCTGACTTATGTCCCTTCACATTGATATTGTTGTTAGACACTAGTAATATACAGTCAAATGCATGTACCAACCATGTAATCTGGATGATGGCACCAGATGTGACCGTTAATGTGTTTGTCAAATTTCAGCTGGTAAAAGAACACTCATGAATGAGTCACGACATTCGCAGTTCACATCATCTATAGCCAATGGACTATGCTGTAACACGTGTTAGTGGCAGTATATAAGGGATTTTACAACTTGAATGGAATTTACAGACAGACAGACAGATTATATTTCAGTAATGTAAGGACACAGGCCCGTAATACACACCAGAAGGGTTTTATTGGCATTCCCGAGCATTCTGGTTTATTAGGACTTGGTTCAATATTTTTCAGAAGTTCAACAATATTGTTCACAGTTATTAATTACACAGGAGATCAACAGAATAAAAGTTACAAAAGTATTGCGAATATATCAATTTTTGCACTATACACAAGCAGTGCAGTAATCTTCGATAAACAGTTTGATGTAATATAAGATGAAAAACGTTTCTGCCGTTCAAATTAAAAAATATTTTGACGACATTTTGTATGCACATTGCCTTCCATGATAACATGTTGATTTGGTTGTAAAATTAAACTCAACAGTGGTTTGGTGGGTTGACGTTTGGGTGGACCACACACACACACGCACGCAGGCACGCAGGCACACACGCACACACGCACGCACGCACGCACGTACTTGCCGTAGAGATTCATCAGATTTACAGACCATTATTTATCTACTGTATAATGTTATTCAGAAAGTCAGACGTTCATGAAAAAAAATGTTTACAGTAATACAGTATTGAATTATCACTGTATATGTTCATCTCGTGTTCGGCTGTATATGTTCATCTCGTATTCAGCAGTGTATTTTCATCTCATATTCAGCTGTCTATGTTCATATTGTATTCGCCTGTATATGGGAATAACGTATATTAAACGATGTTCCAAGAACAGCAGCTTTAAGATGCTAATGCAGAAAGGTGTTCACAACGAGTACAGGCGCCCGACGGGAACTGCAGCAGTATTACCACAGGCACGAGGCGTGTCGATACAAGCACACAATCCAGGAATGTGTAGTATGTCGATAGCCGCAGTGGCCTGATATCTCCCAGAACTTTGGCCACAAACACTGACCGTAACTGGACACCAGCATAAGCTTTAGCCGGTACAGATTTGATAGATTTGAGAGCCACCCGAACAGATACCCGAGAGAGAGAGTTGCTCCCAAGAATGTACGGCGTTATCTCTGTATATTTGATAATAGATTAATTATCAATTATAGAATTATAAAGCGCATCTTATCCAAATACTATCTGCCCAAGAGAGTTTTAAGACCAGTCAAAAGGTTGAGGATTGATTGTATAAATAGATGAGTTCATTGCGGAGAGATATATTGCTGTGTCAAAAAAGTCATTAGTGAAGCAAACGTATTTTAATAGACAGGTTGGGTAGCCTAGTGGTTAGCGTCGACTCGTCGTCTAGTCGAAGACCTTGGTTCGATTACCAACCTGGGTACACCGTAAGACGCCTTTTGTGGTGTCCACGACCGATATGTTCGTGAAATATTGCCAACAGCGGCGTCACATTTCACTGACTCGCTATTTGGCGCATGCCATGATGCAAACAGGTTATTCAATCGTTTATTTGCGAAATCGTAGCTGTGTAACTATAAACGTCAACGTCAGAGATCAACCAGTCTAGATTGTCCACCGAAATAGATTCCACTGGGCATAACAGGCAAATAGGGGTGAAAATTTGGAATGGATCACTGAAAATCAGTGATGACGTGCAGCTGTTCTCTGTGGAATCTGGCCCTCATCACGGACACGACATGAATAAGATTCAGAACATAACAAAGAAACCAGACTCACTCGGTTTTTCGGCCGGCCATGTTTCATGTGTGACTCTCTTGTCTTCAAAATCCTGCCCTTTCAGGGTGAACAAGAGTCGAATGATCTCCGCCCGACCCCTCCCATTGAAGTAAAGAAGCGAGTAGGAAGCCATGGTTGACTCGACTTGCAGCGCAGAATGAGGCAGCGGACTGTACAGCTGCGCGTGTGTGTGTGGATATATATCTATAAACTGCGGCTGTGGGCAGGTTTGTTTGGAGGTAATCAACGTCGCTCTAGATGACGACTGGTGCGGAAAGGCTTATTTTTAGAGAAAAGGAAAATGAAGTTGTGTAGTGTCGGTGGTGGTGGTAGTTGTGACGGTGGTGGTGGTGGTAGTGGTCCTAGTAGTAGCAGGGGCAGCTGTGGTCGTACTAGTGATGTGGCGGTGATATTCTGATCTGGGTAGTAGTAGTAGTAGTGATAGTGGTAGTAGTAATGACAGTGAAAATGACAGTAGTATCAGTAGAATTCCTGGTAGTAGTAGTAGCAACATTTGTGGTTGTTGTTGTAGTCGTAGGAGGAGGAGAAGTATTAGGAGTAGTACTAGTGGTGGCGGTTGAAATTGGAGGAGTAGTAGTAGTGAGTGAGTGAGTTGGGTTTAACGCCGCTTTTAACAGTATTCCAGTTATATCACGGCGTGTCAACTTAATGTGGGAGGAAAGCCCGAAGTGATGCAGGTCTCAGACGTTTCCCACTTCGGTGAAACCCACGAGCACGGGTATGGTGCTGACAAACCTAGAAACATAATCGTGGCGAACCGGAATTCGAACCCACAATCATAGGTTTCTGGCGTGCCCAAGGGACGCAACTCTGCACAGCGAATCGCGGCGCCTTAGACGACGGAGCCAGCCGTGCCCCCTCATATTTAGATCTCACTACGAATGTTATTATAAGACTGCCAGAGGAAAGGCGTGCAAAAGCGTTTTCTTGTATACCTGAATTGAAATCCTATGGTTTCCGCCTTTTCGCGGCGCCTTTGACGACTGGGACACCCGTGCCCCCGAGTAGTAGTAGTAGTAGTAGTAGTAGTAGTAGTAGTAGTAGTAGTAGTCAGTGAATTGGGTTTCACGGCGCTTTGATCAACATTTCAGTAACACGACAGCTTACTAAGGGATGAAAGCAAGTCTTAGACGTTCACTACTTTGATAACATCCACCAGCAAGGGTTTATGGTGCTGACAAACAAGCCATCATTATCAAAGCGAATCTGCGTTTCGAATCCAGAATAACCGACAGATGTTTTGGCTGGCAACATCAAAACTTATTAATCATTTAATTCGTATAAATCGTGATTTTTGTTTTGTAACTTAATTCATTCATTGTTTTATCTAAACTCGGCAAGTACATCCTTACCTATCCCTACGGAAATACATACATGAATTTGTTTCTCATAAACACGGAATTGCCAGCTGATATCTGATATACCAGACAATCTAACATCGTTATATTCATATCTATGCTGTGTCAGACATACTACGCGATTGCGTGTATGGTGTCGATATAATCATAGAAATAGTATACAGCAGAGGCAATGTTACCAATTATTTGCATGAAGATTAAGCAGTTACATCAAGGTAACCTTAGTCTAGATTTCTTAGTCTAGATCAAAATGTATCTAATCACCGCCATGGTGGTAATTATCAGCCCAAATCTCATCAGCAGTAGAGCCTTCATCATCGTCGTCGTCATCATCATCATCATCATTATCATCATCATCATTGCCATCACTTTGTTCCTCATCATGTGTCCGTGCATGTGAAGAGTCTGGACCAAACGAATACGGTTGATAGTTGAAGCTTTGCTGTGTATAGAGGAATATTGTCAGTAGGACTACATACTTTGATCTTAAACCATTCACGTAAGTGAATATTGTTTAATGACGCAATCAGCAATATTACAGCTTCAGGCACGTAAGTGATCGAGTCTGGACCAAAGGAATACGGTTGATAACCTGAGCGACGACCCATGTTGTTGGGGGTCGAAACTTGTTTTGAAGGTAACTTAAGATTTGTCAGTTGTTTTTTAACTGGTACGAACACATCATCCGGCGATATTCTTCTCTGAAGCCAGTTGTATCAAATGAAAACAAAACAGCCCAAGAACAGGTAAATAAATTAGTGATATTGAATATCTTTGGTACATGAACGTTTGGCATAAGTTTTACAATGCCATGATCAAACAGTAAGGATAATTTTTCATTTATCAAAGCAGGTATTCACTTGAAAATTGGATTTTTACTAAATGATTTCAATCTTGATCAAAAACGTTACAAGGTTAAAAACAGTCGCCAAACACAAATATGATACCCGTATCAAATACATTTGTTTTGTCCGCCAGTTTATAAATAAATATACTTCTGCTGCATGGTTAAGCATAAACACATTTACATGAATTCATTTATCATTTATCTTTTGAAATAATTTAATAACATAGGTGTTTCGGGTCGTTTGGCCAACCACTTCGAGATTCTGTCATTAGTGCGGACCTTTTGTATGTTTGCTTGAACCAATGGGAAGCTACCTAACACGTCGGGCTTCACTCGATTATCCAGAGCATCGAACGTCGCGACATCAGCAAACCCAAGCTGAAAAGAAAGTTTGTTTAATATATTTATATAATACTTGTACTATTATTTTGTGATCGGTAACCATCCGTTATCCAAATAACATATTATATCCATAGCACTTAGAAGGGGTACGTACAAGTGAAACCTAAAGTGGAGGAATACTAGACCACACACACACACACACACACACACACACACACACACACACACACACACGCACGCACGCACGCACGCACGCACGCTCGCGCGCGCGCGCAAGGGACATGAACTCTTTCCTAAGTTTGCAAACGTCTAATGACTATCAATATATTAACTAGCAACGGACTAATATTTGGCGACATTTGTTGTCTTTTTTTACAGCATTGAAAAGGTTATGGTTTGACTGCTCAATACTCGGGAAATATCGAAAAATGCTAAACGTCAAGGCCAGAGAATAAGCGGTCCCGATTGTCCGTCAAACAACCATTTAGGTGTAAAATGGCAAAATAATGGTGAAAATGGATGATAGAAAAAAAGTGATGACACCAGGTGTTCGCGAAAAGGGTAATCATGTCCTGCCTTGCTGGAAGCACCCACCTTTCACACCATTTCCGTTTCAAGTTGGTTGTTTGGTTGGTTTGTTGATTAATGCCGCACTGAGCATAGTTCCAGCTATATGACGGCGGTCTGTAAATAATCGAGTATGGACCAGACAATACAGTGATTGATATCATGAGCATCGATCCACGCAATTGGGATCGATGACCGTGGATCAACCAAGTCAGCGAGCCTGACCACCCGATCCCGTTAGTCGCCTTTTACGACAAGCATAGTAGCCTTTTACGGCAAGCATGGGTTGCTGAAGACCTATTCTAGCCCGGATCTTCACGGGTCCTCGGAAATATTGGGGAAAATTGCCGTCCTTGCGCACTGTCACACAATATTTGTCACCAGACAGTTCTACCACGGATCGGCAAAGACTTATGGCGGTGTGTTTACATGGCTGTTGAAATCTGAAGAGTGCTTAACGGTTGGACGTACAAAGATAATTCATTATCGCTGTCACATTAAAGTGTTAGCTTAATCGTGTTAATGGTGTTTGCCACTTTGCTGCGACCAAGGATCATGATAAGACTAAACCGTTTACCTTATTTCCAACATAGAAGCCGGTTTTGTTGTTTTTCAGGATCTTTTCCAAGAACCCCAAATACCGAGGGAGGTTTACCTCGTTTTCTTTCAATATTTCCGCCTGAATAAAGAACACGATACACAATGTAACAAAATACAATTTGGCTTGTTGTAGCCATGACGTGTATGAATGATGGTACTCTCTTTAGGGAAGCATTAAATTATAAATATGTTCTTAAATTAAATTATTCTCAACCGGATTTTACTCGATGCCCCCATTTAACAGTTGGAATGAATGATATGATATATAAGTATAAGCAAACATCTTCGTTAAGAAGTCATCGCAATATTTCGTGATTCTATCTCAACTGGCTACGACTTTAGTTGTAAAAAGGCTTGCTCGTCACGTTATATTTATACACAATTCTAGGTACTCATATCTCTGTGTTCGCACACATGTGTATGCGTTTGTATATGTGCCTGAGTGCATGTCTATGCGTGTGTATATGTGCTTGAGTGCATGTATATGCGTGTGTATATGTGCTTGAGTGCACGTATATGCGTGTGTATATGTGCTTGAGTGCATATATATGCGTGTATATGTGCTTGGGTGAAAGGGGGCTCCTTTGGAATAAGGGTTACCTTTCTCGCTTCGTTTGGCTCTCTCATTGCAGGTGTCAGTTGTGGAAATATGTCCCCGAGAATCCCTATCACCTGGTCGACCTCCAGTATCTCAATGTTGGTTTTGCCGTGGAAACCTGAAGACAAGGAGGGTAACATCAACGATGGGAATGCACACTGTTCATGATTGAGTAGATTAATGACTCCCCGCTATTTCAGTTTTATCACGGCTGTCAGTTTAATGATTGAGGAAAGCCTGTTACGAATCTTTTTTGATGAATAAGTTGCACCATTGCGATCGAGGATTGATATATTATGTTGACAGAATACTATCCTGGCGCTGCTGTAGTACGTACCGAATTGCCTGGCGAGGAAAGCCCCCAAAGCAATACTCTGGCCATACTGCTTGCCATCGACCTCCAGCGCTGGCAGGACTCCAAGCGCAAACCCTTAAAGGAAACATATGGTATTATATACACTGGGGAAAATGGACAAACTTTTACAAATATTTTATCACGTTACATGCCACAAAGTAAGAATTGGAAATTGTGTTGTTGTTTTGTTGTTTAACGCCTCTCTCTCAGCAATATTCTAGCTATATGACGGTCTGTAAATAATCGAGTCTGGACCAGACAATCCAGTGGTTGATATCATGAACATCCATCCACGCAATTGGGATCGATGACATGCATCAACCAAGGCAGCGAGCCTCACCACCCGATCACGTTAGTCGCCTCTTTCGACAAACATAGTTGCCTTTTACGGCAAGCATGGGTTGCTGAAGAACGATTCTACCCCCGGCTCTTCACTGGTCTGGAAATTGTGAAATAAGTGAATATTACAACTCACGGACCACGTTCCATTATCTTTAGACTGCCAAGGGTCAACCCGATAACGCATATCGGACAGGACCAGCATCTCTCATTGTGCTGGTCAGATACAAACAAATGTAAGCCGTTATTTATCTATCTGTATCTACAGATGGCATACTGGCTACTGTTAGGCTAATATGTACTAAACTTCACTCATCAACACCTTTATCATCAATGCTTCGGTCAAACTAAATCATGTAATTATGTCCAGATAGCGTCACTAAAGTTAACAATAACAACTTTATCGTTGGTTTAACCTGTCAATGAGATTACCTGTAGTAGCTAGAATAGGTATAAATACGGACGACAGACAGTCACAGATCTATGGCTGTCTGAAAGCTGACTGTTTATTCACTCAGGTCTTGTGTTGTTGTGTGGGTTGGTCGTGAACAGTGGCACCTCTGTAAGCGAGCTGATTCCCAACTCTCGTTTTAATAGTATCAAACACTAAATGCCATTGAGTGTGTGATTGAAGCATCTTTACGCCAACTATCTGTAAAAGATGTAAACAGCAATGTCACAGTGAGGGTGTGCTGGATTCCGATGTCATTTCTCAATCACAATATTTTTAAAAACCGTTGCATCTGGCGTGAAGACATTAATATCGTATTTATTATACATATTCAGTTGTGATTTGTATTGGCCAGAGATCCTGGCATTGTACAAGGCATTTGGTTTCCATGGAGCCATGTGGCGTCTTCCAATGTTCGATGACGTCATCGCATTTCCGAGTGAATTCGTGTCTGAATCCCAATTACTTCAGAACTCATTGGAATGAGTGCTTCGGATATTTTTTATACAGTTATTTACAATGGAGATTATACATTATACATTATGCCCGGATATTATAGATTTCGAAACCTCCGGCACAAGGCGTCGGTTTCTAAAGAAATCTACGGGTGTTAACTTGCACCTTAAAATAATTCTAATAAAACATAATTATGTCCTAAACATAAACCTGTATGAATCATATGGTAGGTATGTTATGTTGGTGTACTCAATAGTCAGCAATGTTCCAGCTATTTCAGGACTATAAATATTCAGGTCTGGGGCAGACAAAGCAGTGGTGATATTACGCAATGACACCTGCAGTCAGGGTAGAATCTGAAACGTCAACGCCAGAGGACAACCAATGTCGACCATCCTCCAAAACAGACTCCACGGGGTAGGAAAGTCAAAATTGCACTGAAAACCATATGAATAGATCACTGAAAACAAGCAATAACTGCAGGCGCTCGCGAAAAGGGTAAGCACGTCCTGTCCTACCAGCAGCACCCACCACTCATATTTTTTGGATAAAATAGTTAGTTTTTGTCTTTTGCCCGACGGGACGACACCTGTCATAACACAGCGGCTTTCAGACAACCAGACAATCAAGTGATGTACCAGAAAATCTATTGAAAAGATAGCGCATTAATGATTTTTTTAAACTAAAATCTTTTGAATTACGTCCGTGGTTTACAAATGCAGTGATTCTGCTGACTGTAAATAAAGTATCACGTTAAAGAAATAAATCTGTTAGATTTTTTTTAAATATCTCGGCTCAAACATTTTTGTAGTTGACTCAGTATAACTGATAAAAGCTACTGTGTTTGTGGTGAAACTCGTGGACCTCAGTCTACCAGCAGAATCGTCGACACAGTTCAAGTAAACATGAAACGTCTACCCCTGAGAATAACAAGTCTTAACCATCCGCCGAAATATCGGTCACGATTCAATCAAGTCATTGACCTGATCATCGATCCTATCTGTCCCCTCTTCAAGCAATAGTGTGCAATTGGCCCCTTCTTAACCCAGGTCCCCATACAGTTTGGAGATATTCTTCGTCCCATGCTTTCCCGTAGCTTGAATATTGCTGAGTGCGACGTTAAACAACAAATTCCATATACATAACAGAATTGAACAAGCTTACTTTTTAATGCCTTGATCTTAGCTTGCGAAAGCCAACAATCTGCACACACTTACCAATTTCCAAACACTGAGGATTTTGGAATCGAACCCGGGTCTGTGGCGTAGCAAGCTAAGGCTTTAACCATAAGGCCACCTAACTGTCCGCCAATATTCAGCATAACACCCTACCTGGTTTCTCTTTGGCCCTGTTTTCCTTCTTCATTCGTACGTCTTCATATTCCTGCCCTGCGGGCGTTAAAGTACGTTAACCTGTATTTCGGCATCTTGAATGAACCTTCTTCCCAGAGTTCGTAGACAGACACCGCTCTGCTGAGTCACTTATCCCCTGACAGTATTGACCAAGGGAAATTGCAATGCAAGCATGGTACAGATCGCGTACATTAGCCAAACCAGGAGAAGCCTTGCTTGGTCACGGTGTGTTTATTCCCTGAATCTATGGCAAACATGGTTATGAACGATGAAAGTGCAATTTTCGTATTATTGGAAGTATTACGGGTGAAAGCCCGTCTGTTGGTTCCATGTGTTTACATTGACGGGGAAAGCCTGGAAAACGAGGAATGGCGTTGGAAACTTCGAGTAAGGAAACCCTTACACAGGGTGTGTGTTCATCGTCAATACCACGTGCTTAGAGTTCGGCCTATGTAGATGTGTACTAATATTCTTCATATAAATGGTAGTATTCTACATTTATGTAATAGTTTTTTAATATATATTCTGTATATACAGATATGTTCCAGTGTTCTGTACATGAATGATACCATTCTTCATAGATATGCAAGAGTGTTCCAATATGAATGGTAACATTCTACACAGGAATGGCGTTGGAAAACTTCGAGCAAGGAAACCCTTACACAGGGTGTGTGTTCATCGTAAATACTACGTGCTTAGAATATGAATGGTAACATTCTACACATATATGTACTAGTATTACACATATTAATGGTATCATTCTACACATATACGTAACAGTGTTGTAATATAAATATTAACATTCTACACAGATATGTACTAGTATTCTGATATGAATCATAACATTCTACACAGATATGTACTAGTATTCTAATATGAATAATAACATTCTAAACAGGTATGTACTAGTATTCTTTATGTGAATGGTAGTTTTCTTTGGATATATACGAGAGTTCTACATATATAAATGGTATAATTCTTCAGAAATGTATTAGTGTTTTTTACAGTGGTGGTACGTGGTCCTGTGCACAGCTCACAGATCACACATCAGGTGAAATTAAACAACGTCGGTCGCGGGGAATAGTTGGATTGCTGACTGTGTTCTGCCTTGACTCTTCTTGAGAGCTTCTCGGGCTTAAGTCATGGTGTGTCTCTTTAGGCAGGGGACTTTGTTCGAAATATGCCTCTGTTCACGCAGCAGTGAATTGGGTGCCCGGCAGGATTAGGTGGCATTGTGACTGTTAACCTGCTAGTACCTGACAAGGCAGCTTGTGTTCTATCTATACTCCCCAGGGAGCTGAGATAAAAATCGGCTGCACACTGATCCAATGACCGGGCTGAAAATGTTATATAGCTTTGAGCATGTACCTTGTGTCTGGAGCCAAGGCAATACAAATACACACATTATTATAAACTGGTGTTCTGCATATGAATAGCAGTATTAGATAGATATATGACGATGTTCAACATATTTGATAGCTGTCGAATACATGTGTATACCAGTGTTCTACGTATGTAATATAGCGGTCTACTTGTACATGTACATGTTTTGCATTCGTGTTTGATTTTACATTTTCATTTATTACGAAACACATGTAAGTGTTATACAAAAATATTCTATTAGTAATTTATTAAAATGTCAAGTTTCTGTAAGTCAGTGAATTTATTCCGTTGCGTCGCTGTTTCTAAAAAAAATCGCCAAACATGAGTACGGCTGTACATTGAACGAGCGCGGATGTAACGTGAGCTGAGATTAAATGGTTTTTAATGTCGCGTTCAAGATCATTGCACTTGTGTAGCGACGCATGTGTGTGTGTATATGTATGTGTTTGTATGTGCGAGGCTGCTTGTAAACAAGTCCGTACTCAAGCCGGTTTTATAGTGCTAGCCCACCGAGATACCCTGCCGCAGTTTAACATGAATACCATACTCAGACACAGTATAACGACCAGGCTTTGTTTTATCCCCATCTGAGCGCCAGGCAGGGCAACAACAAAAGCATCTTTTGACGTCTTTTGTTACGACACGTCCAGGGATCGAAACACCGACCTATCTCTCCGGGCACGGCCGGAACAAGAGTTAAAAAGAATAAACCCTAGTTTGGAATATATTTATTGAACGATTTACAAAAAATACAAAGTACAAAACGATAAGTCACAATTTGTGGAATACAATGTATCGCGTTATTTGTCATTCGTGCAGTTTGGTATCTTTAGTAACATGCATGGATATTCAATCACAAGAAGTTATATGTCTATGACTAGCCGCTGATGTTGCCATCAATATTCAAATATCTCTGCATATCTTCAGTGGTGTCTCTTCACTCTGCCTTGTGGTAATGTGCAATGGAAGGCACACACGAGCTAACGATCTCTATATCTTAATCGAAAGGTGTCGGAGCTCTTGATGCCAGGTATGCCTTTATTCTCTCATTAGACCTGACTTTGTCCATGATGGCTTTGACAGTGGGAAACTTGTTCATGGTGGCATCGTCCGTCTTGCCGTCGATTGTATCAAAGATGATGAGGTCCCCGAGACTCAACTGAAAGAGTAAAAATGTCAATAGAGATGTAAATTGATAAATTGGGTTGTCATAGAGAGATATTTATCATGAGCAAGACGTATTACATTTCGAAATATATCAAATGTATTTTTATGTTTCAATAATGAGTAATACGCAACGGAGTGATTGAGTTGGGTTTAACGCCGCTTTTAACAGTATTCCAGTCATATAACGGCGTGTAAGCTTAATGTGGTTGGAAAGCCCGAAGTGATGCAGGTCTCAGACGTTTACCATATTGGTAAAACCCACGAGCACGGGTATGGTGCTGACAAACCTAGAAAATTAATCGGGGCGAAGTGGGATTCGAACCCAAAATCATAGGTTTCTGGCGTGCCCAAGGGACGCAACTCTGTACAGCAAATCGCGGCGCCTTATACGACCGGGCCACACGTGCCCCAATACGCAACGGACATAAACGCGAATATAATGTTGTTGGAAGCTGTTTGTGGTATGTTAATGGCATTATTAATCATCATCGTCATCGTTTTAATCGTTAGTCGTCTACAAAACAGACATGTCTGCTTGTAAGCTCACCTTATTCCCAACGCAGAAGCCCGTTCCTTCAGGTGGCGCTAACTGCTCAAGGTTACTCATGAATTTTGGTATCACGTTTTCTCTAAGACTCTTTTTAAGTTGTGCCTAAAACAAAAATAGTAATACATTAACACCGTCACTAAAAGATAACAAGAATTGTATTAATACTAGTAATCTTTCATTTGATAAAGGAACATTATTGTGTTCTGTGTTATAATAAAAGTGCGTGTGCGTGTGGTGTGGTTGTGGTTGTGGTGGGTGGGTGGATGGATGGTGTGGGTGGGTGTTTGTATGTCTGTGTGTAGTGTGGTGTGGCGTGTGTGTGTGCGTGTGCGTATAGTGTGTGTGTGGTTTGTGTGTGTGGTGTGTGTGTGTGTTTGTATGTCTGTGTGTAGTGTGGTGTGGCGTGTGTGTGTGTGGTTTGTGTGTGTGGTGTGTGTGTGTGTTTGTATGTCTGTGTGTGGTGTGGCGTGTGCTGTGTGTGCGTGCGTGCGTGCGTGCGTGCGTGTGTGCGTGTGTGTGTGTGTTAGTCCGAACGTATGTCGGGGATATTGTGCTAGCGCACTGGGATACCTTGCCGCAGTTTAACAAACCACTCAGACAAAATTTACTGACTCCGAGCGACCAGACCATGTTTTATCCCCTTAAAGCCGAGCGCCAGGCAGGGTAACAAAAACTACCATCTTTAAACATCATTTGGTATGCCGCGGGCAGGGGATCGAACCAACGACCTTCCTCTCTCCGGACAGATGCTCTATCCACTACACCACGGAGGTTATCTGTTCCCGGAATTAACTCTGAATGATAGCCTTTAATGTACAGTACACCTTGAGCCAATCTTGCGGAAACCTATGTGACCTCCAGGGGCGGCGGGGTAGCCTAGTGGTTAAAGCGTTCGCTCGTCAGGCCGAAGACCCGGGTTCGATTCCCCACATGGGTACAATGTGTGAAGCCCATTTCTGGTGTCCGTCGCCGTGATATTGCTGGAATATTGCTAAAATCGGCGCACACACATACTCACTCACTCACTCACTCACTTTGTGGACCAAACCTTCTTGTCTTTGTCCTGCTCATGAAATATCTTGCTTCCTTCTGCGGACACGCCACTGCTAAGGCTTATAACTCGGTCAATCTCATACTCTTCCTGGCTGTTTGATCCCATCAAGCCTGCAAGGATAAGAAGCTCCAACCTTTGGTGTCTACATTTCACAACTTTTGGCGGAAACCATAGGTTAGGATTAAGGTATACAAGAAAACGCTTTTGCACGTATTTCCTCTGGCAGCAAATCTTATAATGAAATTCGTAGTGAGATCTAAATATGAGGGGGCACGGGTGGCCCAGTCCTCTAAGGCACCGCAATCGCTGTGCAGAGTTGCGTCCCTTGGGCACGCCAGAAACATATGATTTTGGTTTCGAATCCCGGTTCGCCCCGATTATGTTTCTAGGTTTGTCAGCACCATACCCGTGCTCGTGGGTTTCACCGAAGAGGTAAACGTCTGAGACCTGCATCACTTCGGGCTTTCCTCCCACATTAAGCTGACACGCCGTGATATAACTGGAATACTGTTAAAAACCCAACTCATTCACTCATTCTAAATATGAGTTGATGAAAACACTCGGGAGGTTGATAATAATGGATACGGATCATAAAGCCTAATATTTACCCAATTCTCTGGCGAGGAATCTGTTGATAGCCGTGTATTCAGTGTAATCCTTCCCATCGACTGTCAGAACTGGGAGTTGTCCGAACGGTGTATCTTAAAGGAATTAATGATCAAATGTTCCAATACTTTGTCTATTTAACATTCCTAGGATATATGGAACTGATTTTGAATTAAGTATGTCATTGAATAAAAAACACTTGTATTTGAATATTTACAATCAGTAACGCTTCTTACCAACAATGGATGTTTAAGAAGAAATATTTTAAAATGGATATTAATAAGTAATAACTAACTTTATCCTATTATAGATAGTGTTATGCAGTAAACCAATCCCATAAACTAAATCATGAACCGATAGATATGCAAATGAGGTCGCCTGGCACGAACTACTTTCAAGCTTCATGTATGAATACGATGGCATCTTTTTCAATAAACTATTTACAAACGCTCACAATTATGCTTAAGATAGGGGTTTCCCAGTGTCTCGCTCAAACATGGAGACAGACATGGCTGCAAGTCATTTGGCACTATATGATAAATTGGGCGGTTCACTCAGATATGTATTCATACGTGGTATCTGAATCTACTTCATTGAGCAAAATTTCTTCTTAAACATCCATACATGTAAGAATGACAGATAATAAAGAGATACTTTTTCTCGAGTCTCCGTATCGTAAATATCATATATTAGAAATAACAATATTTATCATATAATGGGTAGGTTTCTCGGCAGGATAAAGCCAACGGATAAAAACGATATCCGTTGGGGTCATATGCGGATAGAGATGCAAATATCAAAGGTCAAGTAGGGACTACTTTCACTGTTTATAAACAAACATGGCGTCGCCCTCATCATTCGGTCGATCGAGTCAGAATTAACCATCGGGAATCTGGATAAACTACAGGGATAATTGCTATCATTATCGACTAACACATCACTTACCCTGTGACGTAATAAATATTAATGCGCGCATTCCAGAAAAACTCGCAATGTTTCGGTTATGTATGTGAGAGAGGGAAAGCGATTTTGAAGCACAGAATTAAAGAATGACATTATATGATAAAGAGGTTATCACGCTTGTGTGTTTGGGGATGGTAAATATCCTGTATTAGGAATAAACACTATGTATTTAGCTCGCCAAGGCTCGCTAAATACAATGTTTATTCCTAATGCAGGATATTTACCATCCCCAAACACACTCGCGTGATAACCTCTATGTATTATGCTGGCATTATGCAATTTAATATACCCAATACATGATACACAGGACATTCAAAAACAAACTCAGCTTTTAATTTCTATCTCTGCATCCTCCACTGTGAAACCTCACACTTACTGCTATTGTTCTGTGAGACTTATCTGCATGTCTGTTATGTTTTATAGCTAACACTCTGAATCACAGTCACATGTAATCTCATGGCTGATTTTTTACACTGACGATCGCAACAAAGATGGCATGTTGTGACCGATTTGTAACATAGGTATTGGAACTCTGGTAATTGTAATTTCACAGTATGTTATGATTGATTTGTAACACTTGTAATTGTAATCTCACAGTATGTTATGATTGATTTGTAACACTTGTAATTGTAATCTCACAGTATGTTATGATTGATTTGTAACACTTGTAATTGTAATCTCACAGTATGTTATGATTGATTTGTAACACTTGGAATCGTAATAACACAAAATGTTAGGATTGATTTGTAACACTGGTAATTGTAATATCGGAGTATGTTATGATTGATTTGTAACACTGGTAATTGTAATCTCACAGTATGTTATGATTGATTTGTAACACTTGGAATCGTAATAACACAAAATGTTAGGATTGATTTGTAACACTGGTAATTGTAATATCGGAGAATGTTAGGATTGATTTGTGACACAGGTACTTGTAATCTCACAGTATCGTATGATTAATTGTTTGATAGGCATTACTTAGTTGACGGATGACAAAGTAGACACAATTTATGGATAGCAACCTCTTTAATACTGTAAAGGCGACGTTTCGGTATAGATCCTTATACCATTGTCTTGTTATCCATAAATTGTGTGTACTTTGTTATGGTATGATCGATGGTAATTGAAATCTCACAGTATGTTATGATTGATTTATAAAACTGGTGATTGAAATCTCACAGTATGTTATGATTGATTTATAACACTGGTAATTGTAATCTCACAGTATGTTATGATTGATTTATAACACTGGTAATTGAAATCTCAAAGTATGTTTTGATTGATTTATAACACTGGTAATTGTAATCTCACAGTATGTTATGATTGATTTATAATATTGGTAATTGAAATCTCACAGTATGTTATGATTGATTTATAACACTGGTGATTGAAATCTCACAGTATGTTATGATTGATTTATAACACTGGTAATTGTAATCTCACAGTATGTTATGATTGATTTATAACACTGGTAATTGAAATCTCACAGTATGTTTTGATTGATTTATAACACTCACAGTATGTTATGATTGATTTATATGATTTATTGGTTACCATGACGTCACAATCAAATGACATCACTAATGGCTCTGCTACTGAAGTTGTAAGTGGTAATTTTGCACTTAAGACACTGCTTATTACTGTCTACAATCTGAAAATGTTGGAAGATTGATGTTTTTATGGTAAATAAAAACCTCGGCAAACCTCGGAGATTTTCCACTTTTATCAAACTGTGTTGATATGTTTGACATCAAAAGACAATTGGGTGAGATTCTCTATTTATAACACTGGTAATTTTAATATCACAGTATGTTATGATTGATTTGTAATACTGGTACTTGTTATCTCACAGTATCGTATGAGTAATAGTTTGATAGGCATTACTTAGTTGACGGATGACAAAGTAGACACTATTTATGGATAGCAACTTCTTTAATACTGCAAAGGCGACGTTTTGGTATAGATCCTTATACCATTGTCCTGCTTGACAAGATTCTAATGTATACAGCACCGCGTCAATGGGCATTTGGTGCGCTTTGAAACGCCTTTTGACGGCACATGTCTGCATAAACGATTAAAAGCGCTAAACTTGCTGCCCGAACCAACAGCGGGACCATTTTTTTCATTACCTACAAGAGTTTCCTCCCTTCATTATTCATTGTGGGGCAATTGAGTGCAAATGCTGAACGATATCGATATCCACAGCGCATATCACATATATGGAGGCATAACGAATGAAATCTTACTTGGCTTCTCTGCTGGCCATGTTTCAAATGTATATAATTTGTCTTCGAACTCCTGTCCTTTTGCTACGAACAGGAGCCGGATTATCTCTGCTCTGAAGTGGCGCAAGACATACACAGGCATTGTCACAGGTGGGTTTTTTCCTACACACGTCGGGGCTACACTGGCTACACTATGGTGGGATCATTGGGCAGCGGCCGACCGGGTTGTGTTTGTTATATTTACACAATGCTGAGTCTGCAGTAGGTCAAGAGCATCTGGAACATCTGAAACCGCTGTAAGCCAAAACAGTATTTTGAAATACTCTTAAAACGCCATATAGGTGTGGGGTGAAATTTGGATTTGTCGTCGCGTTCAAGATCATTGCACTTGTATAGTGACGTGTGTGTGTGTCTGTTTGTACTAGTCTGGACTGATGCTGGTTTGATAGTGCTATGCCGCTGTTTAATTTGGGTTCCCCCACGCCGATATTTTGAACGCAGGTCAACTGACACGTACATGAACACAGGTCAACTCGCACATACATGAACACAGGTCAACACACACATACATGAACACAGGTCAACACACGCATACATGAACACAGGTCAACTCGCACATACATGAACACAGGTCAACACACACATACATGAACACAGGTCAACACACGCATACATGAACACAGGTCAACTCGCACGTACATGAACACAGGTCAACTCACACGTACATGGACACAGGTCAACTCGCACGTACATGAACACAGGTCAACACACACATACATGAACACAGGTCAACTCGCACGTACATGAACACAGGTCAACTCGCACGTACATGAACACAGGTCAACTCACACGTACATGAACACAGGTCAACTCATGAACACAGGTCAACTCACACGTACATGAACACAGGTCAACTCACACGTACATGAACACATATTTGACTAATAGTTTAATATATTTTTTCAACTTCACTTGAAAGGGATTGGTAAACAGGCCTAACTGGCTTATGTAAATACCGCTCCCTGTTACATAATAACATTGACATATTTATGTTAACATCAAAACTTTAAGGTCAAGAAACAATACAAATTACATAATAAGAAGACCACTCATGTTACCAACACTACAATCATATGCGTATCAGCTTAACATATATTACACTCAATGTACAAACCTACAACTATTTTCTACAACATCGTGGACAGACATAACTAATTATGTTGTGGTTTACATCTCTTATTTCCATACAATATTGTTTTCAGATCAAAACCCGTTATGTAGTAGAACATGGTGCTTATTTGACTAATGTTTATGTCAATTGAATTCAAATTCTAGCGAATGGTTTTCGTTAAATCACTACCAGCCTTAAGGCAAGGCTTATTTGTTTGTTTGTTTAACGCCGCGCTCAGCAATATTACAGCTCTATGACGGCGGACTGTAAGTAATAAAATTTGGAGGCCAGACAATCCAGTGATTGACATCATAAGCATCAATCCACGCAATTGGGATACGATGACATGCATCAACCAAGTCAGGGAGCCTGACCACCAGATCCCGTTAGTCGCCTCTTACGACGAGCACAGTATACTTTTACGTCAAGCATGGGTTGCTGAAGATTTATTCTAGCCAGGATCTTCACAGGTCCCTTAAGGCAAGGTACACACTGTAGCCAAGGTGTAGCGATCGATGAGGGCCTGACTAAGCAGTTTCTGTATTGATCAGTCAGTCGTGTGCGGCTGATTACTGTTTCCAATCCAACGGGATACCCTCTGTTTCCAATCGATCACGGTACTTGCAGGTAGTACACTGCAACGATCGTGATGAAGGAGTTGCCCATTAAACAGGCCATTTGTAATTTCTCTCAGCTTAGACATGTATTATTCAGCATTGAACTGGATTATACTGTTATCTCAACGAAGCAGGCCTTTTCAAGTATTACCATCCTCGACTAACATAATTTCAATATGAAAAACAGAAATAACAAGTGAAGAGGGTATACATTTTCATCTTGTGTAAGTCGTGAGACGAGACATCTAGTTTCTGAAATGAACATATCTTACAGGGAAACCAGTTGTTAAATTTACTTAATAAAAAATATAATAAAAAGGAGCCCTGAGACTCTCTTCATTTTCAGATACTGAAACTGCAGTAATCTAGACTTGCCAAACATATCCTGAGACTTACATAGCCACATGACTCATGGACACATGAAGGACATTGACCGTAAGAGTGACCATGTGTGTATGTGAATTTGTGCTCTGTGGCATAACGGGGTACGGGGGAGGAGAGGGGGGTTGCATTCGACTGAGGTGTTTTAATTCACTGCAGAGTTACGTCCGTTAGCATTGTCCAAGTCGTCTGAAGCGTCGAAAGGCGTGGCAGAAACCTGGCAGTGGGTTCGAATCCCAGATTAGCCCCGATACGGTTTCTTGGTACGTCAGCACCATACCGTGCTCGTGGGTTCCCCAAAGTGGTAAATGTCTGAGGCCTGCATCACTTCGTCGTACGTATATTCTCCTCCCACGTTAAGCTGACATACCGTTATATGTCAGCTGCTGTCGCATTCTGTTTGTTTGTTTGTTGTTTAACGCCGAAATCAGCAATATTCCAGCTATAGGACGGCGGTCTGTAAATAATCGAGTCTGAACCAGACAATCCAGTCATTGACATCATAAGCATGGACCTGCACAATTGGAATACGATGACATGCATCAACCGAGTCAGCGAACCACACCACCCGATCCCGTTAGTCGCCTCTTACGACATGTATGGGTTGCTGAAGGCCAATTCTAACCCGAATCTTGACGGGTCTGTCTGTAGTATTCTGACTGATGTCGTATCAGTGGTATCAACAGCGATTCATTAACGCATGCTTTAGATATAATTGGAATTGTACGATGGACTTGTACATGTAGCTTTTGTCGCTTCTGTATACATATTTGGATGCATCTGTTGACCTCGCAGCAGCACGCTATACCTTTCCTGATTTTAGCCGGTGTATCCTGCCTCAATAATGATGGACGGCGCTCGGGATGAAACATTTATTCAAGAAGACAAACATTACAGCATATACTCCTCAATGTTTGCTCAAGTTTTGGCGATATAAGAAAAGTAACTAACAAATGAAGATGACTAATTATATAACAAATGACACAATGACTGTGTAACCCGTATATGACATCATGATGAACGGACAAAAGCATGCATTCAAGGGCACAATGTGCAAGAGATGCTTCGTGTTTATGTGGAATTGTGACGAAATCGTTGCACATCATTATCAGAGAGCACAACAACATTTGCTACTGAGTATTGCAACACCTCAATGCACTTATGCTCCCTCTACGTCAAAGACGTCGTTTGAGGACCGAATAGTTGGTTAGATGCATATGCATCCTTGAACTTTGGTCAACACAACGTCACGCTGCAAACGTCAGCAAGGTATGGAATCTATTTCAGACGTCTGCATCAGCTACCCAACGGCATGCAATTGGTCGACATCTCTCCAACAATGGGAAGACAGGTTTCTCCTGATTGCAGTGGGACGTCATCACTTCGTGACTGCCACCACACCCAGAAATGATCTGCCGAACCCCAGGGGCGTTAACGTTTCTTCTAAGACAGTGCGTAAGTCTCCATGAGGCTAATCTTCTGTCATTTGAATCCCACTGCCCCGACAACACAGGCAGGCACGTTTGGATTTGCCTGAAGATCACGTCAATTGGAAGACCACGACTGATGAATCGAAATACTGTCTGGCCCGATTGTGGCGTAGACAAGGAGAAAGATTTCAGGATCCCAACATAGCCGAATATGATCGCTATGGAGGCGGCTGAATAATGATTACGGGAGAGATCAGTAGACCTGAAAGAACTGATCTCCATGCAGGGGGCACGATGACATGTGTGCGCTACAGGGATGACATTCTGGAAGTATACTGGAGACCGTATGCTGGTGCAGTCGGACCGGATGTCATCCTCATGGACAATACCACACGACCTCATCTTGCCATGGTCGTTGCCCACGTAGAGCAAGAGACCATTGTCCGCATGGAGTGGTCAGCCCGGTCACCAGGCCTCACCCCTATCGATCACATATGGAACGAGCTGCAGCTGGCCCTCTGACGACGCCCAGGCCTTCCGACAACTCTGCAGGAACTCAGCAATGGTCTTATTGAAGAGTGGGAAATCTTCCCCTGGCAACGATCCAGACACTTATTGGGGTTATGGGACGACGGTGCCAGGCTGTGATCGCATCACGTGGATCACATACGCTCTTCTGAGAGTTGTTTTACCTTTCAGTTCAGGTCAGATACTCTCATTTTGACGGGTGATCTGAATGATTATTGGTCAAATGTTGGCATTGTGTGGCACATGACAACGTTCATTAAACATGTCTTCACGTAATATTGTCTTTGGATATTTCAACAGGCACACTATGGCGTATTACCTTTTAAAGTGGTGATCCATAGGACACTTGAGAAGTATAGTTGTAATTAAAGAAGGCCAACACAAGACGAAGAAAACAAATTGCATGTTTGATCATAATACACTTTATGACCATGCATATATTACTACATGGTAATATACACGGCTACTACAATCAAGTTAAATATGTTTTTGAATTCAACATTAAGTCTTATATCATATTGACATTCAATACCAAATGTCTTCCTTATCCTATCGGTGAGATAAGCGGGCAATGTCAACGACACCTGTGAACTATTAAATTCATTGTTGACATCGGGAAAGTAACAACCCGAACAAGTAAAATATAAACTTTACACATAAATATGAACTAAACCAAATACATGTACACTGTAAACCATTCAACAATGTTATAACCGTGGATTTACACAATTACAACCTTCTAAATTTACTACCCTAAATAAAAATTATGCCAGCATTTACATTACTTCATTAACATGCCTTTTAAAATACACGTTAATTATACACATTAGCAGACAGAGCAATGAATATACCTCAAACCTGAGACAAACTGCTCACAAGAACCCAGTTCAATTGTAATGAACTATAGAGCTCACAATGTGACCACAGCAGAAACACCATCGAAGACTGGCGAACAAATGAAAGTGCCCATTGGGAGCGCAAAGCTGAGTGACAAGAGGACTACTCTGCCGAACTATATATTCACTCTACCAACCAATCCCAATGAAATCTTGAAGTGCTTGTAAAAAAAAGAAGCTGGGTGTGTTCATGAGATACACTTCACTACCAGAAACAGAACGAAGGTTGTGTTTTATGAGATCTGTTCAACGTTGAGCACCTGGTTGACTGAACATGAAAAGAATAAAACAACAACGAAACAAATTGGCTGCTTGTTTGTTTTTTAACTCTGCTACATGATTACCTTCTAGCTCATGAGATCCGAGGTCTAAGCTTCTGTATGTCTAGATCTAAGCTCCTGTGAGTCTTGACAAAATGGATGTCTATATTTGTTTATGTCACGGACCATAATAGGAATAAAAGCGACAAAACTCTTTCCGTATTCATCAGAAATCTCTGTCAAAAACAGAGTCGATTGTACGATTCCGACTATATCATGAGCATGTGTTTATGACTCACTATCAAATAGTGATGATACCAGGTGTTCGCAAAAAGATGCGCGTATCTTTCCCCGCCGATGCCACTCGTCAAAAACACATGCAAAGGCAAGTCAATTGTTCACATGAAAAAACATGGAAACATATGGTACAAATTAAGTCAAAATAGGGAATTGCATCGGTCATCATTTTTGTCACTGATGTGTCCCGTTTGGAAATATCCTCCACATAAAACCACGTTGTCAACCATAAAACTCTTTGAAAGCTTCACTGAGGCCATGAATGTTGTAACCTTTATCAAACAGCTTCTGAGCAAGACTTGTATGGCGTTCTTTGAAATCCTGGCAGAAAGTACATGCTCTACCCTACTTGCCCCCTAACTCGTACCCTTAGCCCTGAAGTGTGACCATTCCATGACATCCAAGGGTAGTGATTCTGTGCTTCAGGATCGACATCCCATGTGTTTATATACAGTAACTGGCATACACTTAGCATACATCATAGATGACAGTTGGGACCTGGATATTACTTAAACTCCTTTGGAATAAAGGTTAAGTGACATTATTATTGTTCAAGATCATTGTATTGTGCCTGTGTGTGTGCGGTTCAGAACATAGGTCAGCGTCTCAAACCAGCCTTGTTTATAAGAGTTTTATTCAAGCATTGCTCTATTTAATTCTGACCCACTCGTTCACAGTTGTTAGGAATTGTCTGTGGTAGCTATTTATTTTTAGATTTTCATCCAAATTGTCTTAAAAGTGAGAGGGAAGGCAAGTTGCAATATATTTTTATTTGTTTTAAAAAAACTAGATGTTTAAAGTATTTGTGAACATTAAATGTCGACTGATATGGTTAACGCGAAGCATGAATGTTTGGTAGGAATACGTATATGAATATTATGACTGTATTTCATAAGTAAAGAAAGAGTGTTAGTGAGTTGGGTTTAACGCCTCTTTGAACATTATCTTGCACGCGAAGTTAAACCCCAAATAATTGATGTATTATAGCCCTATCTATAATTATAACCAGTGGGTCAAATAACAAGCTCTCGAATGTGTTGAATACGATCGGGTGACACACCTGAAAAACAAATAAAACATGTCAATTCTGTGTTTGAGTTTACACGGTAAATCACTCGTCACGATGACTTGTTCCTTTCCACAAGCGGGTGACTTTTGTCACGTACCCATGACGGAGATAGTGCCCAAATAAATGCACGCCTACCCACGAGTGTCTCCAAACAGCGCATGACCTCCACAGCGTGTGCCCACCTTGATTATGAATCTATGGTGTGTGATGTCGTTCGAATACTAGAACGGCCCCAGTTGTAAACCAGTCAACTGCTCTGTCCCTCTTAATTCAGAGAAGAGAATTCAGATGCAGTTAATATTTAAAAGTGAGTGAATGCTATTTAACGCCGCAATCGAACAAAAATGTGTGTGATGTCGCTCGAATACTAGACCGGCCCCAGTTGTAAACCTGTCAACTGCGCTGTCCCTCTGAATACAGAGAAGAGAATTCAGATGCTGTTAATATTTAAAAGTGAGTGAATGCTATTTAACGCCGCAATCGGAAAAATTCTAGTTGTAATTTTATCTGGATCGTCAATAGCCTACTAACAGAATGTTGCTAACGGGTAGGGATGCAACAACTGATTGAGTTAAGGATGCATTGCAATAGCTAAGCTCATAGTGTAATATAGTGACGACATGTTGAAACAACATTACTACATCTATACAATACTATTGGTGATATAAAAAGATTTCAAGGGAAGTGGGATAGCTTAGTGGTGAAGCGTTGCATGATGACACCGAAGAAACAGGTTCGTTTCCCGTATGGCTACAATTTCAATTGACAATTACCCATTTAATCAACCGATAGTGGCTACATGTCATAGGCTATTAAATTCAAATATTAGTATGTAAGAAAATAATAATATTCACGTGATTTGTTAACCTCAACTATTCTAAATTATTTCAAACTCAAGCCCGAGAACATTTAATTCTATTTATTACACAGCTTAACAGCAGTCTCCTGCTTTGACATACATGCGTGTATTGATTCTCTCTTCCGTACATGTACACCGGCGGTGTTTACCTTGTTTTCATTAAAACTGCAGAGTCATCAGCGTTCATGACTCAGCATGGTTACCTCGAGATCTTAGTTGCGAGGGAAACAGTATCTGTCAATACTCTCAAACATGTCCGAGTCATGGAAACAGACGCGCCTTGTGTCCTTGGGATCAATAATAATCTAAAAGTACTTTCCTAAAAGTACAATTTATGGAATTTAAATTATCCAATATGACTTGCATTTAATGTAATAATATGCTTAGCACGTTTGTTGGGGTGAGAAAAACAATGAGATTTGTTTGTTTGCATGTTTGGGATGGATCAATAAAGAGTGAATCGTCGCTTTTAACTGTATTCCAGTTATATCACAGTGTGTCAGCTTGACGTGGGAGAAAATGATGCATGCAGACGTTAAACCAACGTGCTCTGGGTGGTGCACATCTAGAAACATAATCAGGCCGAATGAGAGATTCGAAATCACTGTCAAGTGAACAGTCAATTGTGCGTCGAATTATCGGTTGTATGGTCCGGGTAATTTCCTTTAATCTTCATCATTGCTTGAATGGAATCGGATGTGTCGAATCTTCGGTTATCTCGAACTCCAGTGCCTATTGCTTTCACCAAAGTTGTACAGGCCTTACATTAGCATCACTGCGAACATTCACTCCCCACGAACATAAATACATCCTTTTACTCATGTCTACGCCCGTTGTTTAATTGTCAATTGAGATTACCATTTTCAACTGGTTTAAAGGGTAGGTACAGAAATTGTTAAATAATAAGTTCAAATTGCACTATATTTTACAGTGATTTTAGATTATTGTCTGAGGAAAGGTACCAAGCGTGTCTTGGTTATGCCCATGAGCTGTTGGATATATTCTCTTCAAACAACGAAACGCAATTCGGATATGTTTGGCCATAAAAGCAAATTTAGCGGACAAAGAGATGCAAAATGGAGAGGTTAAATGTGTTATAATGTCAGTGACAAATTTCCCGGATCAAAATGCTCACAACAAGGACATGCAAACCATTAGTCGGGAAACACGTACGATTCGGAAAAACGCACCCAGTGCATTAACAAAATGGCCATGGAGCTGCACACACTGCAAGGGTTAACACGTGATAGGCAAATCTCCGGACGACCAAGAGTAACCATCCCCGCCCAAGATCGCTACATCCGACTGTGCCACCTACATGAAACGACGACCACAGCCAACCGCATCCCAAATACCCGGACTGCGCAGAATCTCCGACCAGACCGTACGAAACCGTTTAAGAGCAGCAGGTTAACGAGCAAGACGTCTTGTTCGACGCGTCATATTGAGTTGACAACATCGTCAACAACGACTGCATTGGTGTCGTCAACACAGGGTATGGCCTCAACTGCGATGGGGAGATGTCTGGTTCAGAGACGAATCAAGATTTCTCCGTCGAGGGCTGGAAGAGCACGGGTCTACACACGTCGGGAGAACGTTACGCCGGAAACTGCGTAAAGGAAGTGGACAGGTTTGGTGGGGGTAGCGTAATGATGTGGGCGGCTATCTCTCATCATGGCAGGACAGGTTTGGTCCATATCCAGGGCAATCTTACGGCTCAACGATACATCAACGGAATTCTCCTACCGCACATCCTCCTAATTGCAGCCAACGGCAACGGTGTATTCCAGCAGGACAACGCTCGACCGCATACATCACGGATCACAAGAGCCCGACTACACAACAACAACGTTGATGTTCTCCCCTGGCCCTCCAGATCCCCGGATTTGAACCCGATAGAGCACCTGTGGGATATATTGGATAGACGGCTACGCCGTCAACCACAATCCCAGACGTTGAGGCAGTTGGCTTTTGCGTTGCAGGCCGAGTTGGCTACCATTCCCCTGGATATGATTCGCATACTCGTCTATTCCATGGGCAGGAGTTGTCGGGCCGCTATCGATTCCTAACGGGGGACATACGCGTTATTGATGGTAGCTGACCTTCACCTTGGACTCTTCCTATGTACCGATAACTGAGATGACTACAATCGCCAAGTTTTCTCTCCCCCACATTTTGGCTCAATTCCTCGTATAAATGTATTTCCTACCTCACACAAATCTGGTTTTGCGTTTCTTTTTTTTAAGAGTATACTTAAACTTAACTTAAACTAAAGACTAATCGGTTGCGCCTCTTTAGACATGTTTACACAGTCCTCTTCTGTAGACATGCGGCTGTTGTCATAAACAGACGTTTTGCATGTCATAGTTTACCCGTGTCGCCGTTCAAAACTCTAATCAATATTAACAACACGCCACGAGGAACCGATATCGAAAACGTCTAGCTGTATTTGTCAACGATCACGTGGTTTGTTCACTGGGTGACAGAGCACTTTTGCTCCTGCGTTTATATAGAGTTGCAAAACACCACCCGCATGCACACAGAGAAGCGTGGTAACTCAAATTTGATTAAGCAGACAATATGGCTACCAAGTACAAGCTGACCTATTTTGATTTCAAGGCGAGAGGAGAGCTGACCAGACTGATGTTTGCCCTGGGTGGTCAGAAGTTTGAAGATTACAGATTCCCACGTGAAGATTGGCCAAAAGAAAAGTCAAGTGAGTTTGAGTTGAATCCCGTCCATTATATAACAACCTTCTCGTTGGTCTGAATCAAAGACATTTCATTCGTTGCCTGTGCATGAGACACTATCAAAGTTCTGACAGGTTCATTCCTTTCTATAAACAAAAAAAAACATGGGGTCGAATCACAACCTAGATTCTACCACAAGAGTACTCATGGGTTTCACCACAGAAGTAATTTTCTGGGACTCACATCACTGATAAAACTTAAATACTTAAATACTAAACTCACTCACTTGCTATATCCTGAAATGTGCATCTCTACTTATCGAGACTGACACAAATTTACTGTGTCACTGGCTTCGCTTCAGTTGACTGCTGCTAATGGTTGACTGCTTCAATAAGTTGACCACTTCTATTTTGTATACAGCTTCTATTTAGTTGATTACTTCTATTCAGTTGACTGCTTCTATTTCGTTGATTGCTTCTATTTAGTTAACTCCTACCCATTTAGTTTACTGTTGCTATTTAGTTGATTACTTCTATTTAGTTGGCTGATTCTATTTAGTTGATTGCTCCTGTTTAGTTTACTGTTGCTATTCATTTGACTGCTTCTATTTAGTTGGCTGATTCTATTTAGTTGATTGCTCCTGTTTAGTTTACTGTTGCTATTTATTTGACTGCTTCTATTTAGTTGACTGCTTCTATTTAGTTGGCTGATTCTATTTAGTTTACTGTTGCTATTTATTTGACTACTTCTATTTAGTTGACTGCTTCTACTCAGATGATCAGTTCTATTCAGCTCCAGTCGACTGGTTAGTTTTAGTTGACTACTTCTACACCCATTATACACCCATTATACTAGCCCTACAGATTCCTTGGATGAGGTCGGCTGGCCTGTGACGAGTTGGGTTTTACGCCGCTTTTAACAGTATTCCAGTCATATCACGGCGTGCCAGCTTAATGTGGGAGGAAAGCCCGAAGTGATGCAGGTCTCAGACGTTTACCACTTCGGTGAAACTCACGAGCACGGGTATGGTGCTGACAAACCTAGAAACATACCACATGATTAAGAATTGAATTATATACCATAAATATCATGTATAATATCCACAAATATGTGTATGTAAGACGCATTTGCAACATGAATTAAGAGTTTTTCTCAATGTGCTGGTTTTCCGGCTGTGTTTCAGAAACTCCATTTGGCTGGATTCCCGTCCTGACTTTCAATGGGAAGTCCTACTGTGATAGCATGGGAATAGCCAAGTTCGTGGCCAGGGAGTTTGGTATGTTCATAGCAAGAGAGAGGATAAGTTATGATTGGTGTACTCCTCACTGTTTGTTTGTTTGTTTGGTTTAACGTCGAACTTAGCAATATTACAGCTTTGTGACGACGGTCTGTAAATAATCGAGTCTGGACCAGACAATCCAGTGGTTGACATCATGATCATCGATCCTCGCAGTTGGGATACGATGACGTCCATCAACCAAGTAGGCGAGCCTGACCACCCGATCCCGTTAGTCGCCTTTTACGGCAAGCATAGGTTGCTGAAGACCAATTCTACGGGCGCCGTACTTTAATGCGCACAGAGGTCACTCTAAAGCTGTGACAAATGAAGTAACTGAAGACAGATACAGATATGTCAGTTGATCCAAAAAAACGAAACAATGTTCCCATATCGCAAGCAATTTTACCTCCACACTCCTGAAACTGCAAAATTAATGTAAAAAAGGGCAACAAACACGTATTTTTTTATGCAGATTGTGTGTGGCGGGTGTTGCCAGTAGAGCAGGACATGCTTACCCTTTTCGCAAACACCTGGTGTCGTCACTGATTTTCAGTGATCCATTCCTATAGTTTTCACCTTATACGCCCAATGGAATCTGTTTCAGCAGATAATTGAGACTGATTATTCTCTGTCGTTGACGTTTGTTGTATATTATGATTGTAGTCTTATCTAGGGATTACCGATGACACCAGGGAGTATAGATCATCTCATATTTCAGGTAATGGTGGCGAGACTAGTCTTCAGATGTTGGAGATTGACCAGGTGACAGGAATCGTTGTGGACACACTAGCTGCACTCAGCAAACTCCTTTTCGCAGAAGAATCCAAAAAGGTACTTCGTTTTGACATCAAAGTAGTTATGTACTGAGTTCATATGCATATTTATGTTCCATTTGTTCAATGTACTGTAAACTACGGTTATAACACTGCAAACACGAAAACGTCGGTTTTTTTCGTATATGGTCATTGGACGGAAAAACGACTAAAAATTCATTAAAATTGATTAATTGGTCAGCGTCTAGAAAGTGTCCAGAAAAGGGTCGAGTTTTTCAAGCGTAAAATGGACGGAAAAACGATGCTTTTTGCTCCGCCTTGTACAACTGTTAACGGCCAATCAGATGGCGCTGGTCCCCCGACGCACGTGATACTCAAGGCTTCCTTTCGGAAGCTTTAGGTTTCGTATTTCTGGCATGCCTTGCTCTAGTATCTGTCGCGCGCAGTGCAGCGAGATTTGCTGATAAGCTAGTTTTAGGATATGTAATATGTTAATGGAATTCAGACACGCGCCAAGAAGTCAAACCAAACAATGTTACTAAGTTTATTGTGGTAACGGCTATGTACAGTTACCCTATCGGATAATGGGTTGTGTTTCATTTGGTTATAACAATAACTAATTTTTTAATTTGAAGTTTACAAGATATACGACTTGGACGCGAGGTCGGTCACATGACGTTCTTCACGTGACTGTATTCTTGAAAAGGCGCAAACACTGACTACTTCCACATTCCTGGGGAAAACCCTTGGAATTTCCTGGTACGAATTCATACAGAAGCGTGGTTGCAAGCCAATTTAAGGATACCCTCGCTACAAACCATCCCAGAGAGAAAAAACACGAAAAAAAAATCCAAACTGTCGCAGTGACAATTTACAGAAATCTATGAATTTACCTTAGTATCTATTTGACACATCTTCACAATCATCTTTCAATGATCGGCCAATTGATCAGTGATGCCAAAGGCTTGAAATAGCCACAGGTTAATTAAAAACTTCGGAAATATCTCCCGACACGTTTATCGTGTCGGCCATTTTGACGTATTGTACTTGATGTAAATGTATTACAACGCTCTGTCATTGTAATTGACTTACTGAGGTAATTCTGTAAAAGATCTTCTCATCTAATGAGGATATTGTTTGGAATATATTTCTTGTAAATATACTAAAACATATGTTCCTCGCTTTGGGGGAACTATTTTATTCCGGGGTGGCCCATTAAATCTAGTAGTAAGTCAAGGCACCATGCGTGATCTGTTATTTTATGTGTTTAAATTACGATTTGGGGCGTTAATAAAATACACTGACGCAAGTATATTCTATTCAAATCAATTGGATAATTGAATATGCTTTCTTTTACATATTACATAACATCACTGCACAAAATATGAACAGTTGCAGTAACACACTACGGTAATCGCATTAAACATCTTTTTTAACTGTACAGTATTTCAGTATTTCAGTTATATCATGGTGTATCAGACTGATGTGGGATAAAAATCCGAAGTGGTTCAGGTAATCCAATGGGTGTTCGGGAAAAGGTGAGCGTATCCTGCCACACAAGTGGCACCCGTCACAAACACATGCAAGGACAAGTCAAATGTTCACCTGAACAAAGCACGGAAACACACAATGATGCCCGTCCTCACTTTTACCGAGCATGTAAATTATTTTGTCCGTCAAAAACATGGACGAGTATAAACAATATCTTCATTCACGTAATACATGTCATACATTTGACAAAATGTGTATTGACTCGGAGCTTTATTGTTAATCACAGCGTATGCAGTTGAACTCATCACCCGCCCCATTATTGATAACCCTTGATTGAAGATCTATGCAACACTCTATCTTTTAACTGGCATGTCAGACTTCTATTTCATAACTCAGTTTTATTTGCACGGATTACTATGGAAGGGACATTGTCTCGTTGTCGCATTGTCGCATTGACGCCTTTACAAAAACAAGCAAAACGTGTCAAAATTAACAAAAGCGCGACAATTGGCCATTTGTCGCATTGTCGCGTGTTCGCATTGTCGCTCTTTGATAATCCTTTTCTTTATTTTACAAAAGGGCGACGATGCCGTAACGCGACATTTTCAAGGTCAAAATATGTCTCGTTGTCGCATTGTCGCCCCATCCCAAATGTGTATAAAAGGCGTAAAGTTCAGTTATTGTTACAGTTAGGAAGTTCAACCTGATAAATGTACGTCTTGAAATGAAAACACAAGTCCGTCCGCGAGTCCATAACGTTTTATTGTGAGCTCGTCTCTAAAAGTGCTTAGTGTTCAACTCCCAGTTCCAAACACGTAGTACCTCCTCAATAATCCACATACCTCCAGTGCAGTGGTCTTCCGGAAGATCTTACTCTTGACCGTATTAGACAACTGACGAGTGCACGCCTGACCTGTGACCTCGTTGCAACCCTCGTGATGTGTTTGCCGAAGGGAGAGGTGTAGGAAGAGTGTGCTCCAGCCCAGCGCAGAGCTCGCGACACACGACATACTGAATGTTGTATACAGTGTATTGCAGTTGATATACTGTATACTGCATGTGATACTTATTTGCGGAAATTTCAAGATTCAAGATTCAATTTGCATATATTTCACTGGAATACTGCTGAGAGCGGCATTAAAACAAATTGTTTTCATAATGGAGCGCTGCAGTCATTTAAAATAGAACCGTTTACATATGTACATGTAGTACCAACTCACTCTATTTGTTTCGAATATTCAGCAGAAAATATATTATTAACCAGGCCTTTGGGAAAAGATATCAGATTTTTATAAGCAACCACATAGGGATGATAAAGGACCCCTCGCTGATTAGGTTCTTGTTTACTTAGGAGCAGAGTTGGCCATGTTAGATGATATAACCAAAATCCGGGAGCTCCGGCGGGGGTCAAACTGGTCTTGTTAGTGTATGGTATGAGCTGTGACGTTGACCCAAGAGAATAAAGTAAAACATGAGACCAACTCAAGTCTATAATGATTGGGAAAGTCTAGATTTCCACAGCTCTAGCCTGAAATTAAGAATTGTTCTATGCTCTTGTATTGTTTTCATTTTGTAGACATGGATGGACCAACCAGGAAAGAAATTGATGGAATATTAATATCACATGTTACAACTGATCCAGTTAAATTCATCACACAATAATAAATTAGTATTTGACATTACGGCATTTGATTATTAGGGCATGATCATGTACATGTTCACTGTAGTAATGTACACACCAGTCAACTTGATTATAATTTTTATCAAAGTGTAGCGCGGCATCAACGATTACTTTATGATATCCTCACTTGTCATCGATGTATTGACATCGAACAATGGACGGCAATTCGAAATTCTTATAAATAGCTTCAATAGGGACAGCGCCGGTGTCAGTACAATTTTCCTAGTTAAAATAAGTATCTACAAAATATAATCTGAAGTCGACAAGAACAATATTTTTTTATTAATGCTTACTTTCATGGATAGAATTAAGGCAATCTAGGCTTGCCAAATCGTTCTAGACTTGAGCTGGATTCCTTTTAAATTTATTCTGTATGGTCTGGGAGACGAACGGGCGTCAGTATCGCATGGAGAACTGGGGCAGCCTTAATCAGTGTAATCGGATATGTTGTGGAGTTTCGGTTTTGGGCTGTTTGCTGAATATATAGAATTGCGAGTTATGTATACTCTGTATTCTTTCGTCATGGTAGCATATATATTTTCTATGTTGCTTTTTGAATTATCCACAAATAATAAGAACTACAATGTAAACCTCTCTCTGGAGATATACAATAATACTACTGAAGGGCATATCTGAAAAATGGGACTTCTCGACAAATATTTCTTTCTTAAATACTACCCGTTACAGGCATTCTGATCATTATATCATACTTTGTACAGTTTAAAAGTCAAATAATGGCAAATTGTGTATCTTTCTACATTTTGAATTAATTATATTTTCTGAAATAAAACTTTAGCATCAGATAGTGATATACACGAATATGATCTTATTTTAATATATTCTTGTGAGTAGGTAACGAGAGATCTAGGCAACTCACTAACGTAGCCATTTATGAAAAATGAAATATTAAAAGTTTAGGGGTTTGAACATGCACATTGAATGACAGGGAAGAAAGCAACGCAATGATTAAATTATGAATCAAATTATGTTATAAATATAACAGAATATTTAGAAAATATAAGTTTAATTTCTCTTTGTTGGAAGGTGTTTAATAATTATATAGATTTTGTTTGATTGTTTGTTGTTTAACGCCGCACTCAGCAATATACCAGCTATATGACGGTGGTTCGTAAATAATCCAGTCTGGACCAAACAATTTAGTTATTAGCATCAAGAGCACAGATCTACGCATTTGGGATACGATGACATGCATCAACCAAGTCAGCGAGCCAAGTCGCCTTCGTACAAGCATGGGTTGTTGAATGCCTATTCTAACCCGGATCTTCACGGGTATTTTTTTAAATAATAAGGTACAATGAAATTCTGTATATGTCCATAATAAGTGTGTATAAGTTGATGGATAATATGTCCATACACGCCAAGTAAATGGTATATGCATTAATTTAAATGCAAATGATTCAATGATGAGTTCTTTCACAAGTCCATATTTCAAGACATGTATTTGATATTCATAATAACTCCACAAAAGCTACACAATGGCAACAAAACGGTACCAGCATCACAGATACCAATAATACATGAGATACATATAATTACTATAAAGTTAAAACATGTATCTAAATAGAAAATTAGAAGGATAGACTTCCGACATTTTTCGTATTTTGTTTTCGTTTGGAGAGAGAAGTTGTGATTGGTATCTGATGGGTGCAAACAGGTGTTCCCTTCCGCCCAGGCCTTGCGGCAGTGCTATAGCCCAAAATGAAACAAGCCTTGTTCAACAGGTTCAGACTGAAATTTCCATCCCACTTGGGCTCCTTTGAAATTTAAATTATAGTTTCTCGTGTCGATATGTGTCAGAAGAAATGAAATATTACAGCACTGGTGAATAGGTTATATGCGCATGTCAGCGTCGATCCTATAATATC